TTAACTTATATACAATACTCCAACCAGCCTTCATAGCCTGTTAGCTAATCCAAAGGGCAGTCTGTACAGCTTTGCTAAGTTTCTGATCCTCATAGTAACTCAGGTTTCTCCTCTTCCCTGCCTTGGGCTTTCATTTCCTGGGCTGACCTACTGAACCCACTGAAAAGAACAGGCTCTAAAGTCCAACTTGCCCAATGTCTAAGCAGAAAGAAACCATTTCATAACTAAAACAAACACAAATTGGCCAAACAGTGTTGTTCCTTCACGTGGGATACCTCACCCAGACAGAAAGACAAACAGGTGGATCCCAAATCAAATCAAGCCAGAACTTTCCCTGGAAGCAAACTTGACATAAATGAAGCTGTGGCACTGCAGGGACATCATGAAAAGATGAGACTTGCTGGAGAAGGCAATCACGCTAGGGAAAGTTGAAGGCAGATGAAGGACACCAAATATGAGATGGATTGAATCCATAAAGGAGGCCACAGCCTCGAGTTTAAAAGAGCTGAGCTGTCAAGGTTATTTCTGTTCACAGGGTTGCCATACGTTGGAGATTATTTGATGGCACATAACAGCAGCAAACAGAAAATCAGTTCCCAGTATTCTGTCCCACTGCAGTAAGAACTGAGGACCAGTTTCCAGTGGTTTTTTGTAAATGATGCATTCATACTGTTCAGATAACCAGTAAGTCCAAACAGTAAAATCCATTGAATAGAATTTATGGTGAAGATCCCATCAGAAGCGGGATATCCATTCAACAGAGCTTCCTAAAGATCATCACTTCCGAGGCTGAACAGACCTGTCGCTGATGGCATTATTTCCACAAATGTCCTATATGGCATTATAGTAATTCCCTTGAAAGACTTCTCAGTCAACCACATCCTCATGACGATGCGAGTGAATGCACTAAAGCTTAAGAACACCTTCCCAAAAGTACAAGTTGTTCAATGGTGGATCAGGCTAACCCAGAAGGTATGTAACTGCTCCTTGTTCAGCTTTCCAGGATGGATGTCCAGCAGCTTTCTTTAACAGGTAAGGAGTTGGTCTAGTAGACCTTTAAGGTTCTTTCCAGCTCTGTGAGTCTATCACATTTTTGCAAGTCTCTCTCAACCAGAGTATGCAAGTTGTTCTCATTACTGATTTATCGGTAGCATTTTCTTTGTTTAAGAACCTACTCTTTTAGTGCCTCAAGTACAGATTTAATTCTTGTACCTAATTATGGTTTTCCTTTAGGACCAGATGAGTTTTGAGGTCCCTTCCAACTTGGACAATTTTATAATTCAGTGCGATTGTGTAAGATATGATCCAGTGCAGTTGTACAAGATACGATCCAGTGCTTTTGCACAGTTCCCTCACCCTCAAACAGTAATAGCTGCTGGCAAGGGAATAGACGAAAAAGACAACGGGATGGAGAATTCATATTGCAAAGCTCCTGTCTTGGCTTTCCCGTTCTTTTCATATGCAAATAATTAGTTATTATTCTGAGGCTGCTGAAAATATGCCAGCCCGAGTATAATGGCAAAAGTTGTACATCTAATTACACACTTCCTGCTAATCAAAACCCCAACTCAGTTCACCATGTCATCATCTCGTCTGCCAGAAGCTGGAAAATTAATTGTTATCTACATTATGGGCTAATGGCAAAGAGTAAACCAAACAGGTTGGAGTAATTATCCCACTTGAGGTTAAGGATACATAAAAATTGAATTTTAAATACCTCCTGCTACCATGGGATAAAACGTGATGCCTCATAATTAATGCCAGCTAATTCTTCCTCCCTTCCTTTGGTACAAAGATAAAAAGCCAATCAATTTTTATAGCCATTATAACATTCCCACAAAACTTAGCCTTCGGTTTTCAAGTCTGCACAGATCCTTAACTGATTTGCCAGGCAATCTCCCTGAGCAGCCCGATTTTTCCCCCTAAAGCCCCCACAGGCGATTCCCTGGAATGTGCGCAGTTCATGCTGCCGTCTGTTCTTTGCCCAGTGTGTGCACCTGTGTCTTTAACTGGAAATTGATACACTGGCACACGCACAGCCTGTATCCTGCACTTTTCCTTGTACGGAGAGAAGCACCCTTCATCTCTCACAGTGTGCAAGGGGTACATAGTTAAACAAGGAGTAGACTCCAGCCCTGTTTCTAAAAGGAACAATCCCATTTCCCCAAAAGAACCTGCACTGACATGAGAAAACATTTTCAAACCACGTGTAATGCAGTTATTCTGGCCAAGAGGGTGATCCTGGCAAAAATGTATGATTTCTAGCTAGAAACAAATAACTGACCCTGTTTTCAGCTTCCATTAGGGCGGCAGTCTTAGTCCAAAATAGGCTGGGGAAAGCTGGCTTGGATGAAAAGCTGACAGAGCAGTAACAAACAGCAGCAAACGCAGTAACATTTCAACAGTGCCTTTAACCATCAGTCCACCCTGAGATCCCAGGGCCACCAGTGCTGCCTTTGGGAGCCTTCTTTGAAATTTCCCACAATGCCTTGAAACAATGGCAGGGGCATTGTGGGAAAGTGAAGCTGCAACTCCCAGCAGACCCCGATCTAGATGCAGTGGTTGGTGAATCTTCAGAAGACTCCTTGTCAAGGGTCCACTCAAATTTGGCACCAGCCTGTGTTCGTTACACACAGCAGTAGTAACTGCAACCAGTGCTCTTACAATGCACAAGTGAGGTGGGAGTTGTTCTTGTAATTTATTCATGACTAGAGTCCTGCCTCTTTCGTTGAGAAATGTCACCAACTTCCCAAATGTCTCCAATGTTATTAATAAACAGCCAACTTGTGTTGACAGACATACCGCCTCGGATACCAGATGCAACATGTGTCACATCCTGCCTGGTAGCGACAAATAGCCAGGGGGGCACCACTGTGAGTGGCTGGGCAGAGGAGGCAATGGCGTCCACAGGATGAAAACGAGCTCCCTTTTCTATGCGAACTGTAAATTTTGTAAGCCGCCCCGAGGCTTCGGCGAATGGGGCGGCATAAAAATGTTTTAATAAATAAATAAATAAATAAATAAATAAATAAATAAAATTTTGTGTAAATTTGCCTGTATTCTTCAAGACGCTGCAACATATTGAGCTAACACTGGTTGTCCCCACATCCTCCAAACTGGGGAATCTTGGAATATTTGGTGATGTGGCAAGGAGGAACTTGCTCCTCACATTGAGGTTGACCCAAAGCTGGAGGCAGTCACAAATCAGATCATTTGGGACTCCATGTTAAAAGGAATTTTCCAGCTACATTAGTCATATGGCAATTCCAAGCAGAACATAGGCAAATTGGTAGCTTCCAACACCTAGAAGCTGATGCACCTTGCCTAGTTACTTCTTAGCACTCTTCAGGCAAAATCCCCCCAACTGGGAATTAAGTTTGAGGTTCTTCAGTATCCATAGCTGTAGGGAAGGAGTTAGCAACACCTGAACAAAATCCGGGTCCTTCTCCCACAGGAGCTAACCAGAGGCAGTATCAGGTTGATGTTAACAGCAACACCAAGCATATGTACCGCACTCTGAATGTTCAGTATTTTAAAAGGTATTTATACAATGCTCCTCATTAACATGGTCTAGGGTAGTGTACAAAGTTGGGCAAAGCAAATAAAATCAAAATAATCAAGAAACACCCACAAGGCAAGTTCATGGTTACAGGATCCGAATTGCAGTGTTCCTGGCTTTGTTCCTTCAGTCCTAGAGGTTGTCATCATAGACTGGCTGGTCAATTTTCAAGGTTTGATCCTGGTTGCCCATCATTCCCCACCTCTTTCAAAATGGGAAATCTCCAGTGGATGCAACCAGGGCACTGAGCTCGTCCATCCAGCCATGCGGTTTTGGCTGAGTCCGCTGCCCCTTGCAATGACGCAGGAAGCCGAAACTCAGCTGCTACCTCCCAACTGGGGCAGCCCGCTGCACCCCCTGCAGTCAAAGATGGGAGGTAACAGCAGCGATCATCGAAAGGACCAACCTCAAAGCCCTCAGAGCATCTGAGGAGCCATTTCAGCTTCCCAGACCCAAAATCAGACCGGAAACCTAAGTTCTGATGCCCCATTTGCAGCCATTCTAGGGAGAAGTGCAACCTCAGAGAGGGGGGAAACGGGGAGTTCTGGCCAGAGGAAGGGGGAGCCTGGAGGGGCCAGGATATGAACTAGGAGTGCTGACGTGGCCAGAAAACAAAATGAAGCCAAAACAAAATGAAAACGAAAACGAAACAGAAACAGAACACAAAAACCCAAAGATGCAAAAGTGGGTCAGGCTAAGAATGTTTCAGCAGCTCTTCACACACTAAAGCAGGGGTCCTCAAACGTTTTCAACGGGGGGCCAGTTGAAAGGTGTTGGCGGTGGGCGTGGGCCGCCAAGGCGGTGCCAGTGGGGGGGCGCGGGCCAGTGAGGGGGCGGGGTGCACGCATGTGCACGGCGAGGCAAGGCGAGGCGGGGGCACGCAGGGCGAGGCAGCAGCTTGCTCACGCGATTTTCTCCAAGCAAGTCCAAAACCATTTCCTCGCAAGCAAGCCGAGTGCCCGTGCATGCACGCGGCAACTGCAAACCCTCTGGGGCAGGCCGGTTAAATGGGTACGGCGGGCTGGATCCGGCCCACAGGCCATAGTTTGAGAACCCAGGTACTAAAGCCTTCCCTGCCCCAGGCTAGACAGGTTACCGAAGATCATCTCTTCCCACCCTGCACAGGATGACCACAAGCCTCCGAGTTCAGGGGCGTCCGTCATCCCTCCACTGTGTGGTCACCTTTCCATTGCAAGGAAAGGCACCAGGCTGAGCTTTGCCTGCCCTCCCTGCTCCCCAGTGGGGTTGGGCACAGGGCAGGCAAACCCGGGGCCCCGACCAAAGGGCCTGATGTTCTCAGGGAGCCAGAGGGCCAGGTTACAGTCCCCCTACTCTAAGCAAGCCAGTGGCCGACCATCTGACTTTACATGCATCACCCAAATTCCACGCCAAGGCACTCACCCTCCTTCCCTCTCCCCACCTCACCCTTCAAAAACACACACAGAGTCCAACATTTTATTCGTCTGAGTTAACAAAATTTATAATCCTCTGCTTGCCAACAACAAGATGTACAAGCTTGCTGCCCACTGTCTTGTGTGTTCCCCATAAGTTAAAAAAAACATTCTAATAGATCATTTGGGGTTTAATTGACAACATGAATTAAATCCAGATCAATTTGCATCCATAGAAATCCCGCAAAAACCACAGTGGCTTGACAGCTGGAAAACGATAAGCAGATCTATAAAGCAGCTCTGAAGAACAGCCTCATATTCTCACTTGTTCAAAGAGAAGGAAGCCCTCCGTGAAGGACAGAATGCTGGTGACCTAGAGGAGGGTCCACACACAGAAGCACCGATCTTGGACAGAAATGACAACCTCCGCTTGGACAATTCTTTGTTCCTGGAACCATTCCCATTAACGAAGAAACTGTGCATATTACAGAAAGCATCAGCATTTGATACACATTTATAAATGCTTGAATTTCTTAGTACCTTGAGAGGAGAGGCCCTGAAAGAATTGCAGAAAATGTTGGCATTTACAGGAAATTCTCAACATAGTTATCAAGTAAGTGTCCAAATGGGATTTCCATCATTTACTGCACAGGCCATTTGCCAGGCTCTGGTGTAAAATATCAAAAAGCCCTCATAGCAAACAATTTCCCTTGTAAGAGTTACCTATAAAATGCCAGCATTTACCCAATTTGACAGCTTCCCTGCAAATTTGACAGCTTGCCTGTATATGATACCCATTTACAGTTGTAAATGAGATGCAGTGAGCCAGAAAGCATTATAGCCCACATCTCTGCACAGTTCCAGTTGCAAGGATGAAACACCCATAGCAAGGATGTGCATGCACAAAATCTTTGTGACTAGTGCATGCTGAACTGTGTATACGTGTAAACGCTGATGGTCATAAGCAGCATCACGGAGAAGGCATGCAGGCTGTCAATACGGAATTCCTCACAAAAGCCCGGAGCACACGCTTCGTCTTCATGTGATACGAGGAAGGGACACAAATGGGCCACCTTGACTAGGTTCTGCGCAGCTTTGCATTACTCTGTTCTTGGGGCTGCTCTCATCCCCAGGCAACACACAATTTACATGGAGACTATAGGCATTCAATGGGCAATATAAGCGACTTGTCTCTATTTTCTCATTATCCCTATTGACTGAGCAATGGACCACATTCTACATGCTGCTGTTAATGTGTGCCTAAGCTCCATCTGTTTATGGATGGTGGGCAGTTGCCAGTGCCTATGAACCCTCGCTGAGTAATTCTTCGGTACTGCAACATATTCACACGTCAGGGTTTCAGATGAGAAGATCACCCATGCAACTTGCTCACAGAAGGTGTTGTCAACTGCAGCCAGTCTCCGCTGATACTACTAGGTGCAAGCATTTTGTACACCTGAAGTATTTCGATCACTCTCACCCAGAAGTTGTTGAGGTACCTCGGCCCTCTGCTAGCTGACCTGGCAATTGTCCTCTCACAACAATGGTGCCCCAAACTAGAAGTCGGGATCATTTTTCACATTATGCTTTCCCAGGACAAAAAACCCCCCACAACTCTTTACCTTCATACGAACATGGAAATCACACAAGACTGAACTCCCCAGAAAGAAAACAAATGACACTGTGTAAACGTTGTCTGGGTAACTCCGTTGTCCAAGGAGTTGTGACCTGCTATGCTACTGCAGAATCAATTCTGCATTTGGTAATGGGGCGCAGAAACCCACATGAAAGAAATCCAGAATTTTAAAAAAATATATACATGCTATTTTTAAAAAATATATTAGATGTGTCAGTTGATCTTCAAAACCCATTCAGAAACAAATCAGTCACAGCAACAGGCTGGCAAGCATGTTAGCTACAGAGCTTAGTTTGTTTTTTTAAACCCAAAGAAATATTAGTAACTTACTTGGAAGGACTCGCATAATGCTGTAAAGACAAGTGTATATGAAGAGCATTCTGCAAGAACATCTGTATTGCAACCCTCTGACCAAAATCTTTGGAGTAGTCCCTCTAGAACTGTATCCAGCCACTCTGAAGACCCAATTCTTGCACGTTTCCACCAGTCCCTTACACAACAGCACTGTGGAATCAGTGTAATGGACAGAATGTCCTCTGGCATGTGCTGCTCATAAAGCAGCTGATCGCTGGCTTGATGCTCTGGAGTGCCAAGAGTCCCTGGCTGCCTATCAGATTATAGGAAGACAAGCATTCTCAACAACCCAAAGAATGAAGCCCTTCAAATGTTGCATCCCTTCCAAAGCAAGTTCCCTCAACAGACAAAGAAAAAGCATTCGAAATTCATTCCTCCTTAATCCTAGTGCAAACCCCACCCAGGACTCGCTTCACACAGGAGGCAAAGCATAGATTAAGCCGGCCTGCAAGGGAAAGCCGAGTAAACGGTCCGGCTTTGCAGAATCTGCAAAATCACCCCAGCAAACTTGCCGGGGTTCTCCCTCTGCAATGGCGCACTCACAACTCTTCACCAGTAAAGAATGACTTTGTCTTTCGGCAGGTGGGATTCACACACAGTGGACAACTGAGGGTTAACTGCTTGGAGCATATTTCATTTGACTGGAGATGCGAGTAGACCAGGTCTGCCAAAGCCTGAAAAGGCAATTTAGGGAACAGCATTAGGCAAGCCAGAGTGTATGTAAGTGATGCTATCACATTTAGAGAGCACCTGTAAAGTGTTATTCCAAGCCGATTTTTTTAATTTTTATTTTTTTTACAAGGGGGAAAGTTTAACTAAATGGAGTGGAAATGCATGAGTCCCATGAAGAAACTTACCTGCATAGGCTGCTGACAAAATAAGCTATCATCCACAATAGAGCTAGTGTGGTGTAGTGGTTAAGAGCATGGAGCTGGGACTCAGGCGATCTGGGTTCTAGTCCCCGCTCAGCCATGGAGCCAACTGGGTGACTTTGGGCCAGTCACAGACTCTCAGCCCAACCTACCTCACAGGGATGTTGTTGTGGGGATAAGATGGGGGAGGAGATGTAAGCTGCCTTGAGCTCTTTGTAGGAAAAAGGCAGGATATAAATCGAAAAATAAATAAAATAAAAATAAAAATAAATTTGTTATTTTTGGGGGGGTGCCACAAATCTTTGGTTTTGGTTTGAAAAAACCACAGAGTAAGTAAACATTTTCTCATTCATGTAGATTTTTCAGTTTGTTTCAATCAAATAGTGAATACACCCCAGCTTGCATGTAACCACAAAGACATATTTCATTTTTATTATTCTTCTGACTAATGGAATTACTAAGATATATGCAACCATCCTTTTAAAAGTGGGAGGATTAAACAAATAGAAAACAAGAAAACTCAAAGGGTTATCTGATAACTGGAATCTCTGAGAAACCACCATCAGAGGGGGTCTTGGACTCTTCACTCTGAGCACATTCCTTGCTCCATCCATTAAGTTTTAAGCCAAAGCATGCTCATATTTTAGTATTTTGGCCTTGTTCCTTCTGCCTTTGCTCCCACCCACCACTGGAAAGCTGGCCCTGAGAGGTTGACCAAAATGGAGGGTCAGCAGCTTTGCGCTATCCGGATGTACCTGCTTCAGATTTCTTTTTATCCCCACAGGACTGAAGAAGGCTGAGGAGGTGCCAAAAAACGAGGATGCCCCTTAGGACACTCCCGGTGGCTGAAATACAGGCACCCGGGGAGCACAAGGCTCCTTTGCAAATGCTCCATTTTGGTTGGAGTGTAATTACCTTGGCAAACAGTGGGTTCCCATTCAGGGATTCTGCTCTTCTGATGTTTTCAACTCCACACTGGAGAAGGAGACGAGGAAAATGGTTAAGACAGAAGTATGACTTGGCTGGGCTACAGCCACAGCCCTATGCCAAATGTGTGTCCTTCGAGGACAAAGCAGGGAGGCAGCTGAATGCAGAGTTAAGAAATAGTCTCGATTACTACATTAGTAGAATGCCAGAAGGAAGCATTTCCTCCAGTCCATTATTCTGTTGCCCTGCAAAACTTTCAGCGTTGAAATCTCATGAGCCAAACCACACGGTTTCTGTCCCGAGTCACATGGCGTCCTGGAAATTGTTGGACTTGCTGGGAAAGTTCCTGAGAAATTGCTAACCTGCCTTTCTTGAAACATGACTGAGTGCTTCATTATGAGATGCAAATGCCAAATGTGTAATGATAAAACACTGAAATGTTGAAAAATATATGTAAGTAAAAAGCAGTAATTGCATTAAAGGGAAGACAACCAAGGACACCAAAAAGTTCAAAAGGAATTTGGAGTACCCGGAGGAGGGCCTTCTCTGCAGTGGCACCCCAACTATGGAATGCGCTCCCCAGAGAGGTCCGCCTGGTGCCATCATTATATGCTTTTCGGAACCAGGTCAAGACCTTTTTATTTAACCAATATTTTAATGTTAATCGATTTTAATTGCATATTTATTTATTTAACTTATTTTAACTATTCTATTTTATATATTAAGTCATGGTATAGTTAATTTATTTTGTTTAGGATTTAGATTATATTGTAGGCCGTCCAAAGATGCAAGTGATGGACAGCCTATAAATGTCCTAAATAAATAAATAAATTTGGGGGAGACTGACAACATGTCCCACCAACACACAGTTGTTGAGGCAACCTGGATTATATCCAGGGAAAATATTAAGCCAAAACCTTGGGCCAAAGAGCTGTCTGAGGAAGGTAAAAATCTATTCAAGTTTTTGCTCATCAGCGAAGAGCAAAAGATATTTTGACAGCTATGCACATCAAAAAGTTTCCTATACAGATGTCTAAAAAAGTATAGACAGATGTCATTAACAAATTTTGAGAAGGAAGTGACCTTCTCAAACATATGGTCCATAACTGATTTCATCAAGCCTGACAGGTATAAGCCATATTTTCATGTGTTCTGCTCTTTCAGAAAATTTGGTCATAATAATACAATTAGAACCATGAGCTGTCATTTATGGGACAGCAGATATTGGCTAGGAGGTCATCATCCCACAATTATGAGCTCTTAGAACGAAGGGGGTTCTTACTAGAAGTTCACAAGGCTTGTGCATCAATCAGCTGAACAACCTATTCAAGACTGAATGGGAAACTGAGCTCTACTCTTGGGGCGTTCAGGGCTGTTGTGGTTGGCCTGGAGTACCTAGGCCAGCCAGATTCCAGCCTACCCAGGTCTAGAAGACAGAATGTCCCCGCTCCCCCCTTGCCAATGCAGATGCCCTGGCTGGGGTCATCTGTAGGCCAAGCACACTCACCTGGCTGATCTATTCAACAATAAACTGCCCAGGTGACTGGACAAAAGGAACCTCCGAGCATCCATCCCAGTCAACAGTTACACAATAGAGTCCACCCAGTGCATGCAGGGAAGAATCACTGGAGATATACCTCACTGAGAAAGGGAAGTGGGAGTCTTTCTCTTCCAACACGTGTGCCAGGGAGTGTCCCTGGATGCAAGGAACCCTGAGGCAGGCCCAAGGCTTCTCCAGGGCAGGCACTCAGGTGTGGCTTTTCCCAACCCAAAGTGGGTTAAACCTGGCACAGGCACCAGGAGCACTTTGCCACAGACTAGTGGGTCTTCGAAGGACCAGGTAGGCAGTTTGCACAGGGCTGGACTAGCTGGACTGTGTTTTCTTCTCCGCTTGTTCTCTGCCACTCATCTGCTTGAGCACTGAAACGGAATGCCTCTTTGAAGGACTTCCTGGTGTGTGCTCAGCATCAGGCAGCCCTCTTTCCCATCCTGCATGTTTCCTGCATGCTGAACAAGTCCGTTGTTCTGTTTTTACTCAGACCCAGCTTGCGTGATTTGGGGGCAGAAGTGGGAAGAGTCACAAAAGTGGGAAGAGCTTCTGGGTCGTTGGACACCGGGCAGCGTGCCACTGGCCAAGTGCCACCTGTGACCTCGCCGTGTTCCCCTGAGGACACAGGCAGGCAGCAGAAAAGACTCGCAACACAAAGGATCCCAACACAAAGGACTCCAGTGGGATCCTAATGCGGCTGATTGCAATGCTTGTCCCCTGACTGTGCAGGTAGTCCGTCCCAGTGGGCGCTCTTCGTCAGACCTCCTACCCTCACACAAGGTTGTCTGAAGGTGTAAGGTCAAAACAAGGACTAGAAAACTAAAAACAAGGAACGTTCAGGCAATGCTACTTCCTGTTCTACCATTCGGCTAAGATCAACTGCAGTATTAAGATCTAGGAAAGTTTAGCAATGCTCTTTTTTTACAAAAATAGTGTTTCAGTTAATATTTAATATTTCAGTTAATATTTTGGTGTGAGGTATCTGGTCAGGGCGACTTATTTTATATTGTTATTTTTGTATTTTAACTTAATGTTTTGTATTTTAACTTAATGTATTTTACAAACATTTTAACTTAATATTATGTTAATGTTTTAACTTAATGTTTGTATTTTAACTTAATGTTGTGAGCCGCCCCGAGGCTTCGGTGAATGGGGCGCACAGAAATGTTTTAATAAATAAATAAGTATATTTCTAATAAAAATAAAACAGATCAAAAGGATTTCTCCCTTACCTCTTTAGTGCAAAGCTAACATTCAATTTACCTGAAACGGTTTTTGATGTATGCTTTGTTTGAAGTGTCTTCAACAGTTTTGAGTATTAAATAGCTATTAATAGTTAACTGACAACTAAAGGCTTCCTAAATACTGGAATTAACATGTGGAAAAACTCGGCCCTGGCCAAATCTGTAACAAGGGAAGCTCTCCGCAAATTAGATCAGCTCAGGAGGCCCTTCTTGTGAGAGGCAAGGAGGTGAGAGGGGTGGCAATTAGGCAAAGAGCCTTTTCCACTGCTGCTCCCCATCTCTGGAACTCCCTCCCTGGAGAAATTCGCCTGGCACCATCTTTATTTTCTTTTCAGCACCAGGCAAAGACACATCTTTAATTTTTTTTCTTGGTAATACTTAGCCCTTCTGAATGCTGTGGCCTTTTTATATTGCTATTGTGATGTTATCTTTTATCTTATCTTTTAAGTGTTTTAACAGGTTCTCGTTTTGTGTGTGTGTGTGTGTGTGTGTGTAATATCTTGCAAGCCACCTAGGAAGGTTTTTTGGTAGTTATAGGTGGCCTATAAATATGTGAACGAACGAACGAACGAATGAATGACGGATGGATGGATGGATGGACAGATAGACAGACAGACATGGGTGGGCAGACTGTTGTGGGACCAGACTAGAGAAAATGGCTCCCCCTGCCAAATGTTTGTCCAAAACCCATCCATCCACCCACAGCAATTTTTGCAAGTGCAGGTAAGCACTTCAACCTCTTTTCGTGTACAATCCACTCTGGATACTTAGCGGCCACATCCAACCAACACCTTGGGCATGAAAGGGTTACATCTGTACCGGCAGCCTGATCCTTCACCTGAGCATCCTGGAGGGAAGTGCCAGGGGTCAGCAGAGAATGTCACATGCCGAGACCCTCTTACCTTTAACAAATCACACCTTTATGCTGGTTTTTAACTTTTTAAGTTGGGTCGGGAGCAACCCTTTTGGACTCTATCCCTCTAGCGCCCGTGGACTTCCTCATATGCTTGGCTTGGTCCTGCAAAGTGAGCCGAGCCAAGAAGTCCGTGAGCACTCGTGGCCCCCCCCACCCGTTGTGCAACCAGAAACCTTCCCGTCAGGAATGGCTGCAGGCCACGAAAACGGGCCGCTGTGAGCAGGTGCGAGACACTGTTCCTCGCAGCCAGCCTTTCCAGCCCACTATCGCTGGCAGTGGCCTGCAAGGGAGAGAGGCGGCACTTGCCCAGCGTGTGGGGCTCAATCCCTGGCAAGTGCCCGTGAATGCCGGGCACACTTGCCAGGGACCTGGCCTTGGGGCCGCTGCAAAGCGGACGGGCGCCTGGGGAGCCAAGCCCAGGGAATTCCACAGATTCCCACCCCCAGATCTCCTGTACATCCCTAATCGTGCAAGCCAGACATGGCTGAAAAGGGAGCTGTCAGTGTATACAGCTCAGCTCTAAATAGGCTTGCCCGGGGCCAAATCAGACTTCACATACGTGTGCCCTTTTTTACTCCAGTGTAGGAACAGGGACCCCAATGTGGAAAGCTGGAGACTCGAACCCCCTTCCTGACATGCTATGCATATGATCCAAATCGGGCACTTGATCTACTCTACAATTTTAAGTCTGTTTGACAGGACCGACTTCCAGGGGGCTAGCTTTCCATGTGCCCTTCCCCATCCTAGTTCCTTCTAGATGTGTTGGACTGGCCCTGCTGGCTATGAATGATGGGAGGTGTAGTCCAACACATCCAAAGGGCACCAACTGGAGGAGACTGTGACTCAGAAGTACAGGTTTCGGCCTCTTCTGCCCAGAATGCCACCGGAGAGCAATAGTGATGCTTTACCTCATTGGCCAAGACCTGCGCATATTCAATGTCCAATTCATAGAGTGTTTCGATGTGGTCACTGGTAAATGCGATTGGAACCAACAAGATGTTCTTCTTTCCCCTTTGGCAAAGCCCTTTGATAGTCTCATCTGTCTGTGGACCCAACCAGGCCATAGGGCCAACCTACAACAAAGAGGGAGAGAGAGAGAGAGAAATGTTTACCATGCCCAACTTCATGGCTATTTATGCAGACCAGCAATATATGTGCAATTATACAGAAAGAAGAAGTCACACAAGGCGAACAAGAAGGAACTACAGGTAGGATATGAAGGTCATATGCACGACCCAGCAGCCTTCTTGATGGCGATGGCGATGGCTCATCATAGATCTGCCAACACCCACAGGTCAGGAGCTCTTGTCATGCAGAAGGCTAACATGTGAGGGATGAAGGGCCTTCTTCCAAATACACATTTCCAGGCGGAATGTATTTCAGCAGCCAAGGGTGCACTCCATTTAGCTGCACTGCAGCAAAGTCTCAGGGGAACAGTACCACAGGATTGTCCTAAAGGAAAGCACCTCGAAATGCAAGACTTTGGGGCAGGGACTTTTTCACTTCAGTATGGAGTGCAACTCCTGCCAACCTTGCAGTTCAAAAGCATGCAAATGCAAGTGGATAAAAAGGTACCGCTTCAGTGGGCAGGTAACAGCGTCCTGTGCACTTGGGTGTTTAGTCATGCTGGCCACATGACCACAGAAACTGTCTGCGGACAAACGCTGGCTCCCCCAGCTAGGAAATGGAGATGAGCACCGCCCCCTGGAGTCGGGCATGACTGGACTTTAATGTCAAGGGGAAACCTTTACCTTTACTTTACTTAACGGAGTGCAATGTCTAACATGATTCTTAACCATTGCTGATGCAGTCAAAGGTGAACATGGACTGAGCAGATGTTAGAATCAAGAGCAGAATGTATCTGGATTGCTGAAGGAGGCGGTGGTGAAAGCCCCTCAGATCACATACCTTGGATTGCCATACAAGCCGATATGGGTTGGAATAATTGAGCTTCTCCATTACCCTCTGAACAGTAGCTCCTACCTCTTGCGGATATGGGTCGCCACGATTGACCACCTGAGGCAGAAAAAGAAGGAAAATGCTAACACGGACTCTTCAACCAAGACTCCTTTGGGAATAATGCAACCACCATCGAACATTTCCTGCTCCTAATCTGCAGCAGCACATGAACATCAAAGGGTTTCCCTGACTTGCCTTACTGAGGTTGCAATCCTGCTTTTTATGCAGGGGGAAAAAAATCCTATACTCCCAGCATGCCTCAGGCAACAGAGCATTGCACTCATATTTAAAGCATTGTTGTTTTATAAAGCACAACTAATGAAAATAGCAGCAAAGAACATTTAAAGCAACAGCAAAACCTCCCATTTATAAACTCCCATCTATCACATAAAACTGGTATTTAGTCCTTTAAAAGCAGATTGGCACAGGCTTTTTAAGGCCTATTTAAAAGCCACATGGGCGCAAGTCACACACACCTCCTGTAGTAGGGTGTTCCACGAAGATGAGACACAGAAAAGACACTCTCTTCTTCACTTGTCCTGGAGGCCTTACCAGGAAGCACTGAGCAGAACCTGTGGCCCATTTTCTGGCCCAAGCAGGTTAAGAATGGAAGAACAGACTGGCTGGACCAGGACAAAGAATCGCCTACTCCCAACATTCTGTTCCCACAGGGACTGACCAGATGTGGGTACACAGAGATTTGCACACACCCAATATTCACATTGAGGGTTGAGACCACCGCTATCAGACCAGCTTGGAAATCACAAACCATGCATGCTTTTGAGGCATCTATCTCTAGCAAGGAGTGCTTCAAGCCAACATGGCTACCTTTGTTTCCTGGGACTGCAGCTTCGTTTGCTGTACAGAACCACTAGATGGCACCACATTCCCACAAATCCCCAAAGCCCGACCAGTAAAGTGGAGGAGGGGGAGGAGGGTGAAAGCCAGCATTTCTGAACCTCCAAAGCACTTTGATGCCAGATCGTTTTGGGTAAATCGAGCAAACTCAGCTAGCTGGTAGGTCTTGGAGTGCTCCCAGACAAGCTATTTTGTTAAAAACAAGCACAGAACTATTGGAAATATTATTTACAGGTTATTTTAAATAAGGAAGAGCATCCAAGGTTACATTACACCACTTGCGTCCTTTAAGACAGGGTGGGTCAGAACTAGTCCTCCTGGGATGAGAGGCCAGCACTCTACCCTGGCCAAGCACCTTTCTTCCAAAATGCTGCTAGTGTGGCCATTTTCCAGCTTTCAAGCCGTCGTTCCCTCATTCAAAAGGTCTGAAATGCCCTCTCTTCAGGCTTCATGACGAGCAGTAAAAGCGTGAAGGGTGGTGTTCCAGCCAAGCCCTTTCGCCTTTGGCTGCACCTATCACTGGAATGCAGACCCCACATCGCGACAGCGTCTTAAAGAACCAGTTTCTGGCTCAGAGAGGTTCTGCTCTGGAGGCTAAAACCCCTGCATGCGGTGCATGTCCAGCAGGACCTTGGAATGCAGAGGGCGGGCTGGGCCGGTCACTCCTTGCAGCTTCCGACCAAGGGGAGGCCACATCTGGCAGGGGAGCACTGCTCCCTCACATCCAGACTAGGGATCTCCAGCAGGAACCCCCCCCCCCTTTATTCCTGGCAGAGGTGGCCCAGCCCAGCCAGAGCCCTAAAGGCAGGCCAGCTCCTACTTCTGTTGACAGTCGCTTCCACGCTGGTCACAGACTACCATTACCATCACTACACAGAAGCGGTGCACAGGTCAAATCCTAGCTCTGTTCCACACACATACACACAACCCACAAACACCAGGAGGGAGGGTTTATAAAGCACAGGCTGCAGAAATTTTTGCTGTTACTCACAGACATGGGCAGAGAATGGGCAGAGAAAAGGATAACAACATCTTTTCTCTTATCGGGTGGAAACAGGCCCAGTTCCTTCTGTATGTGGTCTGCAAAGCACTGGAAAGAAAGATTGGGAAAACTGAGAGTCAACCACCATTTTCCCTAATCATGACTCTAATGCTCAAATGAGGCCAGGCATTTGCAAGCAAACATTCTTTAAACACACACACACACACACACACACACACACACACTTTTCTGGGAAGTCATACTCTGCCCACAGAAAATGGCAAATCAATCCCGACCCCCTTGCTTGCAGAGCATGAGTGTTCTTGCTGGGATACAGCCCCCTCTGCTTCCTTTGGCTGTGTGAAACTCTGGACTCTCCCCAAATTCTATGAACTTGCTCCCTTTGCCCATTTGTCTGTTTGATACCTGCTTCATTTATCCCTTGAGAACTGAAACTCAAATCAAGTTAGAACCCAGGATCTGGTTACTTCAGTAGCATTCATGGGTTGATCTGAAGAACAGTTCCTCTCAGGTCATGTAACCATCCATTCCATGATGATACTGCACAGAAACTTAATCTGGCGTAGGATGGAGAATCAACTTTCATCTCTCTGATTTCAGATTGTTTTAAAAAAAGTTTCTAGCCCTTGCAACAGCAAAAATCAGTTTGAAAGAATACAGGCAATGCCTCCTGAAAATTCAGGGGGTGAAAGGTCCTGAACGTGATTTCAGGTGCCGCGTGGGTAGGTTTCAGTGCTGGGCACAAGCAAACAGGTGAGTCTTCACCAACCCAAGACACACAATGTAATTTACAGGGGCAGGGGTGGGTTACTGTGCGTACAGAGCCTGGTTCTTACTGCAGGAGGTGTCTTCAAATACTGACCAACTTCACTACAAATAAATAGAGAATAGATTCAGAATATCTGAGTTGGAAGGGGCCACTCAGGTCATCAGGTCCAACCCCCTCAACAGAGGACTCCTCAAGCTGTATCTTGAATGGCTCTAGTGTGGGAGAGCCCACCACCTCCCTAGGTCACTGGTTCCACTGCTGTACTGCTCTAACAGTCAGGAAGTTCTTCCTGATGTTCAGCAGGAACCTGGCTTCCTGCAACTTGAGCCCATTATTCTGTGTCTTGACCTCCGGGATAATTTCAGCCCTCCTCTATGTGACAACCTTTCAAGCACTTGAAGTGAGCTATCATAACCCCTTCAGTCTTCTCTTTTCAAGGTTAAACTTGCCCAGTGCTTTCAGTCTCTCCTCCACAGGACTTTGCTTCCAGTCCCCGGATCATCTTTGTTGCCCTCCCTGGAGAAGAGCCAACACAAGGACATAACTCCAATGTGTTCAGTGTAGGCGAATAACACTAATCCTTTGTCATTCCAGGGTTCTTAAGGAAGGAAGACAGCTCCATGGAAGCAACTTCCATCAACCTCAGGTCCTCAGAGGCAGGATTACAACTCTCATCATAATCCTAAAACAACATGGATAATGGTAAGGAATGATGGGAACTGTGGTCCAACAACTCTGGGGAACCACAGTGCTTTCAGTGGAGTGCAATCCCTGGCATCTCCAGCTGAAAAGATCAGATTGGAATGGGGAAAGAGCTCTACCGAAGACACTAGACAGTTCCCATTATTCCCAGTATACAGTATGGAGCTAGATGGATCAATGGTCTGATTCAATGAAAGGGCTCAGGCAACACTTAAGGGTGGAGTGTGGGTTGTTGTTGAAAAGAGGGTTGCTGTTGGAAAACAGGTTGTCATGTTGAACCTAGCCAGGATAACAACCGTGGCACATAATCCACAGTTCACAACCCCCAAACAAGCCATAGGTTCTCTTTAGAGATGTTAGCATGGCTGGGTTCAGACACCACACTAGCTCATATTTCAACAACCCAATTATACTATTGTCGGAACCCAGTCAAGATGATGCAACTGTCTGGTTCTTGCTATTCCTGGAACTGCTTTTATGGATTCCCTTTGACCCAAAGTCAGATCTGGAGCAATGGAGCAATTTGCCTGCTGGGACAGCCTTTAGGAAGTCACCCCTTTCTTCTTCCCATTGTTGGCCAAACATGAGGAGAAGCTGCCCATCCCCAATCTCAGTGGGGTGGTGTATCCCTTCCACATCTTACTCTGAATTTGTAGGAGCTATCCATAGTACTGAACCTTAGGCCCAACATAGGATCAGCACCATGGGCTGCTCCTTCAAGTCCCACCTGAATCCCAGAGTGTATCTGCTTCCCCACAGATAGTGGGGCCATCAGCTCTTATCAGGTGGCCTTGCACAGTGAGCAGAGAGCTGTGCTTGGGACTGCAATGTGATCCCAATCAACCCCAAGCACACTATATAAACTCAGGTCAGTCAAATTCTCCTACCTAAGCTACCCATAAGACCATTCAGAGGAGAACACGGGACAACATCACACACGCAACACAGAATTTGGGATGTACAAGGAGAGGAATATTAGGTTGCAAGTCAGCATTCCTCAGCGGTTGCAGAATGCTGGAGAAGGCTTCTCAAGTCACATCTGCTTGGATCCAACAGATGCTTGACTCTTGGGCACATCTGGCCAGTTTGTACTCAAAATGAAATTCTAAGAAGAGACTCCATTTTCTCAGAACATTTTTGTCTTTCTCTCCAAATCAAGGCATACCTGAATGAGAAGGGGATGCGTTGGCCACCTATCAATAGTGCTCCACTTCATCTTTGGCTTCTCCCCTTTCGCATTATAGTAGCGATAAATAGCATTTAAACTACTCCCTGAAGTACACAAAAGAAGGATGTTAGCAGAAATTTTAGCTACTGGACCAATCAGAAAAAGAGCTGAAAAACCACCTTGCAAGAGGAAACGAAGTCTAAGAAGTTTAGAGGCAACCTGTCTACTTTTAGGCTCACCTGTGGTGGAACAGCTGTACTGTGGATACTGGGTGAACGCGATAGCCCTTTCGACACCATCTTCCTCCATCTCTTCAATCGCTTCCTCTGTCAGGGGATGGACGTAGCGGAAACCAATGTAATACTTGTGAGGAGCTGGAAGGAGAGGACAGCTGCTTCACTACCCGAGGAGGAAAAACATCTCCTCGGTGGCACATTTTCAGCTAGGCACACCTGGGACTCAGCCAAGGCTAACATAGTGCTGCTGTGACATGGAAGGGCCAGGAAACCAGCCATGCAGCCCTATCTCAGGTCAGACCTTTCGCCCATCCTCTGGACCAGCCCTGCCAAGAGGCAGTGTGAGGCAGCGGCCTCAGGCGGTGGATGCAATAGCAGTGAGGCACTAGAAGACCTCGCTGTGTGTGCCACTGTGCCCCCTGATAGCCTTCCAGTGCAGGGGAGGACACTAACCTGTCACCGGCACTGTGTTAAGACGTACCTGCCAATCTGGCTGGATTTTGCACAAGAAATGGGAAGGTGCTTCTTGTCCTTCGCTCAGGCAGCAACCCTTGCCAATTTAAATACTGTCTTCTCGGGCAGATGTTTAAGACAAGGTTGGGCTAATGGAGGCCCTCCAGATGTTCTGATCAGTAACTCTCATCAGCTCTAGCCAACACAGCCACTGCTAAAAGATGATGGGAGTTGTGGCCCACCACGTTTTGGCCTGGAAGTTGCCCACCCCTGCTCTTTTCAACCAGAGTTGCAACCTTGAGAATGCAAAGCGTGTAACCTACCAATTCATTTGTGTTACTCTTCTATATTACTCCCTAGTCAAAGCTCTGTAGGAGGTTCACAACAATAAAATGCAATAAAATGGACCATGTTAGCCACCAAGGTTCTTGACAAGAGGAAGAAAAGATGGATATAATAAATGCAAGAAAAATTGGAACTGTAAAATACAATATAAAACACCCCAACATAGGCAATACTCCCTTCAGGATGCTTTTGGTGCCTCTTATTATTGGCTTGCACCTTCCTTGGGCAAGCTGAAGCTCCGCTCTGCTTTCCTCATTTGGCCATTTGGAAGGAAGGCCTCTTTTCTCCAATAGCTTCCTTGCCACTGCTCGTTAACCATGCTGGTGGCCTCTTGGGCTTGGTGCTACCTGCCCTAACTGCTGGTATACACACTAGCTGAGCTTCTAAGATTGTGGTTTTGACTAACCTCCATGTATTTGGGAGAAATGAAAACCCACTGAATCCCCTTTCTTCTTCCTTTTTACCTCTATAAAAGTAAAAGGTGACTGGATTTCCTTGGCAATTTTCCACTTCAATATGCATTAAATCTGACTGCAAAGTGGTCACTATTTGCATGGAAAAGTCTATGTGGAGCTGCTCAAGAATCTGGAGAATGAACTCATCTGTAGCTACCTGGTAATTACTGGGCCGGTTTTAAGTTTTTGGTACTAGTGTACAAAGCCCTGAACAGCTTGGGACCAGGGTACCCAAGAGAGCACCTTCATCCTTACCATCTGACCTAGTCACTGACGTCACTGGAGGGCATCCTCCTTGTGGGCCAACTGGAGTCCACCAAGAGAAGAACTTTCAGTGTGGTGGTCCCTTTTTTATGGAATCCTGCCTTAGGAGGTCTGGAAGGCACCAGCTCTGTGTTGTTTTCAGTCCTTCCTTCAGGAAGCCTTTCTAGCTGAACAGTTAAGGTCTTGTGTTTAATCTTTTAATGAATTTTTCCTCCTTTTATTCCTTTTAACTTTGCATTGCTCATCACTGTAGAATCTAGTTCGATGTGGACTGGTATACATATGCAGTAAATCAATAGCAAGCCAAACAACAAATACTTCTGCAATCCCAGACTTGTAGACACAAGATTTCTTCTAAAAGCTGCTCCCCTTTCAGCTACCCCTGTAATTCCTTTGCAAAAGGGAAAAGAGAAAACATACACAGAGAGAGAAAGCATTAGCATGCAGCTACTGTAGAAGGAGCGGAACAGGGAGTCTAAGTTAAGATGCAAAGGATGTCCAAATAGATAAAGACAGGGCAGCTTTCGCTCGGGAGAACACATTGTAAAATAAGAGAGAGTGATGAGGTCTGACAAGAGCAGATAACACTCCCAAAACCATTAACTTAATGCTCCAAGTCCCCAGCCTCTTTAACAGACTAATGTTATTAAAAAAAAAAAAAAGCAACTGACTTGCTTGCCAAAGTAAGGGGTTTTTTGTGAAAGATGTGAAGTTTGCTTCCCTGTACCACAAACATGCATTTACCCACTAGACCCTTTGCTGAAACCTGCAGGCGCGGGCATTGCCTACCACTTGAAAACCTGCAAGCACCGAATCCATTAGAAAGCATTACATCTGAAGAGACATCAAAGCTCTGTCAGCGGTTTTGATCTGGAATGGCTGAGCCACACATCAATGGATGCTGCAACCAAGTGATGTATAAGGCAGGCCTGTTCAGCACACCCCTCTTCGTTTGGCTCGAAAGGGGGAAACGTCAGAAGTTAAAGAAGCCATATAGCAAAAGAAAAAAAATCAGCTCCAGATGATGGACAACAGGAAGCCATAATCAGGATTTTTTCCTTGTTCTGTACATAAAATTACTATATATAGAACTCGCTAGTGCAGTCTTCTTTGACTGACAGTGATTCTCCAAGGAACGAGTTGGAGATCTTGCTCCACATCTCCTGGTAACTCCCATAAAAGTGTGTCCGAGTTGTAAGATCTATGGAGCAGGTCTTCTTCTTGGTCCTACCACCATCAGAGGCATATTTGGGAGAAAATAAGAGAGGGTCTTCTTAGCTCTGGAACTCCCTGACAAAGGAAGCTAGGCTGTCACTCTCTTTTTCTCTCTTTCTGCCTGCATTCAAACATGTTTCTATCTACTAGAACTGTGGCATACAAGAGTTGCTAAGGGAGGTTTCAATAGCGAGATGCTCTTTATTGATTTTCATGATCATGATTCCATTGTGTTTTTATTTTAGTTGCTTTAAAATTAATTATTATTGCTCTGTTTTTAACGTTTTCATCAAGGCTGGGTTTTCAAGTTAGAAACATAGAAACAGAGCGAGTCAGAAGGGGCCTCCCAGGCCATCTAGTCTGACCCCCGGCTCCAGCTGGCTCCGTTCACAACATGGCCACCATGTGCATGTCTAGCCTATCCTTGAACACCCTCACCAATGGGGCCTCAACCACCTCCCGTGGAAGCCCATTCCATACCCTCGGGGTCCTAACTGTCAGGAAGTGCTTCCTGGCATCCAAATTGAACCTTGGTTCCCTGAGCTTTGCTCTGTTGGAGCACGTCCTACCTTCCTCTGCAGGGGAGAACAGGTCTCTACCCATCTCCGTGTGACATCTCCTCACATACCTGTATGTCACCAACAGATCCCCTCTGAGTCTCCTCTTCTCCAGGCTGAAAAGACCCAGTCTCTCTCAGTCTCTCAGAAATACAGTAAAGAAGTTGTACTGTATTTTTTTTAGCTACCGTAATGTTATTTTTATGAGAAGGAGTGAATACATTTAATACTTTTTAAAAAAATATCCCCAGCTTTTAAAAATTGTAGATTACAAGGATTAAATCTAGATCTTCTGCATGTAAAACAGTGCTGAATCTTTCCAGAGGCTCTCCAAGGTCTCAAGCTGAACATCTTTGCGCAACCTGGTACCTGACTCCTTTCAATGAAGATGTCAAGAATTGAACTTGGGATCTCCAACATGGAAAATATGTGCTCTGCTTCTGAGCTATGGTCCCTCTTTATATGAAATCATGTGCTGCAGTTCAGTGCATTAGCTAAACAAAGGATGAGTAAATGCAAGCTGAATTCTGCGTCCCAGATCAAACCTTGCTTAAATGAGCAGAATAATAGGGAATCTGTAGCTGTCGTGCCTCCACCTTATAGTTTATATCAGTTTTAACATTTTAAAGATGCAAGGATGTTCAAAGGGCCATGTACAGTTAAGCTTAAGCCAAAAGGCCTTGATGAAAAGGCCTTTTCTAATAGATCTGCTGTTTTTGCTTTGGTTGCACTATTCACATCTTGCTTCAGCTACAAACTAATTGACCTAGCAAGTTTTTTCAATATTAGGTGGCAGGGGAAGAGAATTGAGAGACAAAATGCCCTTCCAAGTTAAAAACAAAAATATACAGAAAATTAGGAAGTATGAAGGTTCTTCCTTAACCTGAAGAGTTTAGCTTTACCACAAGGATTCTATGATATGTTGAGTCAGTGCCTAGAGAGAAAACACACCCAGGAGGAAACCGTTAGGCTTGGCTTATCTTTGGACCTCTACTCAAAGCAGGCATTTCACAACTGCTGGGTGGAGCAGAGGGTAGCTCCTCTGCTTATCTACATGGGGAAGGGAGAAATTCAGTCAAGGGGGATCCCCTGTCAATCATGCCCCATCAACAAAATTACTTTCATTAGAGATTTTGAAGAAGTGCCTGAAAATCCCCTCCACCAGAAACGCTGTCACGATGTGGGGAAGACAACATCAGCACGGGGCTCCCCGAAGACCTTCTGGGTCCCTTCACAGTTTATGATCTTCATCCTGGCCTGCGCAGGAGGTTCCACAAGGCACGTCTGACTAACTGGCGCAGACAGAGAACTCAATCAATGGACCTTTGGCTTAATTCACTACAGCAAGTCTCAAAATACCGATTCAGCCCATTGTATGGATTAGCCTCAAGAAGAAACACAAGATGTACATAAGAAGAGCCTGGATGGACTGGATCAAAGGACTATCTGCTCTGGCATGCTGTTCCCACAGTGGCCAGCCAGGCGCCTTTCAGAAGTGCATGGGTAGGACATGCTCCTGCACTCGAGGACCTTCTCACCCATGTTCCCCAGCAACTGGTATCGAGAGACACACTGCCTCTGAACCTGGAAACAATACAAACCATGAGGACTAGTAGCCACTAAGAGTCCTTCTCCTCCATGAATTTGTCTGATCCCCTTTTAAGGCAATTGCTGTTAGCAAAAGCCAAGGTGGCTCCTGAGGCTGAGATATAAATCGCAGTATTAGATGGAGCCACACAGCCATACAGACCAGCAATATCTGCAAGGTGCCACATTCCCTATTCCTGCTATACTGCCAAGAATCCCTGATGGATGCAGGTACTCCCCAATTCAGATGCAGAGCACAACTGCCCAAATCTGTCCCACAACCTACTTTGCTTCCAAACAAGCGGACTCCAGCTGAGTGGGCTTGGTGATATGGAAGACTATTGAATTGCTACTTTGAAAAAGATTACAAATGACTGAATCCTTTCTTCTTTTAAAAGATAAACTCCTACAGAACAAAAAGCTGGACAAGAATCATTAAGGTCTCACATACCAGAGTGAGGAGACATTTCATCCAGCAATTTCACCATGCCTTCTCCCTGAGTAGCAGTCCATTTCTTAATAGGGGATCCTCCACCAATCCGACTGTACTGTTTCTGGATTTTCGGAGTGCGCCGCTTTGCAATGAAGGGTGCCAGTTTGCTGAAACAGAGACAGGGCTGTAAGAATGGCATTGTTTGACCTTCTGCTTGGCTCAAAACCAAGAGCAAGCAATTCTGCATTATGTCTGCTAGCCAAAAGATAGGCATCAGGGCTTTCTTACTTTTGAACCGGAAGTGTCATTAGGTCTTTATCAAGGAAAAGTCTAAGCAGGAAATCATGGACATCTCCAAGCGTCTCTGGACCTCCCATGTTTAACATCAAGATCCCTGTTTTAGGTTTCCTAGTTTGGGGGCAGGGAGAGAAGAGCAAATGTTAGTTTGAGCATTTAAATATTTATGTATTTAAAGTTTTTCTATTCCATCCCAATATTAGAAGACTCTGGATGGTGTACAAAAAACAAAAAACAAAGCAACCATATACAACACACAACACACTGCATCCGATATATGATGATAAAATCAAGGATAAAACCAAATAACTTAAAATATTGGGAAAACAAAAAGGTCTTTGTCTGACACCAAAAAGAATAAAGCAACGGTGCCAGGCAAAACTTTCTGGGGAGTAAATTCCAGAGTTGGGGTGCCATCACAGAAAAGGCCCTTCTCCGGGTAACTACCCTCCTAATTTCCTCCAAGGAGGGCTCCTGGAGAAAGACCTCTGCCTCAGATATCAAGGGGTGGGTAAGCACATAGAGAAGAAGTCGCTCATTTAGTATCCAGGACACAAGCCGTTAGGGCCTTATAGTTCATTACCTGCACCTTAAATTGGGCCCAGACTTCAATGGGCAGCCAGTAGGACTGGCATGATATGGGTGTATCTGCTGGCCCCCGTTAATAACCTGGCAGCTCTATTCTGGACCAAAGCAAGTATCCAGACCGTCTTCAAGGGCAGCCCCTCAGGGTGCATTGCAACAGTCCAAAAGGAGGTTACCAGAGCACAGGTCACCGCTGCCAGCACTGCTCATCCAGGGTGCTGCATACGTTGCCTGAAAGCCATTTTTATGCCAGGTGAGTGGCTATTTCTATTTCCATACCTGACACTGAAGACTGGGTCAGATAGAATGCCTCCCACTTCAGTAACTCCCTGGCATCCATTGAATGGAGCCTGGTGCTACCTGCAAGCCAAGAATCATGTTGCCAATGCCCCATCAGGAACCCCAGCATCATATAATTTCTGTGAGCTATGCCCACTAAATTCAGGGAAGCTTCTGCTCATGCAGCCCAAGAACATGAGTCAGTCTCATGCTGGCAAGTGCCGCTCAGCCCCTGCCACGTGCAGCCAACACATACACAACCCCTTGAAATTAGCAGGTGCATAGGCAGCTATTGTAAGAGCATGATGAGTTCATCAGAATCTGGCCCCTTTCAAAAACTACAGCAACTGATTAAAAAAACAATGGAGAAAGCACAAACTTGAGCCTGTTTAGACGGAAGGAAGCTTATAACTCTCAACATGTACTATTCCCATTCTGACTGGGATGTGATGAAGTTTTAAGCCTGTTTGTCTATCTAAACAAGCATAGGATTGAGCCCTAAATTATTGCCAACAGCCATTACTGTCAATAGCCAAAGATCAAAGATTGGTTGCATAGCCAGATGTGTGGCTTCTAGATCAAGAGAGGTATTACTACCACTCTACACGACTCTGGTGCGCCCGCAATTGGAGTATTGTGCTCAGTTTTGGGCCCCTCATTACAGAAAAGATATAGCCAGGTTGGAGTCAGTGCAGCGTAGGGCCACAAGGTTGGTGGCCGGTTTGCAGGGGATGGGGTATGAGGCGAGACTGAGGGAACTGGGTCTCTTCAGCCTGGAGAAGAGGAGACTCCAGGGGAACTGTTGGCGTCATACAGGTATGTGAGGGGATGTCACATGGAGCTGGGGAGAGACCTGTTCTCCCCTGCAGAGGAAGGCAGGACATGTTCCAACAGAGCAAAGCTCAGGGAACCCAGGTTCCATTTGGATGCCAGGAAGCACTTCCTGACAGTCAGGACCCCGAGGGTGTGGAAAGGGCTTCCACAAGAGGTCGTTGAGGCCCCATCGGTGAGGGCGTTCAAGGATAGGCTGGACGTGCACATGGTGGGCATGTCATGAGTGGAGCCGGCTGGTGCCGGAGGTCAGACCAGATGGCCCGGGAGACCCCTTCTGACTCGCTCTGTTTCTATGTTTCTATCTCTGACCAGTAAAGATTCAAACCTTAAAACTTATTATAAAAACCGTAACCATGTAATTATATCACATAAAATTGTATCACCTACAAACAATTTTAAACAATCAAGAAAAAAATCAAGACCTGATACAATAGCATCATGAGCTGCCAAATGCCTGAGAGAATTAGGTCTTCACCTGGCACCAAAAAGATAGCAGTCAGAGTGCCAGGAATGCGAGATCATAGCAGAATGTGGGTCCCACGTTCCATGGCCACCTTGTTGCTACCTGTCAAGTCTCCCTCAGAGGCGACACCTGGAGGAGGACCCTAGATACATAGTATATGGGTAGGGCCATGCTGGGAGAGGTGATCCATCAGGTATTGTGGTCCTGAGCCACCTGAGGCTTTGTAGGTCAAAACCAGTGCCTTGAATTGGACTTGGAAACATACCAGGAGCCAGTGCAAGAGGGCCAGAATTGGTGCTGTATGTTCAGATCTTCTGGTTCATGTTATCAACCTGGAGGCTACGTTTGACACAACTCCACCTTGTGATTTTGTGAAGACATAAAGCTCCACCTTGCTGCTTTTCCAAAGGCAAGCAGAAGCCTCAGTGTTTACTTGAAAGATGACCACCTATGGTTCTTATGACTGATCCAGACAATGTACACCTCCCATCCCATCTTTCCCATGCTATAAAGCCGTAATATTTTATTGTCCGGCTAGCAGCCATCCAAAATACCAGCTGCAACATTTTATGAAAGAATGGAAGATCTTCATATAAAATCGTCACTCAAATCCACTGACATATTGCCAGGGCATGATCAAAAGCAGAGGTGGGGAATGCATGGCCCTCTAAACTGCATTTCCCATCAGTCCCAGCCATCAAGGCCAATGGTGAGGGATGATCCAAGTTACTGTGCATTAATATTTGGAAGGTCATACAGTTCCCACTCCTGATCTAAAGGTTTACGGTGTGAACAGAATGCTGGACTTTGCTCTGATCCAACATGGCTCTACTTAAGTTGTCATTAACCCCACATTGGCTACCTTGAGCTCCATGAAGGAAGAAAGGCAGAATATAATGTAGGAAAGAAAGAAAGCATCAATACACATACACACCCTGCAATCTAATTATGGGTATATTTCAGATTTCTTGTTTGATTGTGGATCCTATTTCAGAATTTATTGTTAACATAAATTTCTACCCTGAAATTCTTTAATGAAAACTGATAAATTATTCAAATAAATATGGATGATAACTGAACAGAAGGCAGTGGCTCCAGTGTCTGGCACGCAAAAGGATCCTTTTATATTTATGCAGCCAAACGGCACCACCCACGAGCAAGAGGGAGGTGCCAGCAGGCCTAGGGAAACCCCAAGGTTTGCCAAAGTACATCCATTATATAGGGTGCGATCCTATGCATGTTTAGACCAAAAATATGGTCTAGGGATGCACAGCTGGGGAACACATCATTGGGAATGGTCAGACTCCTTTGTCTAAGCATGCACAGGTTTGCACCCTCAGCAGGAAAAAAACTAAAAAGGTGTAACCATGCCAAGAACAGCTTGACGAAGGGTGAGGACATTCCATGAGCGCAGAATGCTGGCCGGCTCTTTGCAGAGGTAAGAAATGGAGAATTGGTAGGAAGAAAACAACAGGAGCCCTCCTTCCTTGCCTGCTTGGGACTCCAGGTTCTGCATGGTGAGCCGAACACAGCCAAACTAAACCCACCCATACACTTCCATCAGGCTGCGCACAGACGAACACCACAGAGATGCTTCCTACCTTTTTTCAGGTTGGACCTGAGGCTTTGCTTTGGCGGCCTGCACAGCCGCTGCTGTTGACTGCCATCTGGCATGCAGCTGGACTCTCCCTTGACTGCAGCACTTGCCCTTTGCAACTAAGCAGAGAAAGCAAAATGCAGTTAGCACACAGCTCATTTCCTACCTCTCTGGAAACTTCCCCCACAAACACGCAAAGCATAGCAAAGTCTGGGATTCTCTTCCAGGAGGAGTCGTGATGGCCACTGTTTGTGGACGGGACCGGCGGGACAAAGCAGACAGGACAAATCCGTGGAGAAGGCTATTGTGGTAACCCATCCGACAGCTGTGAACACCAGTTGCTGGGGAACATGGAATGGGGAGTGCTGTTGGACTCATGTCCCGCTTCTGAGTGTCCCATGAATGCGTGGGAGTTTTCCTGGGCTGGCTATTGTATGAAAAGAATGCTGGACTGGATAGATCTGGGGTCTGTCGACGGAGGGCTCCAGTGAACATTTCCTTCATATGAAAACACGTAAGAAACTACCCTACACAGTTTGATCATTGCTCCATTTAGATCAGTGCTTTCCTCTCTTAAGCCCAGCCTAAACATACAGCAGAAAAAGGTACAAATGCCACATTAGAATGAACTGTCTTGCTCCAGATGTGAGACACATCTTTAAAAAGGAATGTTACAGTCAGAACAAATAGTTACATATAGAATGCTCAGGATCTGACCCTGGGATTGATGATTGCAAAACATGTGCTCTTTCATGCAGCTATGGCAATTCACTTGAGAACTTGCATACATATTCAGACCATTTCAGTGACAACCAGAACATAAAATTCAACAGAAAATACTTGTTACACAAAATCTAAAATATTTTGCATGTCATGGAATTGCATTCTTGTACGTTGCAAAGTGGTATGAACACTAAATGTCGGTAAACCAAAACATAGAGAGTTAGTTTGGGGCAGTTGACTGCCTGGAGAGCTTGGCAGCAGGGGGCTTAACTTGCGCTTAAGAACTCAACCTCTGAAAGAAAGTAGTTCAAACAGTTCATTTTCACTTGTAAATTTAATGACACTAACCCAAACATTTCGTATTGCACATTAACAGGTCTTTTTTTCAACATTTGTGGCTAAGTTTCAATTAATGTTATGAGTGGAAGAGATTGTGAAGCCTGAAATTTTATCATTTGCAATTTTATCATGGCAGGGAAACATCATTCATACAAGACAGGCATCAAGGGTGTGAAATGGCATAAAGGCACATTTTTAAAAAGTTTAACAACAGGATAGACACCTAAGATACTTCTCTGCTGGGGCACATTTGGTCTATGGATAAGTTTGATAACAGTTCACGTAGGCAATATATTGTTACTTTCTCACAGAAGCTGCTTCCCAGGTAAGTCCCTTTCCTAACATGCTGCGCCATTATTCTTAACCTCCAATTATCATTTTTCTTTCCTTTTTCTTTTCTTATTTTTTCTTTGTCTCCCCCCACCACCGACTTATTCTTGTTGTTGAACTTACAGTCAACAATACTGCAAGGAGGGCTACACCCTGAGGCTTGGAGGTGGGGGTTCCTTCTAAAGTTTTTGCGCACGTCTGCAACCCCCAAGCACGCAAAAATCTTCCTCTTTCTCAGTGGCACCATCCTGGATTCAACCCTATCGACACTGGCCACCTGAGCTTGCCACTCACTACAGGGAGCTGCAAATCACATTCGCAAGAGCCTAAATGAGTAAATAAACAGTCTCGTCTCTTCGGTCGGTAGGCCACGTCTCAGCAAAGCAGCCGCATCGCTCCCTTCAGAAAGTTTGCAGTTTCTAAACTCGCTGCACAGGTAGGCAGCCTTCGGTGCCTACGCTCCTGCCCGCCGGATAACCCGCTTCCCGCAGCGCCTGCTTGCAGTGCTGATCTTTTTATGCAACTCTCATCCCCAACGGACTCGTGTGTAACAAGATCCTGGCAGCGACGGCCGAGGGTCTCTTTTCGCCCCCGAACGAATGGTTGCAGAGGCCGACCACACGTTCCTCGACCCTTAGGAGGATTCTGGGCATCTCAGGTGGATGTGCAACACGAGCAAGTGTGAAAAATGAACAAGCAAGCACCAGCCAGGCTTGCTTTGTTTTCTGTATGCAAAGAGGGCAGAAAACGTACTTATAGTAATAGCAGTGCTCCAGTCCGACCTTTAAAAACCCCCAGACTCACCCGGAATTAAGCCACGCAGGATCATGAGCAACAGTTTTAGTTGTTCTTTCTTGGCTCTCGGTGCCTAAGCACTGCCTTTGGTCAGAAGTCCCTTATGTAACAGAAGCCAGGCAGAGCTCCTGCAAAATCCGGTTTGCATAACACCACTGCTGGCGCTCCCTTCCCACAACGTCCCCCCCACCCCCAGCCCACTCGCACACTGAAATCGCCCGTGCGCCGGGGACAGACAGACAGGCGGGAATGCAAAATTATGCCCTGCCGGCCAACGGGCTCCCCTTCCAAGCCAATTAGCAAACCTAGCTGGAAAACGGGCTTCTGCACACCCTTTCCCGATTTCCATGCGTTGAGCTGGAGGAGCTGGGCAGAAGGAGTGGGGATTACCGTAGCAAAATAAATAGGCATTGAAACAAACTTTTTTCCAAAAAAGGCAACTGATTCACTTACATGAGAGCAAGGCTCGATTTGCGGCTCTGAAGGCAGCAGCGGCAGCAGCCATGTTTGTGCTAACTAAATAGATTCCCTTCCCGTGCAGCAACCAGAGCAGCAGAGTTCCTTGCTCAAGTTAACTGGACTGTTTCCTCACATCGCTGCCCATGCCTGCTTTCCCTCCCACCCCCTTGGCTTCCCTCCCACTCCCTTTCCCTCTCTCTTTTTAAAAAAGAACCTCTCTTAGGATCTCTCAGGGATTGCACACGCTGGCTCGCCTGGGCAATGACAAGCGAATGGGGCGGAGCGGTGCGTATGCATGTGGGTGTGCCAGAGACAGCAAAGGAAATGAGCCCTCCCCCCCCGTCAGGAGACAAAGGAGGAGGCGGAGTCACGTGCTGACACACTGACTCAGGAGTCGTGACTCAGCACTGCTGGCGCGGGTGGCCGCCTGGAGCGCTGGCAGCCCGTTTCCTTACAAAACATTCAAAATAAAAGAGCAAAATATATCCGCGATATATCGGACAATGCAATCAGATGAAATGTCACACGAAGAAAGAACCAAAATTTGAAAGAAAAAAACCACGACCAAACTATAACATCCCAAGTATAAAAACCTCTCCGTAAAGGAAATAGCGATACAGTCACAGAATCATAGTTAAATTGGAAGGGGCCAGAGGGCCGTCGGGTCCAGCCCCCGGGCTCAGTGCAGGACTGCAAGGTCAAGCATCGCTCTCAGGTCGCTCTCCGCTTGCATCCTGAATGTCTCCAGTATGGGAAAGCCCACCAGCTCCCAATGCCATTGATTCCACAGCTGTGCTGCTCTAACTTGAACTCATTATTCCGTGTCCTGCAGTGCTGTCCTTCCTCTTTGTGGTGCCCAAAATTGGACACAGTTCTCCAAAAGTGCTTAATATTGTTGTTGCTTCTCTTGCTTTAGCATCGAGGGGAGCGTTCCCCGCCACCGAGCCTACTTGGGAGTGCAGAGGAGGAGGAGCATTTATCAGTTTGGTCTTTCCCCCCCTTCATGCTGTGAGTCTATTGCCCTTCCCCCACCCAGTATTTATTATGTAAACAAAAAATCCTGCCCCCGTTTCTAATACCACAAAGTGTATTTCGCCTTAGGTCACCTCTAAAAGGAAAAATCCATAGTGTAATAATGGCTATTATTAGCTATGAAACTTCCGTGTTCAGAAGCTGGGGAGATCCAAGAGGGGAAGTCTGTCGAATTATGTCAGACTTGCAAGATTCCTGGAGAATCTGGTTCCACACTTTTTGGTGCCAGGATTCTAGACTGAATAGATTCTTGTTCTTTTTATAAGGCTCTTTTTATAAATTCAGCACATGACATTTAGAATGTGCAGATATCCAACTTCTAGAGAAGTTTGCTGCTTGGTTTTTATCAGGGGACTTCCTCAAAGAAAAAAAAAACTGTTAGGCTCCTGGCATTCGGTTGTGGGGTATGTTGCTGATAAGCAGTTCAGACGAAGAGCAGCCCTGCTGGATCAGACCAAGTGTCCCATCCAGTCAGCAATGTGTTCACACAGGCCAGCCATGGAAACCCCATAAATAGGACTGGAGTGCACCTTGTCACCCATGTTCCCCAGCAATTGGTGTACAGACGATATTTCACCCAGAGAAGGTCCCCTGATAGCTGGGAATCTTGATGAAATATACCTGTGACATTTTAGAGGCAGTGATGCCAGTTTAGCCAAGGAAAAGAGGGCAGATAAAAGGAAGCGGATTGATATGAGGTTGAGGACATAAAGTAAAGGTAAAGGTTTCCCCTTGACGTTAAGTCCAGTCACGCCTGACTCTAGGGGGCAATGCTCATCTCCGTTTCCTAGCCGAGGGAGCCAGCGTTTGTCTGCAGACAGTCTCCGTGATCATGTTGCCGGCATGACTAAACACCGAAGTACACAGAACACTGTTACCTTCCCACCGAAGTGGTACCTTTTTATCCACTTGCATGCTTTCAAACTGCAAGGTTGGCAGGAGCTGGGACGGAGCAACGGGAATTCACCCCGTTGTGCAGATTCGAACCGGCGACCTTTTGATCAACCAGCACAGCAACACAGCAGTTTAAACCACTGTGCCACCTGCATATTTATTTATTTGTTAAAAGCTTTTCTAGGCCATCCACAACAAGCATCTCGGGATGGCTTACAAGAAAAAGAAAAAGAAAAATATAAAACAGAACAAGGCACTGCATCCAACCTCAATAATTAAACCCAGAATAAAACCAATTAAACATTAAAATGTTGGGAAAAGAAAAAGGTTTTTGCCTGATGCTGAAAGGAGTAAAGCAACAGTGCCAGGCAAACCTCCCTGGGGAGTAAATTCCAGAGTTGGGGTACCACCGCCAAAAAGGCCCTGCTCTGGGTAACTTCCCTCCTAATCGCCTTCAAGGAGGGCTTCCAGAGAACATCTTTGCGTCAGATCTCAAGGGGCGAACAGGCACATAGGGAAGAAGGCGCTCCTTTAGGTATCCAGGACCCAAGCCATTTAGGGCTTTATAGGTCATTACCATATCAAAGGAAGTACTTCTTCACACAGAGTATTGTTAAGTGGGAAGTGGTGATGATTGCCAATCCAGATGACATTAAAGGGCGATTGGACAGATTCAGGAAGGAGGAAGCCTTCATGAATCATTTGCTGGCTGTGTGCTACCTCCTTTTCCAGAGGTGGACGGCCCGAGTAAGCTTGGACAGGTGGAGGTTTTGCACCCATCCTGCTTGATGGATCCTGTGAGCAGCTGGTTTGCCATCATGTTTCTGGAGTGCTGGGCTAGATGGACCTTGGGTCTGATCCAGCCTGGCTTTTCTTATGTTCTTAGATGTTTGTATACAAGACTAGCAGCAATGTGTAATTGTGATAGTGCAAAGGCAGAGAGAGAATTGTGAGTTGGCTGTGATTCATCTTGGGGTTCAGTGTCTTCCTCTGTGAAGAAGTGAAAATGAGGAATATGCTACTTTTCAAATAGTATTTTTCAAAGGGTGCTGCGTTCCTAAGGTTTCTATGGTTTTAAAAAATCCAGGCAAAGTGGTTAGGTTTTGTGCTGTTGGACCAGCCATGAAGCCAGTTCAAAAGATCAAGGTTTTTGCTGAAGCTGGCAATGTATATAGCTTACAATTCCAGTTGCTTACTTCATAGATAGATACACACATTTTAAATAAGCATTTCATTTGAAAAATGCAGGACAATAACGATATAGCAACAAACATGTACACACAGAGAGCTTGTTTGCATTATTCATTTTAGATTCTGTGCATAATACAAGAGTGTTACACCTCTGTAACATTTTAAGTTCTGTTACAACCACAAAATAATTGCTTTTCCATTATTCACCTTGCTACTTATCACAGCTTTCCATCAGCTCAGCCCTGCAGGCAGGCAGCTTTTCTCAGATTCTGCAAGGGCACAGAGGGCAAAGGCTTCAGGCCTCAGGATCTGTGTTAGTCCTGTCACACTGCGGGAGAGAATCCGTAAGTAGAACATGCTTAATTTCCCAGGTATTAAGGAAGAGTGCATGCCAGGATCATAGTGGGTCAGGGCATACAGTACCCCAACAGGGCGCTCTGCCTACCAACCTGGAAACACTACTAGCACATGGGAGGACTGTCCTTTTGAAGGATGACACAGGAACTTTTGGTAGGAATGGAGGTCCATGTGTGTAGCGGGAAGCAGTTTGTCCTTAACTGGATCTGAAAAGCAGGGCAGGCACATGTACTCCTCCTTGCAAAGGATCTTTTGGCCCTGTGGGTTCCCCTGTACATCTGAGGAGGCTCAGTGCCCAGGTAGGAGTCCACTGGGAAACCCCACCTACCCCTCCTCAAGGTCCAACAATAGAGGAAAGGCAGGTTATAAGTGTACCAAAGAAATCCCAGTCATTTTGTCTTCTTTCTTGAACCCAGTTATTTTCAGCTGGCTTCAGCTGTTGTTTACATTTCCGCTTTTAGGTTGAGAGCCTCAAATGCTTTGGCTGACATCAGAGGATAAGTGAAAGATCAGACATGGCATCATAGCTAGGATTAGGACATGAATCAGTTGGTGTTTTTTGCTATGTTCTGCATTTTGGCGCACCTGAATTCATAGAACTGGCATGCATGCATGTATTTTTAGAGACTTTGAAGCAGAAGGGTTAGAACTTAGGCCGTGCCACTTATGCAGAAAAATGCCATTGCTCCACTCTCTGAGAAATGCCTTTTTTCTGTTCTGCAAGTTTCTTTGTTTCCTGATTTATCAGTTTCCTAATATGGGTAGATGAAAAAACCAGCTGCTCTCTTTAAAGAAGTGAGCCCACTTCCGTTACAGCAGCCTTTGCCAAACTGGTGATGGAGTGGTTAGCGTTCATCTTCTTTTGCCTTCCCTTTTCCCTGCCCCTGACTTTCAAAAAATGGAGGCCCATGACTATGACTTTAAAAATAGCTAAAGCAAACTGTTTCAAATGACCTACACCATTGTCAGTATGAATTCAGCTCTGGGGTGGTGTTCATCACTTGCAGGCAATGCTAGGAAAACCAGCTTTCACACCAGCACCAAATTTAGAGTTGCAATCAAGTAATCCCTCTGGTATACAATCCAGACAGACCGGGAAGCAATTAAGGAATATAAAACTATGTACCATGGTGAAGTTTACCGAAGACACCTTTTAAGCCTTCCAGTTTTGTTTTCTTACTGGTGTTCCAGAAAGAATTACTGCCATTCAGGTAATTTAGGATTTGGGTGAGGGGTTTTTTTTTGGGGGGGGGAACGTTCTGAATGTGCAAGGCGAAACAAAGAACTGTTAAACAAAAATAACATTTTTATTTCAAGAAGCACTGCGGCAGAGAAGTTTATTGGTTAATCTATGAGATCAAGTCTCTAAGGTTTTATTGCATCCAACGTACCATCCTGTGCTCAGATGCCATACAATAATCCTTAAAGAAAAGCCGGGAAAAAGGCATAAGGGCTGTTATTTCTGTGGCCAGTGACACAGATACTGAGATTTTATAATAAAGGAACTGCATTAACTCCACTTACCTTTGAGCAGGGCAGTTTGGAAATAATATAGCTGCACACAAACACACTGCCAAGCTTCAGCCATGGCCCGAGGTGTAATTCCACATCAGGCACAGTAAAACAGATAAACAGCTGATTTGCACTGGCCGAGATCTTGCTTAGAAGCAGGACATGGTGCACTTTTGCAGCTTTGCATGAATGAACTGCCCTCTTTGGACACTCAACGGATGTGTTTCAGTCTGAGTAGACAGACTGTATGATTTCAAATGTGATTAACACTTCTATGGAAACCACTTAGGATTTTTTCCTTAATATTTAGCAGTATAAAAATACAACAAAAATAATTCCTGCTGAACTGGCTATCTGTGGCCTTTTGCCATAACAGTTATAGAAATCCTTCTTGTTCATGGTATAACACCGAAAGTCTTGTGTCCTGGTCATGTATGTTATGAACGTAAGGCAGAGTCACAGGGTTGTCAGATAGTGTTCTTCCTATTTGGGCTCTAATTATAATAATTAAAATCTGTTGTTTCCCAGTTGTGACCAATGCCCTTGTTCACAAACTCAGAATATACAGGCCTGGTGGCACATGACAGATTTTACAGCGCTCCTTGACAATATAGAGAGCATAGCCGAAAACGTCTTATTTTGCCACGTTTGCAGAAAGAAAATGTTTGTCCGGCAAGCCCTTAGCATATCTTTCTTGATGGAACAAGATGGAGGTGTGAGCAGAGCCCTGGACAGAAGTTGGAGGTACAGATGTCTGTCCACACTGGGTTCGAAGCAAAAAGCAATGTGCTGGGTGGCCACGCTTAAGGGCAGAGAGAAGACCGCGGACGGGGAGGAACCATTTGAGCAGGCCCAGGCGGGGCGGAACGTGGCACAATCGTGTCCTGAGGAACGAAAAGGAACCTTGCTTAGAGCCTGGGTTGCTTGGGTGGATTAAAGGCAAGATGGCCAAGCAGTACAAAAGCCTTGCTTCCAGCAGATGGGGACACAGGACAAAATGAGGCTTACCCAGGTGTTGTTATGGCATTTTTATCCCATCTTTTTTCCTCATGAGAAACCCAAAGCAGTTTACATACTGTTTCCCCGAAAATAAGACCTGGTCTTATATTAATTTTTGCTCCAAAAGGCGCATTAGGGCTTGTTTTCAGGTGATGTCTTATTTTTAATGTACAATCTGCATTTATTCATGTACAAAAATATCTACATTTATTCAAATATAGTCATGTCATCTTCTTCTGGAACATCGTCTTAACTCTCCAAACTCTGAATTGTGTTGCAACGGATGTACTAAATGGTGGCGATCTGGCTGACGATCTTAACTGGGGCTTATGTCGGTGGTAGGGCTTATATTACGAGCATCCTGAAAAATCATGCTAGGGCTTATTTTCTGGTTGGGTCTTATTTTTGGGAAAACAGGGTAGTTCATTTTATCCTTGCAACAAACACCCTGTGAGGTAGGTTAGGCAGAGTGACTGTCCCAAAGTGAGCTTCACGGCCAACTAGAACCCAGATCTCCCAGGTCGCCAGTCCAACACTCTAGGCACCACACCAGCTCTCAGTTTTAACCTGTGGATCTACCTTGAGATGTCCATACTCATGTGTCCTACCAAGCCTTCAACCGGTCAATTCGATGCACCCCTGTGGGCTGCTTGCCTAGGAAGCCAGTGTGGTGGTAGTCAAGATTTGACTTGGTCGGTAATTCCCAAGTTTCGCATCCTGCAGGAAGGAAATTCTCCTAATGCAATTAAGGCAGAGGATGCAGAAGTAATGAACTTCAAGTACTGTAAAAGCAGGCAGCTTTGCACATTAGCATCCGAGTCGTCTTGTTCCTACTTGCCATGAGACTTACAGCTGTTCCCAGAAGATGCCTCAGAGCAGGCACTGGGGTGATAGCAACACAAATACATGATCCACTACCACAGCTGAGCTTCTCAGGAATACTGAGTGAGGCATTACCGGTAAGTGCCACTATCTAGGATTGATTGTTAGTCTAGAGAGCTCTTCTGCGCCATCTAGAGACCACTAAGTTGTCTCCGTGTTGTAGAATTCACAGCCCACAGTTCACTGAAACCTACCATGTGGCCAGTTAAAGAATCAAGACAAGGCAGTCTCAGGAGACAGAAGAAACATCGTTACGATTTTGCCACTTTCCTTGCCTGCACAGAGATCATTCAGGAAATCCTTTACTGGCAGAAATGTGCAGAACCAGTGGAATGAAAATGCACAATACAATTATGAGAAATGATTCATTCTTTCCTCCAGTGTTATGAATTTATTGATTGCCAGATCTGAAATGGGGGCATGCAGGACAATTAATCCAAAAATTTAAAACATAAATAAGTACAGGTAAGGGAAAGCCACCCTGACACAAGTCCCAAGGCAGGAATCCAGAAAATCCCATGTTTTTGTTGCTTTTGCACCTTGTTCCAGTCAGCTATTCTGATGGCAGAAAACCAACTTTCAGCAAGACTTGCCATGTATCGTTAGGGAAACAACAAGCAGAAAGCAACAGAGGTCCACCAACTTAGTTCTGTACTGACCACACATAAGTAAAGACGTGCCCATAAATTTCAGCCAGCTTCCCTTTCCCACAAAACCCAGAAAATTCTAATTCAGTGGGTGAACAAGAAGGAACAAAGAATTGTGACCGCAATTCCCAGGATCCTTTGTGGAGAAGCTACCTCAGGTTTGGTTTGATTTAAAAAAATAATCATGGAGTTGTGTTGAAAAGCAAGATGACCAAGGAGAATAGAAAGCTTCTCATTAAGAAAGAACTTTTGAAAGAACTTGGGGCCTGGACCATAGACATGCAAGAAGTCAAGTGATCAAAGAGTACAAATTTTAAGATCTATATCCAGTGCAAATACACTGGCAGATAGCAATACAACCCCCTCCGAACGAGTTCTATGGCTTAAGGTTGATTTTCACTATTATCTCAGATACGGCTGCCCCTTACATAAGATGAATGATCCCAAGTAAGTGTGTCACAAATGGTTTTTTTTTTTTCTATCTTTAACTAACGGACACATCTTTTAATCTTACAGCAGTTTCACACAGCACTGAAAATAAAAATCTAGGGTGCCAAAGCTCAGAGTTATAGCAACTTCAGGGGAACATTTTGCTAATACATCTTTAAGACAGATTTAAATATTCATTAGATTCCCTTTTTGCCCATTCGTGTCTAAGAACCCAAACCAGAAAAAAAAATCCTATCGATTGTTCCTTCACACTGTGCTATTTTTATCATTCAAGTTCATAGTGCCTGCACTTGTTAAGGAACTTGAGTTTTGCCAAAATAATAAAAAAACCTTACCTGGTTAATAACCCCTTTTAGTAGTTCTTTCCACAAATGCCAATGCCAATCCCCAAATTCAGCTCCTTTTGGAAGTTATCATGTTCCCCAATTATTTTATGGACCTGTGTCAAAAATGACCTCTTAACCATTGCATACTGCAGTAATAGCAGCAAGTCAATATCCATCAACGTAAACGATGAAGGTAGAAAGGGGCTGACCAAGGGAAAGCGAAGTTTCTGAAATCAGGGGACTGCCGTTTAAACTGAAATTCAAAGCGATTACACTTGCATATGAAAAATAGATTTTAACATTTGATTTTGTTTGCAGGTAGATGCAGGATGAGGAAATATGCTCTTTGAGAATAAGAGAAGGATTCTGCTCTAATTTGGCTGGACTTTGTCCACTTGGAGATCTGGATTACGGTTTGCAGCGCTGGACAAAGCGTGGATAGAGGCACACATCCCGGATATGGTGCCTGTTCAGAATCCAGGTGAGGAATCTTTCTAAACCCAAGCCGTATCCACCATGAGGGCAGGTGCCATATTTACGCTGTTAAGGCAAACAAGGAAGGAAAACAGTAGTCGTACAAATGCTCAACAGATTAAAGGATCACATTCTGTAAGCCGGGGTTTTGCAAGCTTTTTGATCTGCGGGAACATCTGGCAAGCTGACATTCTCCTGGACACCATCAGAAAATGGCTGGCAGAAAGAAAGTTCACTCCACGCCTCCTGTGCTGCTGTCTCTGTGGAGCCACAAAGGTGGGACAGGGCCCTTCCTCTATGGCTGCTACAGAAATTCAGGGGTTTGGCGGTTCGCTCCATCCCACCTCCATTAGCCTGCTTGGTAGATGCTCACTTTCAGTGTAAGAGATGAATGCCCTACGTTTCCATGCTGGCTGTGCAGAATGGGGGGTGGGTGGGGGCCTTCCCTCCTCCAGAGAGGAAATGTAGGCTGCTAGCCTGAACAGGCTACGTAAAGATCTTTGCTGGCTAGTGCATCGTTACGCACCCGATCCCATGGATTTTGCTGTCATGGAGTACAGCTGGGAAGTGACTGCTCGGCATGACCAATTGCTCCGCCATCCACCAGAAGCAGATCTGGAGGATGCAGAGTTGTGTAACAGCCTCTGCTTCCCTCAGGAAGGCCTCCAAGAAGCCCCCCGCACAGTGAAGAGCTTTCTCTGTGGTCAGTGGTGAACTACAGTGGAGATGCAAAACCTCAGGCCCACGGGCCAACTCAGCCTGCCTCACATTCCAGTCTAGACCTGCACCTCCTTTTCACTACAAGTGCTCGCTGGAGCGTTGCCTGGCTTTTGCCGGGCGTCCTCCCACTGCCATTCTCGAAAGTAAAATTGTCTCTCCTAAGGCTTTGGTTCATAGCAGTCTCGAGCTGAAATAAGGTGCTATTTCAACCCCCCTCGCCCGCCTCACATCCCAGTCTGCCCTTTGCCCCACTCCTGGAATATGGCAATCAAGAGCTTCTCCGAGATGGAATAGGGCCCTTGGGCTGCAAAACCTTCACCAGCCACGTCCTACAATGAAAGTATCATTTTGCGAGGTGCCAGCCCTTCAGGGTTACAGCCAAAACCTGCCCAGCTTTACAACGGAATGTGGATCAGCCATGCAGGATAACCCCTTTCAGGGGTAAGAGAGGCAGCCCACTTTCCGGGAAAAGACGGTCCTTTCCTCACCCAAGGAAAGCCAGCCATGTTTGCACCACAAGAAGCCACTGGGACAAGTCGATGCCTCCAGTGTTGCTTTCCTGTTCGTGACCAGTGCTGCAGTTTGCCCCCGTGCCCCAGCCTGGATGTTGCTGTCAGCCCATGAAAGATGCTGACTTGCAGGCACCGAACTGGCCAGCTTGCTCTTTTTTGGGCAGAACCCTTTCCCCAAAACATCGTCTGCTCTGCAACCAGCCGACTAGAGCGGGCAGAAGAAAGAACAGAAAAGAAGGCATCTGCCCAAGGCTATCAAAGCTGCGGACGAGGCCACGCTGCGGGCTCCGTGTGAGGAAGCAGCAATGCGAAATGGAAACCCATCGGAATGGCAATCGCTCCTTCCCAAGCAGGCGTCCTGCCTACGCTGCTATGAAAACCAGCTGCGTGCAATAGACAATGCGCCCGGCTGGGCCATTTGGGTCACTCGAGGGCTGCTGGAGGAGGAGTAGCGAATCCCCGTGCCAGAGGCATGTTCCTATTTCTGCTGCTGCCGTGAGCCCAAAGCTGCAAAGCTAACACAAATCCAAAAGGTGAGGCAGCAGCGGGGCTGGTAGATGTGGCCTCTCTGATCCTGGCAGGAACCCCTGGAGTGCGGACAGCCTTAACCCTTGCTGTTGTCTGCTGCAGCTGTGACGCAGTTCACCCCACAAGAAGCACGGCCCTCTGCTTTTCTTTCAAAGACATTTTAAAGAGCAGCAAGCTGGGCCTTGTACAAGGTGCTGACAGGCAAAGCTTACGAATCCACCGCTCTGCTGTCCTTTAAACCAGCTGGCTGGAAGAGCTGAGGAAACCTAAGCCAGGGAAAGGCAAGGTACCGTGCAAAAGTTTTCATATTTTAAGTATCAGCTGATATTACCAGCCTGCCCCAACCAGGTGCCCCCTAGATGCATTGGATTACAGCTCCCATCATCTCAAACCAGACTACTAGTGGGTCCTGCAGTGCACCTGAGCAAAACCACAGATGCACACCAGTACATACCTGGTCTGTATACCAATAATATGGCGTGGAATCGATGCCCTCTCTCTTGTACCCTTCCAGCAGCTCTTTGCTGTCCCAAATACGCATCGAGCCTCCAACAATCTCGCCGACATTGGGCATCAACACGTCAACCTGAAAGAAAGTATCTTAGTGTGGTTCAGGGCAGGCTGAAAATGGCAGTTCCTGAACTCTTTTTGCCTTGAGTTCTACCCAGTGTGGACAATGCAAATCAGGCAACAATGCTTCCAACCCAATTCAAGGCAATGGGGCACAGCGCAACACGATCCCGGGCTGTAATACCCAATGGGGCACCTCTCCCAGTAGAATGAGGCACCCAGCTGATGAAGACTAACGCCCCAGAAACGCACTCCCTGGTGTGCTACATTACTATATGCAGGGAGCATTCAGAAACATGGTATTCCCTCCACCTATAGTCTGAAGCAGCCCAGTGCAAAATTTTGTTGCCTTGTTCTGCAAACAGTGGGAACCAATGCCAAATGCCAGCAAGCGGGTGATATTCTTGCATGTGTAACATGACTCTTGAAAAACAGTGCTCCACTCTGTTATTTTTCCTTAAAAAAAAAAAAAAAGGAAGAGAAACTTTCGGATCTTTTGACAATCCTGTTGGTTAACTGGTGTACAAGCTGCACTTATCTGGCTGACAACTCCAATGTTCATGGCGCTGCATTAACATAGTAAAAGTCTGTAGGAAAAGTACGGCCTTTTGGATGGATGGAGGGAGATGTGGGAAAAGAACAACATGAAGTGAGCAGTCCGACCGCTGACTCCCCACCCCACCCACTTTGCATGCAACATATGCAGAAAATGTGAACTGACAGATTCAGTAAGGCGGGAATCCTCCGGGCAGCGCTGCATGTAGAAGGACTTTATCTCAGCAGGAAATCGACACAGCAAGATCGGCTCATTAATGGCATCCGTCATCTGTCTCTCTGGAGCCTCTGGAATATCCTACGGTTAAGAACAGGGCTGGTTAGCATCAGCCCCTGCCTCTCGCTTTCTGCCTAGAATCACTCTGCTCAAATTCCCTTGGTTAACCTTGTCGCAGAAGGCCCATCATTTGCCTTGGCTCCCATGGAACCGAGACTGCTTGTGTTTAGACAGGAGACGGGCCTCTTCCACTGCCTCAGTGTATTGTCTGGAAGGGATCTATCCCATATGGAAGCATTCTCCAACCTGGTGCCTCCAGCTTCTTTGGGACTACAGGTTCCATCATACCCTGCACATAAGAGTCAGGAGTTCTAAAGTCCAGGCAACAGCACTGAAAAGCTGCTTCTTGCAGGCAAGCGAGAAGCATCGCCCCAAGGGTATCTACACCTGCATGAAAAAACATTTGCTGGGAGAGAGGAGGAGGGCAGCTTTGGACACTCGTTCTCACAGAGCTCTGCTCCAGTTCAGAAGGTTCAGAATTGGAAGGTGAAGTAGATCAAAGGGGCCTGGGGAGGATGGGACAGCCATCTGAGAGGGAAGGTTTAACTTGCACCGAGCAAGGGGTTGGACGTGATGGCCCTTGGCCCCTTCCAATATTCTATGAGATATTGAGAATAAGGGGGGAGGGGGCATGCTTCTCTCAAGGCCAGATTATTCAGCAGGGCAGGCAGTTCCTGGAGATCACCAAGATGTGCAGCTGGTGGGACGGGACTTTGGGAATGAGGGGTTCTCAGAGGGAGACCAGGCAGCTCTTGGCCCCTTGATGAGGCATCAGCAGAGGCAGACGGCCCAATGAAATGACTGATGCATGGAGAGGAGGCAGGTTCGCCTTCAGAAAGCCCCTCCCAAAGGGATGGGGCACAGGCATATTCATTAGGAGAATTCCTGGAGGTAAACCATAGATTGGGTTCAACAAACCACTCTGTGCATGCTCAGAGATTTATTCTGGCTAATTTGTACTTGGAAGCAATAAAGAATATTTTGCAAGGAAAATGGTCTGCGGCTTTGACTGCTCCAAGGAGGATCTCTGGCTTGTGACACCTCGAGGAAGCCTAGTCATAAGCCATTTAGGGCCTTGAAGTCAAGAAGAACCCCCTGAATTGTGCCTGGAAACCGATCAACAAGCAGCAGAGCTGCCATAACTTGGGAGGTGCCTCTTCTCCATTACTATTTCCCATCAACTATATTCTGAACAGTCTTAAAGGCAGCCCTACAAAAGTACACTTCACTAATCCAGGACAGCAGAACCCAGACCCAGGGGTCAGATCGAGCCCTGTGGAATTTCCAAGGTGGCCATGCCCTCTCCCCTAGTCCCATCTGTTTCCCCAACCACCAAGTTTCCCAGCTTTTATGGAGTTTTAAAAAGCTAGAAATGCCTCCCCTCCAAGTTACAGGCAAAAGTGGATTTGAAAGAACAACAAAATAAGCATACATCTCCAAATTCATAATAGGTGTTGTCCTCCTTCTTCACATTGTGTTCCTTCAGCCACACAAGAGCATCTGTATAGTTCATTCGCCTGAAGGGTCGCTTGGGAGGCTCAAAGTTCTGTAATTAGAGAAGAAACATGCCTGAGAAGACCACGGGATTCCCAAAGCAACATCAGATCCTTCGTTTGTTTAGCTACATGGGCTTGTCCCACTCCATCTGGAAGCTGCAACAGGTTGCACTGACTGGAAATCAGAGCATATAAATGAATAAAATGGGCTCTCCTCTCTCCATTCAAAATTCATTTTATCTTACCTGTATTCTTGCCATCTGCCCCTCTCCCTTCACTGTCTTCCTGATGTCTTTTTCTAGACTGTAGGACCCTTGAGACAGAGGCCTGTCCTTTATAAAGTACCCTGCACAATGACAGTGCAGTGATGATGAAGGGAGAAACCCAAGGGTGGCCTGCTGAGACAGCCCTTCTCACCCAGTCCGCTGCCTCCTGCAGATGCTTTGGGCTACGGCTTCCAGGATCCCTTGTCACGCTAGCTGGGGCTGATGGATGCTGGCATTCAAAACATCTGGAGGGTACCAGATTGCCTGAAGGCTGCCCTTGTGCATCCCTTAGACTCCTCTGTCAAGCATAGGAATTCTGGGCTGATGACTGTACTTGGCAAAAATGTCAATCAAAACAGTGCCATCAAAGATTTCAAAAGCAAAGATCCTGAACTAACGGAGAACAGCTTTTAAATTTTCTTCACTGCCACTTACTGGGTTGAGCTCATACAGAAATTCCGAGAAAGGTGATTTCAGGACTCGGTCCACTACATCACAGACAAGATCCTCCAAACGGTTCAACAGGTCTTCATAGGATATGAAAGGACACTCAGCTTCAATGTGTGTGTATCTGTAGGAGAAAGTTGATGCCTTCTGCATAAAAGAGGTCGAGAACCTGCCCACACCACCAAGCACCAAGCCAAGCAACTTTTTCATCTTGTACAGCCTTGCAAACATCTGGAGGATCTACTAATCCACACAATTTTGTATTGGGCCCTGTCCTCACACGTTTTAAAGCTAGTCCTTCGCAGCATATGGACAACTTAAAAGAGGATGAACGGGAGAGGATGAAGGGAGCAAAATGGCCAAATACGAAAGCAGCTTTCCTGCTCTGCTAGGGTCCTGAATCTGAACATCCTACCTGGAGGTGAGAGCAGTGCTCTGTCTATCTGGCATTGTGATTTGCAGCAGCAAAGACTTGGATTAGCTCAGCTTGCGTGATGACACAGAAGGTCCACAAACCTTCTATTGGCTTCAGCGAGAAAGAGAAATATACACATAGTTGTGGTCTAGTTTTTTCACAAGAAGGGAAAATGGTCAGAAGGAATGCCCTAGCATTTAGGTCCTAGGGAAAGGAGTAGCCAGGGGGGCATCTGAGGGAAAAGAGCCAAGGAAGCAGGCCAGCCAAAGCGTTGAAGCCAAAGTCAAGGTGCCTCCAGGGCCTGAAATATAATCAGTTGCAGAATAAGCCTTGAGGAAGAAAAGACAAGAGAATTAAGCCAAGAAGGGCCAAGTGAGGAAATGTGCTCTGAAAAACTGGATAATTTTAAAGATCCAGATGGCTTCTTTGGTGTAAGATGGAAGTACTGAAGAGGCAGACCAAAAGAAAGAGGATGATTCAAGGTGGTGGACAAAGTGGGAAGTGACCTAAAGGTGCAATGGGCAAAGAGGCATGGAAATGAAGCATACAGAGCCGTGTGGATTTGAACTAACCATCCAACTGCAAGCTATCATCTTCTGATAGTTTCAGTTTCCTCTGCTACATTACCCATAATTAGCAGCACTTCCGACATCTGCTTGATGACTGCCGATCTGCACTTCTTGGCAAAAAAACCCACTTCCCCTTCTCTCTCAAGTAAAGTTGGTGCTATATATCATTGTGGCTATTTAATTATTCTTGTTTTAATTCATTAATAAATAATAAAGTTCATTTAGTCTTCTATTTGGAACAAAAGGCACCTTGGCTTTCCCTTCTCCTCCTGCTTTTTATTTATTACAACACTTTATATCCCCTCTCTATAGGAAGACCTGGTTCAGATGTCACCAGCAACAAGCTATGCACCCACCTGCTCCTTCCTCGCTCCTCGCCTCTGCAATCTTGGCTTCTCAAACCACAGTTCCCCAATGATGTCTGAATGAGGAAACCAGGATATGAAACCAGAGTCTGATCCTGGTTTTGAGTGAGCACTTAAACCAGCTTCCTGGTTTGGATATCACAGGAAACAGTGGCTCAAAGAAACCAAGACTGCTTCTCCTGAAGCTAAGCAAGGGAAAGGGTGACGACGAGACAGTGTCCAGGCACACAACTTATTCCAGAGTCAACAGAAACCACAGCTTATCGAAGCGGTACATCTGAAGCAGGACAAACCGTAGATGACTTGGCTCACCACAATTTAAAAGATGGTTCCCCAATGCAGGGTGGGCAGTTAAGAATCTGAAGCAGACTTCCTCAACCAGGTGCCATTGAGATGTTTTGGAATTTCTAGAATTCCGTCACCAATGGCTAAGCTGTCTGGGTCTTATGGGAGCTGATGTCCTAAATATCTGGAGGGCACCTGGTCAGGGAAGGATGACCTGAAGTTAACAGCCACTGGGGTACTGGAGGAATGGGGAAAGGCGCACAAACTTCCCATATAGCTATGAAAGAGCCCACCAGGACTCTTTGCAACTCTCCTCGTCGGCACTGTCAGTTGACTGGGGCTTTAAAGTCACTCTGAAATAAGGCACAACATAGGCTATCTCAGGAATGGCCCCTTACTCAGCCAGGTGCCTGCGTGTCCGAGACTGTTCAGCGCGGTAGGACTGCGCAATGCAAAAGGTGTCTCCCAGTGCCGGGATACAGGTCTCCAGGTACAGCTGCGACGACTGGGTCAAGTAGGCTTCTTCACCAAAATAGTCCATTTTGAACAGAGTGGAGCCCCCTTCTACCTGTGTCTGAACCAGTGTGGGTGGGGTGACCTGGAAGACAAGGAGAGCCACATCACTACATTGCAGTCTCAGGTTCTGTCTACCTTTGAAGGGTTCCTTTATTCCATCTACCTTTCCTGTCCTGTCCTGTCTTTTGAAATTTATTCATTATTCAATTTATGTATGTCAAGCCATTTTTCCTCTTGTGAGGAACCCAAAGCACTCAGATAGCTGTCCAGTTTCTTTTTGAATGTCTCTAGTGTGGGAGAGCCCACCACCTCTCCAGGCAGCTGGTTCCACTGTCGTATTGCTCTGACAGTGAGGAAGCTTTTCCTGATGTCCAGCCTGAATCTGACTTGTCGCAACTTGCATTCCTTATTCCGTGTCCTACACTCCAGCATCAGCAAGAAGCATAGAAAACAGAGCAAGTCAGAAGGGGCCTCCTGGGCCATCTAGTCTGACCTCTGGCACCAGCCGGCTCTGCTCACGACATGCCCACCATGTGCATGTCCAGCCTATCTTTGAACACCCTCACCGATGGGGCTTCAAAGACCTCTCGCGGAAGCCCATTCCACACCTTCGGGGTCCTGACTGTCAGGAAGTGCTTCCTGGCATCCAAATGGAACCTGGGTTCCCTGAGCTTTGTTCGTTGGAGCGCGTCCTGCCTTCCTCTGCAGGGGAGAACAGGTCTCTTCCCATCTCCATGTGACATCCCCTCACATACCTGTATGACGCCAACAGTTCCCCTGGAGTCTCCTCTTCTCCAGGCTGAAGAGACCCAGTTCCCTCAGTCTCGCCTCATACGGCATCCCCTGCAAACCGGCCACCAATCTTGTGGCCCTACGCTGCACTGAATCTAACCTGGCTATATCCTTTCTGTAATGAGGGGCCCAAAACTGAACACAATACTCCAGTTTGTGGGCGCACCAGAGTCATGTAGAGTGGTAGTAATACCTCTCTTGATCTAGAAGCCACACTTCTGGCTATGCAACCAAGGGTGGCATTCGCCCTCTTGACCACCACATCACACTGCTGACTCATGTTTAGCCTGCGGTCAACCAGCACCCCGAGGTCCCTTTCACAAGTGCTGCTCTCCAGCCACTTGTCACCTGTACTTATGACACCCATTCCTACGCCCCAAGTGCAAGACCTTGCACTTATCCACACTGAACGCCATCCTGTTGTCTCCTGCCCACTTCCATAGTCTGTCCAGATCCTTTTGGATCTGGACTACCTGCTCCTCAGTTGTGGCCACTGCTCCAGTTTTAGTGTCGTCTGCGAATTTGATCAGCAGACTGTTCACCCCTTCTTCCAAGAAGAGATCTTAACCTTCCTCCTTGTGAGGTCCTTACAGAGTTCCTTTTATCTGTCCTAGACTCCCACTAATCAGCTTCATGGGATGACACTGGATTCAGGGTTTTATGATAGACAGATAAAAACATCTCCCTCTCTACTTTCTCTGTGCATTACACAGCTGACTGGGCCCCCGGCTGCCCTTGAACTAAGCTCTTCCCTCACAAGCACAGCCAGGTACACAAAGGCATGACTGCAGCTGGAGCAATGTTTGTTTCGACAACCATCTTGCTATCAGAGCCCGAGCTGTTGGTCTTTCCAGGATCAACCAATCCCCTCCATGCAGGTCATTCTCAGAGTCTGAGCTGTTTTCTACTCCATCTTTTATCCTCACCCAGTTGGCTCCATGGCTTAGCCGGGACTAGACTAGTCCCAGTCCCTTGTTCTTAATGACTGTATCACACTGGATCTCACTAGGGATGTGAATTAACTTTACTATGCTGGATCAGACCCAAGGTCCATCTAGTCCAACGCTCCATGCACACAGTGGCAAACCAGCTGCCCACAGGATCCCTCCAGTAGGATGGGTGCAAGACCTGCCCACCTGCCCGGCTCCTCAGCCACTAAGGTATGCAGGCAGGCAGCCTCTGGGAATGGAGGTAGCATCCCACCATCACGGCAAGATCACGTTCAGCGCAGCCTGACAAAACAGCAATTCAGAAGGCTGCTGGGGGTGGGGGTGATTGTGCTGGGAAAGCTGCACCCCCATCCTCATGTGCAGCCTTTCCCAGCATGGTCGCACCAGTGCAAGGGGGGCGTCAGCGGTGGGCCCGTTGGGCATCTGAGAGAGGCTGCACAGAAGGCCACCAAGGGCTGCCTCTTTGTGTTTTAGGCATGCTCTCCTGTAAGAGGGACCAAGGGTCATGTCTTCTGCTCCAGGGTCCCCAACAGAGCATATGGTGAGACCTGCAAGAGAGTCCATAAAGGTGCCCTCGGCGTGATTTATCTGTTTAATATCTGCCTCCCAGAACTACTGAGCATTGCCATTATGTGTGATTAAAAAACGGGTTAATTCTGCATGGCACTGCCAGCAATTAGCCAAATTAGACCATCACTTATTTGGAAGACTTGGCAGTGTCCAGCAGACACAAAACCAAATTATTTGCTGAATAAGAAACGGCCTAAGATCCTTAGACAAAACAGAGGGATGCCAAAGCAGCAATCCACTGATTATGTATTTTGTGGTGGTCCCCACAACAGTTTCTGAAATTCCCAGATGTGCCTTTAAGTCCAGAAAGATTTGGGGGGGGGTAGCTGTTCTGTGCTCGCGGGGGGGTGGTCAATAAAGCTGGACAGCAGCACTGGCTCTTGCTGTTCCTGGGATCTCATTGCCCCCAGTTATTTTGGTCCTGGTTTCCCCATTTTGCAGTCATGTTTGGTTGCCTCTCCCTAGCAATTACAAGAAATCCAGCAGGGACTAAGGAACTCTGGGACTTGTAAATCTTGAAGGAATAAAGAGAGGCAAGATACTCAGGCTAGAAGTTCCAGAGTTTCCTACAGAAGCTAGGTGCTCAGGCTTCAACATGTTGCTGGTTTTGTTTGAAAGTTGCTTCTGATTGGCTCCCACAAATCTCACAAGAATCGGAGACTCCACTGATCAGGGATGTGGTGCTCCAAATATCATGCCTACAACCCCCATCATCCCCACCGCTGTGTGGCTATGCTAGCTAGAACTGATGGGAGTTGCAAGCCAGAACATATGGAAGGCAACCCACCTGTTACCAGTATCAAACAGACAGAGGAAATGAGCAGGCATAAATGCACCTACAGTTCAGCCTCAGGGTTTTTTCACAACAATGGGCTTGCACTCAGGGTAGCTGCCCCCCAGGAATTCTGGACCCCTCTTCCTTCTCCCCATGCTTTTGGCCCTGGGCATGGAATGCATGTGAGGAGCATTTTGAGATGGGCTAAGTTACAGACTCGGGCCTGCATTTCTTTGCAGGATCATGAGAACAGCTCTGGAGAGCACCAGAGCACCTTTTCACATCAGCAGAATCAGCAGAGGGACTTACTTCGTAGTAGCCTCGGTCAAAGAAGTGATCCCTGAAGCACTGCATGACAGCAGAGCGCACCTTGAGGATTCTGCTCAGGGTCTCCCCTCGGATCATCATGTGCCGGTTGTTCAGCTGCACGTCCACGTCCGACTCTTCGTTGACCAGGTTATCGGCTCCCCCAGCGGGAGCCAGGCCAACGAGCTCCCAGTAGTCACAACTCAGCTCGTGGCCGCCAGGAGCCTGGGGGGACGACAGCAGACGCATGCACCCTTCTCACCACCCAAAATGCAAGTCCGCCAGGAAGCCATATCCATAAGCAAAGCAGTCTTAGGGCAGGAAAGGAAAATAGGGTAATGGATATAAAGATGACACGGGGGCCTTTTCGAGGCTACGGAAATCCCTCCTCCCAGAAGGTCACTTTGCCCTGATCAAATTAAGCTTCAAGCAAGCTACTGAGACTTTCCTTTTCAGCTCCTGAGTTTCGTTTCATTTCATTTCATTTCATTTCACTTATAAACTGCACCTTCAGCCCAAAATGGGTTTCAGAGCAGCACACAGAAAACGGCTAACCTACAATGACTAAACTATTTAGGGCACAATCCTATGTTGGCCAGGGAATGCTGGGAGTTTTTCAGCATCATGTTCAGGTGTTTCAGTAGAATGTCAAAATGAACAATGAGTCAGAAAAGAAAAGCTTTAAAAGATGTCTCATAAAAATACTCCATTATGCTACCACACTCTTTGGATCCAAGCTAAAGCAAAAACATGGAAGCTGCCACAAGACCAGGCTATTTTACTTATGTGGATTAATAGTCCTTCACTAGGTGCTCAAAGATCTCCCTCTGCTGGTTTGATAATGAAAATGCATCCTCTTAAAACAGCCAAAAACTACCTCAAACCATCATTCACTGAAACTGTAAATGCTTTAATGGGGATGCAGAACAGATTCTTTCTGGCAATTTAAAACTAATGTTTATGTATCATAAGATCAACATGCACTTGAATTGCATTTATTTATCTTTGTATTTATATCGTGCCTTTCAGCTTCTTGCAAGCAACCCAAAGTAGCTTGCAGGGCCCACTTCCTCCTCTCCACCGGATCCTCACAACAGCTCTGGGAGGCAGGTAAAGCTGAGAGCCATTGACTGGTCCAAGTCACTGGCCAAGCGGAGAAGAACCCAGATCTTCCATGTCCCAGTCCAACACTCTAACCACTCTACCACACTGGCTCTCCAGTGTCCAGATGGTGAGTGCTCAGCTAAGGAAGTGCCAGCGATGCACAAGAGCCAGGCCAGGGAGGCTTCTGGTGAGAATGGCCCCACACCCAACTTCTTCCGCAGCTGCCACAACTTCAGCAGGGGCTGCAGGAGTGTTGCAGCTGCCACCTTGCACCTACAATGCATCCTCTCCAGAGATCAGAAAGGAAAATGGGAGAGGGCAGAGTCCTGGATGGGGGCCAGTGAAGACTGCCCTATTTCATTGCAGGCAGGCCTCATTTGCTCTTCACTTAGAATGTTCCCTATGTGAAGTTAACCAGATGGATGTTCCGGATTGCATGGAAGGGAGGCAGTTGTGCGATCTGGAGCATTAACAGGTGAACAGCAAGCGTGCAGCTTGCAGAGGGCGACAGCAGTGGCTCCTGGCACACAGACTGCACGTCTGGCTTCCCAGTGGAGATGGACCCAAGAGAACGGCAGGACTACCTGTGTTCCCCTCTCTGCATCAATGCAAGCAGAGCTGCTAGGCCAGCAGAACCGTGTGCTCCAGAGCTTGGTGGGCTGCACACCTGCAAGCCACAGGTGGGAGAAATCACGTAACTGAGTGCTCCTCCCTCTTTTAAGAAACCCCAGAGAAATGTTCGCATTTCAGGGGACCCTGTCTGGCCTTCTGCCAAGAGAGGCAGCTTGCCTCATCTTTCAGAGTTCGGCCAGGGCCTCAAAGAGAGATCATGAAACCCTTTTTGAGAGCAGAGTTTCCAAGCAGAGAAAAGGAGGCTAAAAATGGGCAGTTTGGGCAAGTGGCCTGAGCGAGAGCCAGCAGGTCAAATGCACTCACCTGCTTGCCTTCAGGAACAAGGCTGAGGGTTCCGTAGACGGCAACGGTGCTCTCCGTGGAGAGGATCATGCTGTTGTAACACTGACACTGAAGAGGAGAAACAGGAGAAGATGCGGCCTGGTGGTTTGAGCTTTTGCCTCAGACTTTACACGAGGACAGAAGAAACACATCACCTGGTCCTTCCCAAGGAACTGTTTCATGCAGGGAAACTTGGACGGGCAGGCCTCTGGGGTTCACCAGATGCCCCCTTCCCGCATCCTGCCCCTTTCCCCCGACCAGCTGGGTCCTTCCCTGGCTTTGACACAGCCCCCACCCGCCATTTTAAAAGGCGAAATGTCTCTCCTATGGCCTGGTAAGAGCTACAACATGTGGCCATTTCAGCATTTCTGGTCCTGCCACTTTTGCATCTGCCCTCAACACTACTCCCCATGGTTCCCAAGAGCTTCTCCAAAATTAATTTTTCCCTCAGGCTAAGGCAGGCCTGCTACCCCTGAAATGATGCTCTATCACAAGTGCCAAGAGGTACAGCCCACCCGCAAGCAGAAATGCCACATGTTCCCCCACGCTGCTCTTCCCCGCAGCCACACTACTGAGGAGTAAATGAGGAGAGGCTTTGCATTTTGCAACCCTAAGACTTCCACCACACACAAGAGGGAATCCCAGCTCAGCACCTGGACAGGGGGCCCAGCATGGAGCTGCTGGACTTCTTCCTCCATTGATGCACATGCATGCACCTGCATGAGACGCACAGCACTGCTAGCGATTCCACACAGGTTTTAACAAAAGCAGAGGAAATATGTGAATAAGTATCCATTTGAATATTTGGTCCACTTTGGTTAATGCGGCCTCCCACCTAAATATTGAAAGTATTGTGAGGTCCTCACTCCATTGCGTTATAGGTGGTGAGTGTTTTCTTTCCAGTTTTGTAGTTATCGGGCTTTCAAAAGGGCGCAGAATCAAGGGCATGTGTTAATTTACAGGAAGTAGGCAAATGACTTAAAAGTAAATGTCAGCAAATATTAAAGCCTTTCCCAATACAAAATCTATGAAATAATCTGCTCCCCAAAAGAGGCAACTTATTGGGAATTATGTAAAAGAAACATTAGCTGTACCACACCTCCAGTGACTACCCAAATTAGACAATCCCTTATTAAAGAGATTTCTGGACATCCAATAGCCATGAATCAAATCTATTTGCTGAATAAGATACAGAGATGTGACAGGTACGTGCCAAAGTGATAATCCACCATTTTGCGGTGGTGCCCACAGCAGTTTCTCAAATTCCCAAATGTGCCCATAGGTCCAAAAATATTTAAGACCAAAAAATAAAAATTAAAAAAAAAAAGGACAGGAGAAAGATGAAACACCAGACGGGTTCATAGGACAGACATGGAAGGATTACAACTCTCATCGTCCCTGAACATTGGCCTGCCAGCTAATAATGAACAGTATCTGAGGGTCCCAGCCAGGTAAGGGCTTGCAAAGGTATTCCTATCAAGCACCCCTGAGTACAATTCCAGCCTCTAGGAAGAAGTAGCTAGCCAAGATGTGGGCAGGAGAGAAGCTAGAGGTGGGGCAGCCTCAGTCGACAGAAAGAAAGCAAATTTACACAAGGTGTAGGCTATGCAGGTGCTGAAAGCTGCACTGCTCAGCCCCACAGCCAGCCCAGTCCAGCACTCTGAGTGGGCACCATGGCAGTTCTCAATTGCCACTAGCTTGTAAGACCTGAACCCCCTGCTGGATCTGTGTGGAACAGCAGGTAACCAAGAGGATGCCACCTACCCAAACTTCCTCTCAATAGGCCGGTTCACAAGCCACCATAGGCTGCTGCAGGTTCATTTCTGCATGGCACCCAGAGACATCCAATCCTATTACAAGCTACGGGTTATATAAGGGTTCTCTAAGGGTTCACATGACAAGGTATGGCAGGCTAGGCCTCAGGCAAAACTGGTGTCCGTGGGACACAACAGCCCCTTGAAAGTAAGTGAAGCCCATGGTGGACTGTCAATCCTGATTATTAGTCTGCTCAGTCTCTTCCCCTCCCTCCCACCTGTGTTTTTTCTCTTTTTTAAAAACCTACTTTTATTATTATCTCTGTGGTGGTGCCCTGATTGTAGAATATGCTCCCCAGAGAGGTTCGTTTAGCACCAACACTCGTTTTCTTTTTAGCGCCAGGCAAAACCCTTTTTATTCTCCCTTTATTTTAATGTTTAATTGGTTTTAATTGTGATTTTACTGTGAACTGCTGGATGCAGTGCCATTTTTAACCTGTACTTGCTGTAAACCATCTCGAGACGATAGTAATGGGATGGTCTATAAAAGCAATAAATAAATAAATATTATAACAGTTCAAGAGCAGAGAAGAGGAAATGTGGCTATAATGATACAACGGACTGAAGACCCTACAGCACATTCAGCATTTGAATGAGTAATGTATGCTTGCCAATGGACACTTTTTTGACTAACTGGTCTGCTTTTGCTGAAATCAGTTCTCTCAATCTCTCTCTCCCCCTCTCCCCACCCCCATATGCACACACACTTCATATGCATCTACTGAAACGGATAGATTCAAATCTCTGTGGTTTCCTTTGTTATAAAGTGACTCCAGGATTTGAGAATTAAAAGCATGAGAGCTGGATGTTTGTGTATAGTGTGAACTTCAAGGGGACAGGGAAAGTAGCTTACCAGCTCATCAGACAAAACACACTGAAGGAAGCCTGTGCCATCCCGTAACACAATAAACATCAAGTTTTTCCCTAGTTAAAAAAAGAAGTGATTAGTTTCAGGATTTCAATTCCCTTTTGTTGACAAGCTTCCCTTATCCCCAAAACATTTTGTAATAAACAGAGGGAAGACCTGGACATGGAGGTACGTACTTTAAAAGAGGAAGTCCTACATCTTAAAGGCGAGGATGGAAAAATCATGGCTCCCTAGATGTTTATGCCTCTAAGATCCAAGATCCTTTGTCTCTGGCTATGCTGGCTAGGGATAAGGAAAGCTGTTGGCCAAAATATCCGGAGGGCCCAGCCCCAACTCAAAGACCACCCATTTTACGGTGAACAAGACACGATTTTGTGAGCAAAAGGCTGCTGGGACAGTCAACAGAAAAGGGTGAAGGCCACACTGGCTGGGAATGATATGGGCTGCAGTCCCACATATCTGGAGGATGCCATGTTGGGGAATGTTAATTGGGTCATTCTTCTAACTTAAACTGATTTTCCCTACAGAACCCTGGAACTGTTATTCCAGTGTATTCACTGTATAACGAGGCTGCGAGATTGCCAACGGATGTATCAATTCTGATGCGTTAAGCATTTTGCACTGAATTGTTCGTGGCCATTTGCCTTTGGAAATTTTGAAGGGCAGATGACACATACAGGTCATTTAATTACCTGTAAATTCCTTGTTGTGAGGGAAGGGTGGTGCCCCTGTGGTGGAGCTCCCGTATGCACAGGAGCTCAGGTGCCATCCTCACCATCTTTAGGTAAAGGTGGGACAGACTCAGACCTAAAGCTCTGCAGAGCGGGCCGCTGTGGCCAGTGCAGGCGAGGGAGCACAGCCACCCTGGGGAATCTCCTGTGGCCACACCAGGACCCAGTCCGAGTCCTCAGGCCTTGAGACAACATGTAGCCTGAACTGCCAGACGGCGGCTGCCGATGCCCAAAGGCTTTTCCCACATGTGACCTATTCCAGGTGTTTGGAAGTGATCCAACCCCAGGTGGTGCCTTGTGGCTTAGCTGAGATTTCCACCCAGACCCTCCACCTACTGAGGTGGAAGAGAAAGGGGACAGAGCTCACTCAATGTCTACTCTTCTTGCAAAGGGCACAGTTCCTGAGCACCCTTCAGGGTTGCTTCTCCTACAAACGTGGGAGCATTCTTTAATGGGGCACTTACCTTGTCTACGCAGTCTGTGAACCCAGCCAAAAACCTTTACTCTCTCTCCTCTGTGGTCTGCAAGGGCACGGATTTTCACCTGTAACAAAGCACCCAGGTAAGCTTTATTTGTTCTGAAATTATGGGAATCGAGAAACACTGCCCAGGCACTTAATATCAAATCAGGCATACTAAAGTGGCTCTTTTTGCAGGTGACTATTTTTTTTTTCTGTTCATGCTTCCCCAAAGCGGATGTTTTCCAGAAGTCTCAGGCTGCAGTTTCCATCCTCCCCAGTCAAGTGAGATATGGAAACTAAAGCCAAGCCCATCTGGAAAAGATCAGGTCAGGGAAGGCTGGCTTACAGATCCTGTGCAAGCATCTTCTGAATATAATTCAAAAGGCTGGAAATATTTTGGTACTAAATAACATAAGGTTGCTTTCATTTTTGTTGGTCACACACCCACACCCCCAGTATTATGGAACGCACTTTGAAAAATCTCAAATACCATGGTACTGCAACATATTAGACGCTGCACTGCAAGTAAAATATATCTCTTTCTTAAAAACAAAACAAAACAGGGTAGTAGAACACATATTCAACCCACAATGGGGCACAACTCCATGGCAGAGCAGGGGTCAAGTTCGCTTTCTTTTACAGACCATCCCTCAGGTGGGCTATGATCTGTGCATTTTTAACTGCCCATGAAACTTGTGCCAAAAAAGTCTGAATACCTTGTGGCTGTCGTAGTATGTGCAGAATCAGCCCATTTCCACAATTTGTGCAATTTGGCTGATTCTGAGCAAATTACTGCAGAACCACATGTTTCTAGAAGATTACATGCACCGATTCCATCGGTGTTTAAAACAATATGCAAATTGCCATCGATTTTAGAGATGGAAATCCATGAGCCAGTTCAACTCACCATGACAAGACAGCAACAGTTCACAGGCCTAACAAACCAGAACCTGGGAGACCAAATCACTAAAATCCACTGGATTTTCATCCCCTATTGGATTCCTCACACACCTCAATTGATCTACATTTCTGCAAGATATTTATTTATTTCACTTATATGTTGCACCCAAAGCCATGAGGCTCTCTGGGCAGCTTACATTACATCCAACAACAAATTAAAAGATTCCAAACAATACAGAAAAATCCATGAAATAGCACCAAGAAAACAATAAAAGCGATAAAAGCAACATTCATTTAATAATAAAACCATTTAAACCATCATTTAAATAGAATTGTCTGGAGACTAAAATTGCAACATGGCAGTAGGAGAGGACCAGGAAAGGAGTCCCTGTGAATTCTACTCCGCTTGCTGCGATGGGTATGGGGCAACGATCATCTCTGTTTCAACATGGCAGTAGCTGCAACAAAAATCGGGATAATAGTCCACTCTCAAACCAACCCACTCCCTCACCAAAATATCTGCAAAAACGAAATGGCCAAGATACGCTTGGTCAATCATCGAAAGGTTCACATGCACAGTCATGGGACACAGCAAACACTCGCAGGGCTGCAGCTGCCTTGCTATTCAGCAGAAAAACCCTCTGCACAGAAGGAGCAAATTCTGAATGAACATGCCTAGGACTGGGCTGGAACCCACCAGCCACACAATCCATGGAACATTTCTCTCCCTCTTTCAGAGTCAGACGAGGAATGAAGTGGACCACAAACTTTACTGGTGACCACAAGCTTGAATCCGGTCGCTTGTCTATCAGGGTAAGGCTTTCAAATTCAGTTTATGTTTCGAAAGAGTTGCGTTTGTAACAAAGAAAACTACAGAGTCTGAAATGTACTAGAACAGGGATGAGGGATGTGTAGTCCTCTAGATGTTGCGGGATTACTGGTCCATCAACACCTCAGTATTATCTGTACTTGCTAGGGCTTGCAGAAGCTTTAGGCAGGCAACATCTGGAAGCTGGCCTATCTCAGCACCAGCAACAGGACATGCCGCCAGTTGCTTCACATACTACAGACCCAGTGACCCCAAATCTGCTCTGAAAGGTCACCTGGCCACCACTCGCCATTCCGCCCGGAAGATGAATATTCCTACACACAACCCCTTTTGCTCCAACACTTCTAAAAACAGCCGGGTGAAGTTTAGGATGTTCACTCACACATTTGGCTGCTGGGAGATTAGGATCTTCTTTAATGACAATCTTCTTAGCTTCCTCCAAGTTCTTTTCACGGCGCAACAGGTCTTCTGCCTGTGGGATATTACACAGAAAACTATAAAATACAAGCCAATAAAAAATAAAGTTACAATACAAAATAGTTAAACTATACCAGTGGCGGTGAACCTACGGCATGTGTGCCACAGCAGGAACGCAGAGCCCTGTGTGTCGGCAGGCAAGACAAGGCGCAGCAGCTTCGCCCAAACAGCGGAGCATGCGATAAGAGCGCACAAATGGGAAATGCGCACGGTCAGGAAAGAGAAGCGGCACCAGGTGATGACGTCAAAAGCCACGACTCATTAGCCGCGACACGTATGCGCTGTCACATGGCCGGTAAATGCACTGCCAAAGATCATTATCCCTCCCTCCCTCTCTTTCCCCCAATCTAAGCATACACAAATACAGATGGCTGGGACGGGCTTCAAGGTGTTTTTTTTCTAAACTAAGACCTCAGTTTTAAGGTTTTATTCTCGTTAAAATGGGCAAAAATTTTCAGATTTGCAGAAAAAGCTGCTCAAGGAAGGCTTTTTAAAATCACCCGGTTTTCACTAGAACTTTAGCCCTGTATTGGGGTTAGGGATGTGCACCAGGGTATGGTTAGGGTTAGAAAAAGAAGCAGTCCAAGCATGATTTCGATGGTTGGAATGTGTTTAGAATGGGAAGAAAAAATGAGCGGTGCAGAAAAAGCCACTCAAGGAATGCTTTTTAAAATCACCATACTCTCACTGTTACTATAGCCCGATAAAAGGGTAAGTGGTGGGAAGCAGGGAAGGGTGAGGGTTAGAAAAACAAGGTGGCCAGGAAGAATTTTGATAGTTGGAAGGTGCTTAGAATGGGCAGAAATGAGATGTGCAGAAAAAGCAACTAAAGAAAGTCTTTTTCAAAATCATCATTTTTTCACTGGCATTTCAGCCCTGTATTAGGGTTAGGTGTGGGCACCAGGGTAGAGTTAGGGTTAGAAGAACGAGGTGCCCTGCGGAAATTTTGATGGTTGGTATGCATGTAGAATGGACAGAAATGTTGAGCAGTGCAGAACAAGTCACTCAAGGAACGCTTTTTAAAATCTCCTTCTTTTAATGGGAACTTTATGCCTGCATTAGGGCTAGGGGTGGGCACCAGGGTAGGGTTAGGGTTAGAAAAACGAGGTGCCCCGGAGGGATTTGGATGGTTGGAATGTGTTTAGCATGCGCAGAAACGTTGAGCAGTGCAGAAAAAGCCATTCAAGGAACGCTTTTTAAAATCTCCATCTTTTAATAGGAACTTTATACCTGTATTAGGTTAGGGGTGGGTACCAAGGTAGGGTTAGGGTTAGAAAAACGAGGTGCTCCGGAATGATTTGGATGGTTGGAATGTGTTTAGCATGGGCAGAAACGTTGAGCGGAGCAGAAAAAGCCACTCAAGGAACGCTTTTTAAAATCACCCTATTTGCACTGGAACTTTATCCCTGTATTAGGGTTAGGGGTGGGCAGCAGGGTAGGGTTAGGCTTGGAAAAACTAGGTGCCCTAGCATGGTTTTGATGGTTGGAATGTGTTTAGAATGCGGGGAAACGTTGAGCGGTGCAGAAAAAGCCACTCAAGGAACGCTTTTTAAAATCACACTCTTTGTACAGGAAATTTATCCCTGTATTAGGGTTAGGGGTGGGCACCAGTGTAGGGTTAGGGTTAGAAAAACGAGGTGCCTGGGAACGATATCGATGGTTGGCATGCATGTAGAATGGGCAGAAATATTGGGCAGTGCAGAAAAAGCTACTCAAGGAACGCTTTTTAAAATCACCCTCTTTGCACTGGAACTTCATGCTTGGATTAGGGTTAGGGATGGGCACCAGAGTAGGGTTAGAAAAACGAGGTGCCCGGGAATGATTTCGATGGTTGGTATGCGCGTAGAATGGGTAGAAATGTTGAGCGGTGCAGAGTAAGCCAGTCAAGGAACTCTTTTTAAAATCACCCTCTTTGCACTGGAACTTTATGGCTGTATTAGGGTTAGGGGTGGGCAGCAGGGTAGGGTTAGGTCAGTGGTGATTATCCTCTGGCACGCCTGCCACAACGGGCACACAGAGACTTCTCTTTCCGCTCTTGAGCCAAGTCATGCCCGTATCGCCCCAGCAGCCCAGCAGTTGATAACAGCGCACATAGGGGCCATGTACATGCTCGGAAAATAGTAGTCGCGCCAGGCAATGACGTAACGAGCCATGACTCATTAGCCGCATGTCTTCTGAGAGTTTTCACTGCCAATCAATCCGCTGCGAAGGGTATGGTTGGACTCGCTGTGGGTTGTTTTTTCTAAAGTAAAACCACAGTTTTCAGGTTTCTTTTAGTGTTGGCAGTTTGTGATAAATAAGTCGGTTCTGGGTTACAGTTTGGGCACTCGGTCTCTAAAACTTTTGCCATTACTGAACTATACTATAAAAACAATGTAAACACTCACAGCCATGTGAAGTGTTTGAAGAAGACAAAGTAAATTAAAACGGAATGTAAGAAACTGGTTTACCTGTATTCTACCTTGTATAAAAGCATGTGCTGTGCAACCTGGAATCATGGGCTCTGTCTGCACAGAGGAATTAAAGGTTCTCTCCCATAAGCCATGGTTCCTGGTTCACACATCACAGGGAACAACCCAGGGATGGAGTGATTGATCACAGTGCAAGTTATAGGGGAATGCTCACTAGAACATTAAAACCCATAGGCGTCTTGACATTAACTTTTAACAAAATATGGACTGGTACTGCTTATCTCAGGCATTTAATCTGCATATGTATTTAACTTCTGTAAGTGCCTAAAAGGGAAGGTTACTGGGTGGTTTGCAAAATTGGACTATGATACACACAACCATAAGTTTTGCATGATATGAAGTTAAAACTACTTTAAAATTTTTAACCAATTGAGCAGTGAAGCAGTATTATACAGAATAAACACACCAGACATAGGTGCCTTTTACAAGGCATTAGATCATCCTTAATTATTTTAAATTATGTTAAAAGCCTCAACAAAGAAATCTATATTAATCTGGTGCTGAAAGGATGACAAGCTGGGCTCCAGGCAGACCTCAGTGGAGTGATCATTCCACAGCTGTGGGGCTACCAAGGAGATGGCCCTCCCCTCAGTTGCCGCCCTCCAAGTTTCCCTTGGATTTTGCACTCAGAGGAAGCCATCGGATGTTGATTATAGTACGTTTTTAATTGGGCCTTGATTTTACAGATGTATGAATGTCTTTCTGTCTGCTATAAGCATATGGTTTTTAATAATGTATTTTTAAGGGTTTGATCTTTGTAAACCATCCAAAAGCTTGGCTACTGAGAACCATGGAAATATAATACAAGAAATAAATGAAAATGGAATTATTGCTGAGGGCAGGTTAATCTAGCTGCACTGCATATGAAAGAGTCCAGGTTTCAGCCACTTAAAAGGAGCTCAAGCAGCATGGCTGGGAAACACAGGAACAGAGCAAGTCAGAAGGGGTCTCCCGGGCCATCTAGTCTGACCTCCGGCACCAGCCAGCTCCACTCACAACATGTCCACCATGCGCATGTCGAAAGCGCAAACGCAGTCCCCCACTACCACAAATTATGCAGCTGAGTTTCCCACATTTGGGGAAATTGCAGAGCTGGAAGAAGCACTCCTGCTCCACATTGAGTACAAAATGTGAGATGGATTGCTCTAACATGCTAGCTGCAAAGCGTCTCTGAAGTCCAGGCTCTGTCCAATGCAGAACATTTTCTGGAAAAGGCTTCTAACCCTCATGTATGAAGCGTGATTCTGAAGATCAAAATGTAAGACAGAAGGCAACCCAAATTCACTAAACATCTGGCTGCTAAGATTTCTGTCTACCTTTCTTACATTGGTGCTGGATGGCACCAAAACGCATTGTATCCCTACATATATGCGCAAACTTTCATTACAAATGCAGGCAATCCCTGAGTTACGAACAACCCATACTCATGAACTGCCATAAAGTCTAATAATTTGTACGAGTTATTGTTGGAGTGACTGTATCATCACCACCATAGAGAGAGAGAGAGGAAACATGGGGGGGGGCGCTCCAAAGAGCACCACAGAGAAAGAGGAAGTGAAAGGGAAAAAGGGAGGCTTCCAAAGCAGGACTTCCTGCCCTGCCCATCCAGAGAGGGAAATCTGTCCAGCCTTTCCTCGCTGCAAGAGGAGGTACTGGTGAGTTGGGGGAGGCAGGGGCTAGAGATATTTGCAGTTTTTCCACTTTTGTGGGTTCCTGCACCCCTAACTCCCATGAATGTGGAGATGGTCTGACTTACATACCAGTCTGACTTAAAGACAAATTTCTGTTTTCTCAGGAACAGAATTCATTCCTAACCCAGGGGCTGCCGGTATATAACATGGGAAAGAGCCCAAATGTATCTAAAGCAGCTACGGTCCTGTTAGATCATCAGTTTGCTCTTTGGCAACTTGGTAAAATATCCTGCAGGCATGAGGAGACTTTCAGCCAAAGGACTGAATTGCAGGCTAAAAAAATTCCCAGTGGTGGGTGGAGTCAGAGGCCAGGCGGGTATTGCTCTTACCAGCAATAACTAAGCCCTAGCAAGAGCATTTCAGCATCTGAAAATGGGGAATGAACTATTCAAAAGCTGGGAAATCATCCAGTATATGATGCAAGTGTGACCAGTCCAACACTTCCCATAGAGTTTTACAACTAAGTGAAGATTTGAACATGAGCCTCTTGGTAAGGCATTATTCAGCAGCCCCTGTGGGAATCTCCCTTTAAAGCTTCTTTGTTTAAGTTAAGGTCACGGAATAGTCCTGGGATGCTGACATGTTCTCCTTCAAATTGTGAGCAATTTTGGTAATCAACTCATAAAAAACTGAGAAACCCAGAAATACCCTAGCAGCATAGGAGTGCTAGGCTATTAAAATAAACAGCTCGGGACCAGGATATCTGAAGGACTGGCTGCTCCCATATATAGCTACCTGGTCCGTAAGAGCTGGTGAGGAGGCCCTTCTGAGACAGCCATCCTTTAAGGAAGCAAAGAGGATGGCAAATAGAAGAAGGTCCTTCTCATGGCTGCCCCCCATTTATGGAATGGCCTTCCAAAAGTAGTTTGCCTGGAGCCATCTTTAGAATCTTTTTGGCACCAACAATCATCTTCTCCAGACATTTTAATAATTGATTTTATACTTGAATATTATTTATACTGTTTTTAACTTTAATATATTTTAAGTCACTGATATCTGACCTCGGTTGTGTATTTCTCTGTTTTATTGTAGGTCGTTTTTAATTATTGTTATTTTATGAAATATTGTTATTTTATGTCATACTGTAATCCACTGGAGAGTCTTTGGACTAGTATAGAGGAATGTAAGTTGAAAATGATGATGATGAGTCTTCTGTCTACCATGCCAGAGGTGGGAAACATGCAGCCTTCCAGATGTTGTTAGAATGTAATTCTCATCCTCCATCACCACTAGCTATGCTGGCAAGAGCTGACCGGAGCTGCGGCCTGGCATCACCTGGACGGCCACTCCTATACTAGGCCACGTTGACCTTCCAAGCTCCCAGATCATAGTTGTTGGTGGAGTGGCCCTTGATTCTGCTCTGAGGCCCACCCATGGAGAGCAATACCTCCACTGGGAAGGTGGATGCTGACGCTGCACGGCAAGCACAAGGTTGGCAAGAATTCCAGGGGCTATGGAAAACTGACAGATGGGCTGTGGAAGACAATGGCACGGCAGCAGGGAACAGATTCAGCAAGAGCTTAGGAACACACGCCTCCTGGACCACTCACTGGAAAAGCAAGAGTGCTAAAGGAGCATAGTGGATAGAGCAATGGGTTCACATAAACATCCATCCCTGACCTGCAAGTCCATACACTAATTCGCTCTATCGAGGACAGAATGGACGCTCTTTCTAGCATCTTGCGTCTCGCCTGCTGGGGCCATTTTCATTCATTCATTCAAAACTTTTGTATACCGTCCCATCAGTGACGCCACCCATGACACCATTCAATGCCATAGTTATCAAAGAAGAAACGCACGTGTGACTCAGCCTTGAGAAGGTCCAGAGTCGAAGCTCTGCTCATCTGAACAGCCTAGGGCAGATGGGCAGACAATTTCCCCCCATCTCCTTCTCTGTTTCTCTCAGGATGACTGCACATGCTCTACCTTGGCTTCAGGTTGGCACAAAGAAGTGGAAATGATGTTTCCCAACCTACCTCCTTCTTTTCTCTGGCTTCGCTTTTCTGTTGCTCCCTCTGCCACAATTTCCTGACGTTCTTGAACTGAGTCTTGGAAATTGTTTCCCATCTCTAGGCAGACGGCAAGAAGATAAGTGAGAGGTTTGCTTTCTGATGATGATTAGCATAAACTACAAGCTCTGACTGATCAACACTGTTTGTAACTAGATCCCCGGAAAACCAGAAAGCCCTCTTCCACCGCTGCTTCCCTGCAGACAGTATTCAACTGCACTCTGCTTCTGACCGTAGAGGATACCAGTAGCCTGTATTTCCAACATTTTGTGTGTGCTGAGAGTTGTCACCAAAACAGCACCATGAAAGCAAAAGAAAAGGCTTGGGAGAAACTATAGTTTGCAGAAGTCTACCCCCCCCCCCCAAAAAAAAACAGGACAACTCTTAGTGGAGGGGGAACTGGGTGTGTGTGAAATATTCTAGAGGGCTGGAATGATCAACTGACATGTCAAAACACAGGAAGATTCCAGACTCCAGCGTTTTGCTGCCGCTCATGTTGTCCCTCTCTAGTAATAACTATTGAAAAGGCAGGTTGTCCATGAATTGGGTCTGGTCCCCTTTATAAAAAAAAATCTAAATTGGTGGCCATCATTACATTGAGTCAATTCCATATATGCATTACATAATGCCACCCAGAAGCATGTTCTTTCGTCATTGTCAAATCTACCTGAAAGTCAGAATAAATCACTGAATCGTGGAAAAGATAAAAGCATTAATGAATTTTACTCCACCTGGTTTTCTTTTTGTGAGTCCACATAGATGGTGGGAAATGGTTCCTTTCCAGCAGCTATAAAAGCCTTAAAAGCAAAAAAAAAAAAAAAAGTTTTATTTGTAAAAGGAAAAGGCAACTAAGTGCACAGTATTTTATATCTTTTCAGCTGGGTGGGTTTCCCCGCCTTCATTTTCACTTCACCTCCCCCAAGGACATCAACTAGAAAAGACGATCAGCCTGGACCAAACAGAAAGCAAATGCCAGTTAACAATTAACTTTCCTCATTCTGGCAATGTCAAAGTGATCTCTCTCCTCTACTTTTCCTTTTCTCTTCCTTTTAAACTTCTACATCTTGCACTGTTTTGTTTGTGAACCTGATGGCCAGGCTGACTTCTCATTCTCATGCCAGTTCGGCGTCTTGCCTGCTACTGGCACTGCATTTCTTTCAAATGTTGTAAGCCACATTGGGGGAAAAAATCGTACTTGAAGCATGTGATTAAAACTAATAAACGAATGAACCAATCAGGCAGAGGCATTATTTTACTGTAGCATTTACCAATGAAAAGTACCTGCAAGACAGTTTTGAAAGGCTTCTCCTGTGTGCCGTCTCCTGTATCATCACGTCCTTCTCGATCAGAGACATAGACCTCTCCTGTACAGGCACAGAGACGTCAGTCTTTATTGTATATACATCACAGGCATGTTCACATGTATACACTCTTCCAACCACAGTCCCCATCACTGCCAGCCAATGAGGGCAATGGAACGATGGGCACTGCAGCCCAATAAAGGGCTGCTCCAAACCAGAGTTAAGCTTTCTTAACCATGGCTTGCTGGCATGTCTGAATCCTAACTTCCTGCACAAGGCAGGATTAAGCCCAAGTCCCTGTCTGGGATTAAGCTAATTGAATTCTATGGAGCTGACTTCTGTCTAGATGGAAGATTGCAATATTATGAGTGCAAAATAAATGTTCACTTTGCTTGCAAATATATAGGCATCTATCAAGGAGGAGGAAGCATCTTAGGAAGGCCGTTCCATATTGTATCCCACCAACGCAAATTTAACATACCCAACATGTTGCTGGACTTTATTAGTGCGTTGTGTCTAATCAGCTTGGTCAGTTATAATTGTGCAGCTTCTTGGCATGAGTCAAAATACCTAGGCCTCTTGTACAGTCCTGTGCTTGGTGGGAAAATGGGATAAATTGGGAGGATTACAGGCTAGTATGCTTGCCCAAGGACCACAGCATTATTCTCTCTATGCTGCTTATCCCTGGAAGTGTTGGTTGTTCTTGAATTCCACAACTCCCTACACTTAACTAATGTGTTTTCATCTTAATGGGGGGGGGGTGTTACTTGATGTATTATATTCTTTCATGATTTTTTAAAAGTATGATTGTTTTGCTCAACAAGTAGCCCAGAGGACTTTGTCACGGGGCTGCTACAAACAGCAGAAATGAATGAAGCCACGAGCTTGGGTTTAAACCAGGAATTTAGATCATGGGCCACGCTGGCCAGGGCTGATGGGAATTAAAAGTCCAACAACCAGGTCTGGTGGGCCACAGGCTCTCTGGTCCTTTCCTGTGCTGCACTAGAGGGCCAGGGGTGGCTGCGCAGGCCCCATCAGCAAAAAACCATACATCAATGGAATGACAAGTACAACTGCAACAAAATCTTGCAGCGCGGAGTGCTGCTGTTAGGATTCCAGCCTCCTTCTCTCTCCTCTCAACACAGCTGGCTTTCTGCAGCCACCAGACTCCTTTGTCCTTGAGCTGCCAGATGATGCCCTGGTGTCCCACAATTAGAACTCTTTTCCCCCTAAACACTTGTTTGTACTTTTCCAACCCTCTGTGCTCCCCCAAACCTGCCAATGCCACTGTCTTTTCTATGTGGGTGGTGTTACCACCTGGCCACTGGAAAGGGGATGAAACTGATAAATATCTAGATGCATCAACATATGGCAGCCAGGATGTGAGTTCCATTTCCACCCTCATCAGAAAGGAGCCGAGAAATCCCGCCGCATTTCTAAACTCGTCGCTAGCGGTCATTTTCCTGAGAGCCGCTGATTGCAAGAAGCAAGCAGGAACGCAGAGGCCCTCTTGCACGGATTTCTGGGTGGGAAGGAACAGGGAAGTGAGGAAAAGGAAGCCTGGGCCGCAGTGCTCCCCAGGCCACACCGCCTCCCCTCGCAACAGCACCGCGCTCCAAGCAGCTGCACCAGGGGTTCTCTTGGAGATGGAGGGCGATTTGGGTGGCAAATTAATCCTGAACTATCGATCTGCTTCTATCGTTAACGGAAGCGGGAGGGCACAGCAGTTTGACAGTTAAACGGAAAGCATGTAGTTAAACGGGATGGTGTATATACGGCTCTGGAATCTGATAGGAATCCTGGGCAGGTTTAGATGGGGGGGGGAGGGCTACAACTCCTAGCATGCCCCAGCTAAGCACTGCTGGCTGTGGCATGCTGGGAGGTGTAGGCCTCCCCCCCCCCCCTCGCCGGGAACATGAACAGAATTACGCCTTTGATTCAGGCCGTGCAACGACAGCCTTGCTCCATCCACCCCCATTCGTTACACTGCAGAAGAAAAGGGGGCGAAGCGCATGGAACAGCGGGCACAATCCGTCCATTCCTCGCCCCATTCAGCAGCAGCCTAAAGCCCTCGGCTCCGACCTCACCGGGAGCGAGCCCAGCTGCCCCCCGCAGGCGCCGCTCGCCCCCGCAGCTCACCCAGCGCCAGCTGCCCGGCCTTCTCGATGATCACCGCAGACATCGCTGCTCCTTGCCAAGGGGGGCCGGCGAGGAAGGCCAGCCGCCGCTGCCGCTTTTGCTTTCCCTTTGCTCGGCTCCCGGCGATTGCGCCTCCCGGCAAGCAGATTGCATCAGGCGTCACGCCGCCGCAAAGCGAGCCTCGCTGCCGGTCGGGCATGGCAGCCCGTCCCACCCACTGTGCGCGCAGCTTGCGGGGCGGGGAGAAGCGTCGTCAGAAGCGGCGCGCCTTGCAAAGAGAGAGCGGAGGCGGGAGCTCCTCCCGCCGCTGCAACGATTTCTTTCTTTCGGCGGGCTTGGCTCCGTCTAGGAAAGATCCAGGGCTCGGGCAGCCCTGACAGAAAAAGCAAAAGCATTGCACGTGTGCTCTAAATTCTGTGTGCGTGGGTCTCTTTCAAAGAGCATACCTCCTAGGAATACCCCTGTTTGCAAACAGACATGTACGGCCAGAGGAAAGGAGGGTACTTTAATTAAGACACCCCTCGGACAGAGGAAAGAGAAGCCGACGCACATGCTGGCAAAAAGTCGGTCAGTCCAGGGGATGGGGTGCCACAGAGATCCTCAGGGCCCCCGGACCTTTATTCCGGCGGGCAGATGCCCACGGAATAGCAGGGTGCCCGGGCAGGCGGCCTCCCTGAGATGCAGGGCTGCAAATGAAAGGTTAGGGGCTCTAGCCCTCTGGGGTTTCTCCTAATACCAACCAGGGGGCAAAAGGCCTCCCCAAGCGCGGCGCTCCAGCCCTGGAGGGCTGCCCTTAACCCCGCCCGTGATTTGTCTCCTTCCATCTGTTGTTTAGAGGTGCGATCCTGCTCCTCGAACTGGAGGCTGATTGGGGTCAAGCCGGGTTTACGGCTGAGTGGGAGGCCTGTTCAACCTGCTGCTGCCCAGCAGTGTTGGGCTACAACTCCTTATATCCCCTGCCAGGCATGCTGGGAGTTGTAGTCCAACCCATCTGGAGGGCACTGAAACTGGGTAAGTTTCAGGGCGAGGTAGCAGCATTTGGCCACCCTCTGACCCAGCTAGCTCTGCTTCTTGGAGAATACAGTGGTACCTTGGCTCACAAACTCAATCCATTCCAGGACTCTGGTCATGACCTAAATTTATTGATTTATTTATTTAGGTTTATATCCTGCCTTTTTCCTACAAAGGGCTCAAGGCAGCTTACATCATTCTCCTCCTCCATCTTACTGGTTGTGAGCCAAGTCAAATTTCCCCATAAGGGTCAATGTAAATAAGGCTAATCCATTCTGCAGTAATTTTTTTGACTCACAAAAATTTGGAGCAAAGTGACAAAGAACAACAAAGATCACGGCCATCTCCCCCCCCCCCCCACACACACACACAGTGATCGTGCAGGGGGGTGGGGGGAGATGGGCGCGCTCGGGCAGGGAATACGGGCGCAATCGCGGCCATCTCCCCCCGCCCCCAGCATGACCACAATCACGCGTGCAGGGAAGGCGGACGTGCTCGCAATCATCACCCGATGCAGAGTTCGTGACCTGCGGCAAAATTTTTATGAAATTTCTGTTCGCTACCTGATTTGGTTGTGAACTGAGGCGTTCGTGAGCCGAGGTACCACTGTACTGGGAATTGTGCTTGCTTTCCTCTGCCCTCCCCATTAGTTGGTCCTTTAGTGTTGCGTCTGTTAGAATATGAGCCTTTAGCCTGGCAGTGTCTGGCTTATTTTCTGAGATCTGTACCGCACTTAGAACACTTTAGGTGCCTTCTCAATGTTAGCATAATTGATATTCAAAAACAGTGGAAGTCCAAAGCAAGTGCTTCTTCCACTTAGGTGCATCCTTGCTATGAGTCCCCCTTTCTTTCACATCAAGGGCAAGGCAGTGTCTGTGCCTTTTCTCGGGGAAAGCAGCCAACTTCTGCTGGTGTTTCCTTGCCTTTAAGGAGACAAGGCAATTGTGTGTGGTTGTGTCGGCCAAGCAGCAGAAGCATGCACTGGCTGAATCCTACGGAATTTTATAAGTCAAAGGTCTGGGTTCACTTCCAGTTCCTTTGGATCAGGGACAGAGAATCTGTGTCCCTGTGGATGTTTCTGGATTGGTTAGGCCCAGTGGGGGCTGCAGCCCAGTACCTTCCACAGGGCCCCACATTCCCCGTTGCTAGGACCAAATGGCTGCTAAATGTTTGCTTGGTCTCCAAAAGGCACGTCTTCCAACTAAGCAGGAAGAACTACAGTACAGGAATGTGTTTAATGCCAGTTCTTACTAAGCAGGCCTCTCCCAACCATGATCTACCTGGACACCATACGCACCTTCTCGGGCCTTGCCCCAAGTGCTGACTTCCAAGGAATGGCAGCAAGAAAGGGAAGGGCTTTCTCAGTGGTGGCCCCCTATCTGTGGAATTACCTCCCCACTGCAGCCCAGCTGATGCTGAACCTGAATTTCAGTGCCTGCTTCACACAGCCCTCTTTTCTGAGCCTTTTAAAGGCTTCCTTGGCCACCCAGTGGCTTGAGAAATCAGGTGTTTTTGCTGAGTCACTCTTTTTTGTTTTTCCTGTCTTAGCTGTTTTACACTTGTGTTTTTTCTGATTTTTTATTGTACTTTTAGCATCTGTTTTTATGGACTTTGTAAACTGCCCAGAGAGGTTGAGGTTGTATAGAAATGAAATAATATTAATAGTCTGAATTCTCCCTGCTCTTTTACTACTCTAGGGTGCCTTTCAATTTCTTGTTAGGGGAGGGGTACTACAACTCCCATTACTCTTGACCATTAGCTCTGCTGGATGGAGCTTATGGGAGCTGAAGTCCAAAACATCAAGAAGGCAGCCAGGGCCTCTCTCTACATTGTCCAAATTTAGTTCCTAAGTGGTGGGGAAGCCTGTGTGGTTTTTGATTCGTAAAGCACTCTGCCCCAGGCCCATGTGTCCTTATTGATTATATGTAGCAGCAGCACTGCTGGAAGCTGTTGCCACCGTGGTTATTGTCTTGCAAAAATCAGCGAACTTCTCTTGAGCTAAGTGAATCAAACTGTTCGCAAACTCACTGGCAGGAGAGCATGCATTTTAAAACACTGAATAAATTTCATAAGATAGTACATTGGCACCACATTTTCTGGCATCTGCTAGGAAAATGCAAACCCTCAAAATAATTATTATTTTAAGCATGCTCAGGGTAAAGGATTTTGGAAAATAAGATGTCCTTCACATCCTGAATCATGAAACTCCCACATGTCTTTATTCATTTGTTGCTAGCACAGCCCTTCTGGGATCTTTTTAGCAGAAGCAGTGTCCCTTAAGGAGAAGGCAGCACGTACACAAAAAAGCTATTTTTCTCTCTTCTATTACCAGAAAAGTATTTTGAGATTACAGAAACCAACACCTGTGTGTTCTTACGCTCTTACCCGTTTAAAGTCAGGGCAGTGGCGACCTCTAGTGGCAAAAGTATAAAACTTCATTCCCTTAAAAATCCATAAGAAGTTAGATTTCTAGCTTCTTCTCAGTCCAATGTTCTTTAGAAAATGGAAAAAGGAGCAGGGAGTAATACGGGCTTCGTTATGACATGGCTAGCCACCAACAACATGAATGACAATGTTATGGGACAGGTCTGCTCTGGCCTTACTGCCTTTCTTGCTGGCTCCCTGGCCCAAAAGACTATCTATGTCCCACCTTTCTCATATTGTGGAACTCAAGGTGGCTACATGGGCCTGGTTACCTGAAGGAGCATCTCCTTCCACATGTGTCTGCCTGCCCCTTAAGACCTGGAGCAGACGCTCTTCTCCAGGTGCCCTCCCTGAAGATTAGGAGGGTAACTACCCAGAGAAGGGCCTTCTCTGCAGTGGCACCCCGATTATGGGATTCACTCCTCAGAGAGGTTCACATAGTGCCATCACTTTATTCATTTTGGCACCAGGCCAAAACCTTTTTATTTTTCCAATGTTTTAAGACCTGGTTGTTCTGATTGTGGTTCATTAACTAAATTTCAGGATGTCATGTTTGAATTATTTTTAAAAAACATTTTGTATTGTTAAACTGTCCAGAGACTTTGATAATAGGACAAAAGTTTTAAATAAATAAACAAATAAATGGTTCTGGGGGCAGGGGGAGTCCCCTGTAGGCTCAGGCCAGCCCCAGAACTGCTTAGTTTTAACATGGTGCAGGCCTTAAGTGCCTTTGGACCCTATTCTGCTCCAAAGGTCCAGGCCATACTCTGGGCTAGAAGCAAAGGAGCGCCTACATACAGTGGAGCTACTTAAGTGCCTTTACCGGGCTCCACCGTTGGCTTGACTTGTGGCACATTGTCCAAGCCAGACTGCTAGTCAGTCCTTCCGCGAGACACTGATGTAGAAGGTAGTGTTACACGCTACCTTGTATCTTTTCTTGCACAGCCTGTTTTTCACTTCTTTGTTCCACAATCGAGTCTTGTCTTCTCACAAAGATCAAATTGATGAGGCCCTCATACCTTACAGTGACATGACTGCGTGAGTCTAGAAAACTGCATAAGTCTCAAGTAGTTTTTAAACACACTTGATGCAAGCAAGTGACTATCAGACACAATTAAATCCCACTGAAAGCACTGGAATCAAAATGCTTTACAATCAAATCCCCATCAATTTCAGAGATTAATGATGGGATGTATTGTGTCCCTAAAGCCTACTTGGTTAACATTTACAAACTAGTGAAAAGCATTTAAACATGTTTTTCATGGCATCAGAAAAGAGTAGCATGCATGTTGAGCATGGAAATTAGTATAGGAGCATCGGGGCAATGGTCTTGTCATGCATCTGTGCTTAGTTTTCTTGTCCAGCAGCAAGGATTCTTATAAAAGGCCTAAGCAATGTCTAGGGTGGTTGGGGGAAGGCAAAAAGCCGTATTTCTGCAGGAAGATTATTTCTCCAGCCTGGCAAAAAGCTCTCTGAGATGTTGCTCTTTAGCAGCCATCAGAGAAACATTTCACTTGTAAGTGGTGGTGAAAACAATCCCATGGTTCCAGGACAAGCATCCAGAATTGTTTGGAATTTCCCTTCAAAGGCCATAGACACTCCTGTGACACGATGGAGTAAATCTGGAAGACTTGTTAATATGGCACGGGGCGAGTCCCCTGTCCAATTGATGGGTCTGTTGTTACTTAACACACACAAATGAAAACATTCAAACTAATGAAATTATGGGTCCACATTGATCAAACTTTAAAAGTTAGTATTTGATATATACACAATTTTTAACAAATAAAATATTTACATATGATAGTTCAGATCTTTTAACAAATAGCATATTTACACTCCATAATTCAGATAAAAGTATGAAAAGCATCCATTTCAATCATCACATTATATTTGTAAATATTGCACCCAGATTCAATGCCTGAAACATGTGGCCGAGCACTTCCTTGTCTTTAAAAGAGAGAAATCATTCCTTGAAGTGGAACAAAATCTTCTACATTTACTGAAAAGAAAAGGTGTAAACTTTTCCACATTAAATAATAATTGTAGGAACGCAGAAGCTGATTTATACGGAATCAGGCCATCAGCTCATCTATCCTGGCAGATAGGAATTTTTCCAATACCCAAGAATTGAATCTGCAGTCTCAGATGCACAAAGTTTGTGCTCCAACACAGCAAATGCAATTGTTCCTAACAGAAATACCAACTTACATAGTTTACCTCCAAAACTGAGGAACAATATCATTAATATTCAGCAAGATAAATTGGTGTTTGCTGACACTTTTTGAAATGTAAACCATTTATATGTCCCAACACAAAACCTGTGAAGAGGTATGCTTCAAAAACAAAACACAGAGCTATTTTTACTATTAAAACATAGTGAATTTGACTCATCCTAAATCTGAACCATCACCCAATGAAAAATAATTTTGTTCAGTTTAGTCTGCTTCACACATGACTTGGATCTCACTTATGCATGTACAGATTACCGTGTGTGAAGAACCTTGCATACCTGTTTTGCCATTCCTCCATGGGGTGGACAGTGTATGCACTTTCGAAGGATGATGGTGTCCACACAAAATAATTCCCATGTACGAAACATGCTGCATGAGAATCACCCCTATTAAATTGTAAGCTACCATGATAAAGACTACAGAAGTAGGAAATCAACGCATCCCCCTCCTCAGAAACTATGCCAAAAATAAACCTTTCACTGATGTATTACCTCTTCACTTTTTCTTGAATACATTCAAGGACCACAAAAAGACTGTGGTGTAAAATGTGTTGCCAGGCAAAAGCCAAAACCCACCATTTCCTGTTGCTACTTAACTCTTGGCCCCAAAGAAGGTCCATGAATCCTTATGGCAAAGATTCTTGGATGGAACCTGATGTCTCTAGAGAGAGGTAAATTCAATTAATAACTTTGCTATTATTTACCTTTCCTTGCCCAAATCTCTGAAAATTACACAACCATACTGCAGTACGCCATGCTAACAGAAAAGGCAAAAAATCTTTGGTTATCTTAAAGTCACCATTACAGCTGAATAAATTAATGGAATAATAACTGTTTTGCTTCTCAGCTGTTCATCTTTGGTGTTGAGGTCAGTAAAAATGTATTTAATGGTTGCAATAAAAAAGACTTAAAATTCTAAGTGCAGTTTTAAGAAAAACCTTACAACTGTAGTGTTTTAAGTCCATGGATTATTTATATCCTTCAATTTCACACGGAACAAGTATTTATATACGAATCAAGATTTCAAAACACCATGCAGTTCTTCAGTTCAATACTCCCAAGCATGGGGCTCTTCCAACCTTGCACATATTTTTTAGAAAAGGATTCCTGAGTCTTTTGTAAAAAATCAAATAAAAAATTAAAAAACTTTGTGCAACTGCTGAAAAAAAAAATCCTGCTCCGCATAGGACTTGGGAAGTCATCAGCTGCTTTCTTCGGCTTGTCTAACTTCTGCCAGTTTGCTGCCAAGCACTGCGCTTAAAGACCCTCGTCTTTTACGAATGATCCGACCAGAAGCAATCAAGTCTGCGTAGCCACGCTGATGAGAGAAGGCGTAAGCGGAGCGGCGGCCGGATATCCCACGACGGAAGACACTCGGCCTTCGCTGCCACTTCTCTTCTTCAGCTTTGTACTTTTTGCGATTCTTCTGAATCTATAAATGAGAAAGATGCGCTATTGATTAAAATTAAGGATTAGAGAGAGGCTCACAGGCTAGAACATAAGCAAAGTCCTTTGAGCACCTGAAATATGCTTTAAGTTGTGAGCCACCTTTAAGTTGTGAGTGTTTTATGGTGATGAATTACTATGTTTTACTCATGAGGAACCTTCCTTGCCTCATTTTTTCCTACTTTTTCAGCCAGGTACTTCATATCAATAATTGTTTTCAGCCTGTTTTTTTTTTCCCAACCATGCAGTATGACAAACTGCATGTAAAACACCTTTTCAAAGGAATTTTGACATGAAGCATCACTGCGGCTACAGCAGCAGAAAACGTAACCTCAAGCTGTGTCTTGGGTTGACGGAAGTAGTTATGCCGTTCTTTGTTTCCTGGTTATCGAGTACTGAAGCCTATCTGTCCCGTGTTTCCATAGCCTGGAACAAGCCAGGCTGAATTCCATTCATCTGATATCATGCTTTTAATGACCATGAATTCACTTCCACGCTCAGTCCCTGCCCCAGCTTCTTTCCAGGAAAGAAAAAACAGAGAGGTTTGGGAAATTAGCTTTAGTGCATAAATATCCACAAAATAGCAAAACAAAAAAAGTTGCATGTTAAAAGGCTAAGCAAAACTCTTCTGTGAGCTTTTGAAAGCTACACATGGGAGTAGGTAACCTATGAAAAATGCTGCAGTGGCTGTACATAGGTACTAAGGTTTATCAAGCTAGAAGCAGAAGAGGCAGCTGTCTTCTATTTCACTTTAGCTCCAGTGAAATTAGAAGCCTTCACTTCCATTTCAGATTAGCCCCACTTTGGTGCACTGACCAAACCTAAACTGTGTTTAAACTTATTAACTGTGCTTCATTGATCCAGTTTCACAATCCAGTTTCATAACCCATATTTTGAGCCACTGTTTGTTTGGTCCACATGATGTGATGATCAGAACTGGAAGTGAGTGTTTCTAAATTCCTGTACCGGCAGAAGAAAGAGACTGGGAGGTAAGTCAGGTTCTTTGGCTATGAATTAGGGAGAAACAAAACCTTCCTGGCCACAGGTGGGATCAGGCATTGCCAGGAGGTTCCCTGTCAAGGGCAAGAGAGCAGCTTTTGTAACTATGGCAAACATGAAAAACACACGCCTCTTCTGTAACACATTCTGGATCTGTCTTTTCTACATACCTTTTCATTCTCTGTGGGCCAAATGGTCATTGTCAAGAAACGAAGTGCAATCACAGGCAGCAAGCAAAACGCCACGGATAATATTATTGTCAGCCAGGTATAAGGCTGCCGAAGTGCATTTGGAGCAGTGCCTGCGAACGAGACCAGGGAAAATTGCATTCTGCTATTTTTATCATGTTCCCCGAAGCCAGTGCTATTTCACAAAAAGCAAGCATGGTTGTGATGTACAATGGTCAGGGTAAAAATACTGACTAAGGACACAATCTTTGCAAGTTTTACTGACCAAGAACGTGCTTTCCCTCACAGGCTACAGTGTGAAGATAAGCATTTTGGGAGGATTTGCAAAAATTAGCAGGACGGATTTTTCAGATTGTAAATTTGTGCAACCATGAATTCACTAATGATGTGCTTTTTGCAAAATCTGATCCAGTTAATGGATGGATGACAGAATGAAAATGGAATGAAGTTCACAACATCTGGGCATCCTAATAAACCATTTGAACTTGTTAATATATATCCCCAACATTCAGCTGTATTTTTATGGCCTCTGATAGGCCTTTGATATGCTGTCAGTTCAGCAATATCAGTGGTACAGAGAATTCAGTACATTGTGCAGCAAATATATGGTTTGCTTGTATCTGGGGTGCAGAACCGCAGGTTCACAGGCCAAACCAGGTTTTCCTATGGGTCTTAATCCAGGTTTCTGGGTGGCCAAGCCCTTTTCCCCAAACCTCCCAGCTTTCCCAGTTGTTTGGAGGTTTCCTAGCTTTTGCATATTTTTCTAAAAGGTTGCAGGATCTTTTTTACTTTGGCCCCATTCTGTTTTGCATTTAGCACCCCTGCCAGCACTTCTCCAAAACAGAATTTGGGATTCAGGCTCAACACTGCCACCTTACATCTGGAATCTTACAGCTTCTCTCCACAAGCTCAAGCTATTCACATTTGTTTCTTAAAAATTTGCTTAACACAACATTTTTAGATACTTAGTAGTAGTACTGCAGCTTGAAATAAAGAATCAGAACTCACCTGTAAACTGAAAGGCTGCCGGGAAAAGGACATGTATCCCAGAACTATGCAGATCAAACGTTATACCGAAGTAAAGTGCAATACTCCCAAATATTGAGAAGGCATTAACGAACGTCCAGTAAGATGTATCCAGACCCATCTACAAGAAAACACAAGAAGAAAGTGAGGGAGAGAAAGAGGTGAATTTTTAAAAAGCTTTTGGAAGACACTGAGTTACGGGGAAGATGGACCCAAGAGAAGGGAAATGGAGTAGGAGAAGAACAGACAGAGGGGCCTTCTCTCCACCCTCCCAGATCTCTGACCCTTGACCATCTTGCCTGCCCTCACATCACTTGCTCCTGCAGCAGATTGCCCGGTTGCTCAAAGGGAGGTGGAAGCACCTCTCACTCCAGAGACAGCATGAATGAAAGCTGTAAACACCCGAGAGGGACCATGCCTGGCCCCTGTACTAGATGCCCGGCTGTTTACATAAGCTGCACAAATGCCCTCCTGGAGATCCTGCTGCAGTTAAGATGATGATGATGATGCAGCAAAGTAAGAGAAAGATGGCAGATCAGAACTCGCAGCTCTTCCAACCTGCCATCTCATTGTAGCAGCACAAAGCCTTTCCCAGAAGACATAAGAAATGACTAATTGGACCTTCTAGTTCTCAACTAATGCAACAGCCATAACTAAAACATATTCTTCAGAAAAGCAACCAATTTTAAATTAATTTGTCCAGATTAGAGAGTCCCCGCTAGAATCTACTGGCACACTCCTTTCTCAAATTTTCTTAAATAATTAATGTAAATAATACAATATCACAGGCTATACATTCACATGCATCTAAAAGTAAGTGTGCCCTTTTACCATTTGCTGACAATAGTAAAGAGAAATGTTGTTTTGGCAGAGTCAAATAATGGGCAGAAAAGTCAAGAGCTGGTTAAGTCCTCTCACCACCATACATCATGTATTCCAGATAAGCGACCGGCATCAGATGGAGCTCAAGTACCACAACAGCTTTTCTCAGCTTTGGAAAAACAATATTTGGCAAATACTTGGCGGTTTGGCAGTCTTTTTGGAAAGCTCCAACATACACTTTGACCTGGTTTCCACATGACGACCCACCATGGGCACCAAACCATGTCATCCCACCCCAGACCACTTTTCCCCCAATGGAGGGGGCTTTAGACATGAACTTATATAGATCTCTTGGCTGTATATGGCCCTGACAAAGAACACGCAAGCCCCTTTATCCTTAGAAAAAAACCCATTTTAGAAGAGAGCCCAGGTTTTGACAATTGTCAGCATTCCTGGATTTAGCAAAGGGGATGAGCTGCCTTATCCACCTTCCTGAGCAGCTAGAGCCTTGGGAATTTGAAAAGTTGGGGGCACTGGGAGAACATAAAACTCATGAACATCACAGTGTAAGCGGAGCACTTTCCATCATTTTCACAAGGAAAGATCAGTCATGCCTTTGCTTTGGAATGACAGGTCATTTTTTCCAGAGCAGTCAAAGCAAAGTGTGTGTGTGTGTACATGTGTGTGTGTGTGTGTGTGTACATGCACACACACACACACAGAGCACCTCCCTGGACCAATATTCATGGCTGCATTTTGATACCCTCTATCCTCCAAGACATCAGCCAAGTGAGACTTCCCATTTTTGCACCCACAGAAATATTTATGCTTGCACTTGTGAAAGTGTACAAATCTGGCTAAAAAGTTTCAAATAAATTAATAAATCCCACGGGGGCATATTTTTTTTGTTTTAAAAAGTCATAACAAGCCACAATCAGCCCTTTCCATTGTGCCACTTGGGCACTTTGGAGGGACTGTCAGTAGCTGTTAAAATGGAGCTTCTAAAACGTGATCCCAAAAGAGAAAAAAATGGTGAGAGGAGGCAGAAAAAGCCATGATGAACAAGAATAGCTCCCCATTTCAGGAGGAAGAATGCTCTGAGCTGCAAAGTCCCTCACATGCCAGCTGGCAGGGGTAAGGAGGGTGACTACCCATCGGGAATGCAACCATCTGTTGGACACACTGTGGGTTATTTTTAGAAGAACCCATTCACTGCAGCTTATCGCCAGGGCAGGCTGGCATGACATGTGAACCCACCTGGTGTCAGTGAATGTGAATGATCCAGGCAGCCATCTCAAATGTGAACAGCAAACAGGGATCATGAACATTATTCTAAGGTAAAGGTAAAGGTTTCCCCTTGACGTTAAGTCCAGTCACGCCTGACTCCAGGGGGCGGTGCTCATCTCCATTTCCTAGCCGAGGGAGCCAGCGTTTGTCCGCAGACAGTCTCCGTGGTCATGTGGCCGGCATGACTAAACACCGAAGTGCACGGAATGCTGTTACCTGCCCACCGAAGTGGTACCTTTTTATCCACTTGCATTTGTCTGCTTTCGAACTGCAAGGTTGGCAGGATCTGGGACGAAGCATGGGTGCTCACCCCGTTGTGCAGATTTGAACCGGCAACCTTTCGATCAACCAGCACAGCAGCACAGCAGTTTAAACCACTGCGCCACCCAAACATCATTCTACTTGCCTGGAAATTGACTGTAATTATGAGAGAAGAGGCTGCTGTGACAGCGAATGACTGATAATCCGACGGTGCTTCTCCATCTTGGCCCATGGTTTGCAGGTAAGCGCCATACGGTATGAAGAAAATGACTAGCGATGTTATGACACCATGCAGGAGGCTTATGAAGAACTTCTTGTAGTTAAAAAGCAAGTCTTTCTGTCCCGATATATACAAGGTAGGAAACCGCAGGCTCAGCTTGTCACTCACATCCTTAATTCAAGGAATGTTTAGAATATTATAATACATTTTAAAACAAAATTGCAAAGTGCTCTACAAAGTACTCTACATGCGCAAGTTTCCTCCCTATAGATACCTACATCAAGACACAGCTATCCATGTGGCAAGGAAAATCAATGCTCACCAAGTGGACACATCACTTCTGCAGTTATAACATGAGCATGCAAAGTACTCATGGGACCAGAGAACACCATGAGAAAAACTTGCACATGAATTTTAAAATAGGGTTCCCACTGGTCGGGGCAGAATGGAGAAAAACACCCCAGAGATTAACCAACAAAATAAAAATCATTATTAACTTGCATTCCTAGCAAATAACAAAAAAATTCTTCTTTACATTTTTATACCTTCCAATACCTGAAGCTTTCTGGGAGGCTCACAAAAAATGTAAACATTAAAATGCAACATGATAAAACATGGTATGAAGTGTTTCCAATGTTTAAAACTACCGTATCAAACTGAACTAAATACCAGCAGTGGGAGGTTTAAAAATACAAGAACTGGTTTTAAAAGAATGAAATCTGAAGGACCACAATGCCCAGGGAAGTCAAAAATTCTGCACCAGGCCCTGTAAAGAGCACAGGAAAGTGCCAGGAAAGCCTTTTTGGGGAGCGCATTCCGCAGCCAGGATGCCACAACTGAAAAGGCCCACCCAACAAGTCTTCCCATCAACATGTCCAGAGATGCAGCCCCAATGTGTAGAACTAATACGTAATCCATGCTTTCGCCTGATACCAAAAATTCATGGGAGCCAGTGGTGGGCAAGCAGTTTTGGAACAGAGAGGATGTCCCCAAGGAACAGAAAACTCAGGGCATCCAGCACAACTCTGAGTGATTTATTGGTATATACCTGGTCAAGCAATCCAACAAGAAGAACTGGAAGACTGGAATATAATACATTGTAGAGTGTGATAAACCAATCTTCATAAGCTGTCTGTAATTTGAAAAGAAAAACTGGTTACATTTCATTGTAAAGATAGAATCAGCAAATAATTAAATCAGCAGGAAGGGATTAAATAACAAGCAAAAGGTGAATGGGAATCAGGCTTAGATATTGCCACGTAAGGTTAGTGAGATCACGAGGCAGCAAGCGGAGCAGTCAAGTTCTCTGCTACGTTATTCTGTAGCCTTTCGGTGCAAGCCACTTGGCAAGGATTAGTCAGTGTTGACGTTCTTGGCCATGGGCAAGCTGTGCTAACTTCAGGAGCCTTTTCTTCCTTACCTGAGCAGAGTAGCCGTTGAAGAAGGAGTACCAGAAGTGAACTAATGTAAATGCAAAGTTTTTGTAGAAGAAGTACCGAAGGAACTTGCACATCCTTATGTATGACCATCGACCATGGACAAGCAACAACCTTTGGAGGTATCTGAACTGGCCAAAAGAATAGTCACTGGACATGACCGCTTGCATCCCTTCTTGTCCACTTATTCCCACACCGATATGGGCAGCTAGAAGAGCAACAAAAAGCATGCCCTTGTGAGCAAGCAGTTTTGCAGAAACTCCATGGAACAGATTAACATTTACAAACAGGAACTAAGATGGCTTCGTATGGTTTTACCCATCATGCTGTGTGCATGAGGAAGTCTCTCTCATGTTTTCTTACCTTGACATCTCACTTATGTGCACTGTGCAATCTAAAATAACATTCAGGAGCAACAGAAAGACAGAGGAAAATCTATAGTACAAGGACTGTGTAATAATTGGTGGGCAGGCTGAGTCCAGACACAACTTTGCTGCATAAGAGCCTTACTGGTGCAAGAATTAAGCTATGAGGTTCAAGATTACCACAAAGCCCTTGGGTACATTTTTCAGAAAGATAAATTTGTATGTAATGGTCGTGCAGGGCTGCAAGTAGTCTTCCTGTCTTCCATCAGTTCTTCACTGGTGCAGGTCAAATGTCATATTTAAAATAAATTTTGCAAAGAGGAAGTTTCAAGAATGTACTCTTTTTCCTGCTTCCATGCATCAAGTAGAAAGAATTGAGGGTTTTCTTGTTTCAAAAGACAGAGGGAATGAAGGGAGGGACATAGAATTCGGAATTAGATGGTTAAGAGAAAACTGAAACAAGAAAAGGCATGGAAGTCGTGGGATAGTGAAAAAGATCAGTAAATGACACTATACTCCACTCACTGTAACTACTAGAAATTCTATTATCCCAGAATCTTGAATAGTAGAGTTGAAAGGGGCCATGAAGGCCACTGGGTTCAACCCCCTGCTGTGCAGGACACCAGTTTACACCATCTCACTCAGAGGACTGTCCAGTTTCTTTTTGTATGTCTCTAGGGTGGAAGAGCCCACAATCTCTCTAGGAAACTGGTTCCACCGTCATAATGCTCTGACAGTGCTTCACTCTGGTATCAGTGAGAAGAGATCTTGACCTTCCTCTTTGTGACAGCCTTTGAGGTACTTATAGAGGGATATCATGCCCCCCCCCAGTCTATTCTTCTCAAGGCTGAACATGCCCAGATCTCCCAGTCTCTCCTCATAGGGCAGTGTTTCCAAACCCTGGATCATTTTCGTTGCCCCCCACTGCACCCTTCCTAATTTATCTGCATCTTTTTTAGATCAGATCAGAACCAGACACTGTATTCCAGGTGAGGGCTGACTAGCAAGATGTATAGGGGAACTACTACTTCTCGTGATTTGGAAGTAATACTTCTGTTGATCCATCCCAAAATAGCATTTGCCCTTTTGGTGGCTGCTTTGCACTGTTGGATCATATTTAGCTTGTTGTCCACAAGAACTCCAAGGTCTTTTTCTTTCTCAGTTCTGTTGAGCCACGTATTCCCCATCTTCTATTGATGCACATTTGGTTTCTTTTTCCTAGGTGGAGGACTTGGCACTTGTCCCAATTGAATCTCATTCTGTTGCTCTCAGCCTAGCATTCAAGTTTATCAGGATTACCCTGGATCTTCCTTCTGTTTTCTAGGGTGTTTGCTATTCCACCCAGTTTTGCATTGTCTGCAAATCTGATTATCTTTCCTTGTACTTCCTCATCTAAAACATTAATGAAGAGGTTGAAGAGCACTGGGCCTAGGACTGAACCCTGCAGCACCTCATTATTCACCTCCTTCTAATTTGAGAAGGTGCCATTGATGAACACTCTTCATGTCTGAATTAGCAGCCAATTTTGGATCCACCTATTAGTTTTTCTATCTAGTCCACTTTTTGCTAACTTGCTTATCAGAATGCTGTGGAGCACTATGTCAAAAGCTTTGCTAAAGTCAGGATAAATTATGTCCACACTGTTTCCTCTATTTGGGAGGTAACTCAGTCGAAAAATAAGATTAAAATAGTCTGACAGGATTTGTTTTTGATAAATCCATGCTGGCTTTTATTAATCACTGCATTTTCTTCAAGGTGTTTGCAGAGTGATTTTTTAATAATTTTCTCCAGAATTTTTCCAGGGATTGATGTCAAACTAACTCGTCTATAGTTCCCAGCTTCATCTTTTCCCCCCTTTTGAAGATGGGGGCAACATTTGCCCTTCTCCAGTCATCTGGCACTTCACCTGTTTTCCAAGGTTGATCAAAGATAATAGTCAGTGGTTCTGAGAGCTCCTCTGCTAGCTCCTTTATGACTCTGCGATGGAGTTCATCAGGCCCTGGAGATATGAACATGTTTATTCCATCTAGGAAGTCCTTAACTGTTTATCTGTCAATTTTGTGCTGCCAGCTCTTACTTTCATTGTGTAGTTCCTCTTGGTTGTAGATTTTCTTGCGGGAGAAGACTGAAGCAAAGCAGGAATTGAGCACTTATGCCTTTACACTGTCGTCTGCTTTCACTCTGCCTCCCACTTTAAGTAGCTGGACACCCTTCTCTTCCACATGCCTTTGTTTTGGATGCACCTGAAGAAGGCTTTCTTGTTGTTCTTAGCATCCCTTGATATTCTCAGTTCATTCCTGCTTTACCCTTTCTGATGCCATCTCTGCAATTCCTTGCTATTTGTTTATACTCTTCCTTTGTGGCCTGGCCCTGCTTCCACCTCTTGTACATGTTCTTTTTTACCTTTCAGGTTGTCACTTAACTTTTCATGGAGCCATGTGGACTTCTTCTGTTGTCTTCTACATTCTTTTCTTGTTGGAATTTTTCTTAGTTGTGCTTGGAGAATCTTCTTTCTCAAGGTTTCCCAGCCCTCTTGGACTTCTTTTCCCTTAAGAGTGAGTTGCCGTGCCACCTCGCTTATCAATTTTCTGAGCTGGTTAAAGTTGGCTTTCCTAAAGACCTGGGCATGTGTTTATTTGCATTATGATGGCTCTGGTTTATGAATTATACACAATGTTGTTAAAGTGCTTTGTTTCTACTCTAATCAAGCCTCAAGGCCTTTAAAAATATTTCTCATCATACACAACGCCTGCTACGGCATTAAAGATGAATCACACTGCCAGAAACCCTGGAATGAATAGAAGGCTGGGCAGAGAATTCCATTTCTTTTTTTCTACCAGGAAGTAGAAGAAATGTCACAGCTATTTTACAAACTATATACAAAAAAAGATTTAGTATTTAGTAACGGCGAATCCACAGACAAAATAATTCATTTCTACTGCAAAACCTTTAAGTCAGATTTCCCAACCCACAGCCTTCCAGATTTGTTGGACCACAGTTCCCATCCTCCTCTCATCCTTTTCTTTGCTGGGAAGGGCTGCTGTGAATGCTCATAAATTTAGAAGTTACACAATCTTCTGTGAGAATAACAATGCAAGGCTATGGCAATGATACAGAAAAGCTGCAGAAAATCCCAAGCCCAAACCATGGAGTTTCTAACTAGAATATTTCCAATTTGCAGGATTCAAAAGGACTCTACCCAGACTTGGAGAGCAAAACCAAATCAAGACTACTGGGCTAAATAGTGCAACCGTCGGTCTCAAGAGAAGGTACTTTGCATGACCCTGTTGCAAAGTGACCAGTTTGCACTAAACTAGCAAGAAAATATGAGTGTCTGTACATAACTTACTTTTAATCATATTCACATCATTAGCACCATCACCAATGGCCAAAGTTATGGCTTTCTTGTATTTCTTCACCAGCTCAACCACCATGGCTTTCTGCTTGGGTGTCACTCGGCAGCAGATCACTGCGCTGCACTCACAAGCTAAGTCAACAAAGTTCCGTTGCTGCTGCTCTTTGTTCAAATCTATTCTTCTTTTACTCTCCATATGCTTCTGCTTTTCTTCTACCGTTTTTGGAAATTTCAGTTTCAGGAGTTTCTTTTTCTTCTTTTTCTTCTCCAAGAGAATTTCGTTCTATAAGAAAGATGATTCTCTATAAACTCTGAGTATCTGTGAAAAGTTAAGACCTGCTCTTCTTTTTGCAAACACATTAAGGGCATGATCCTATGTTTGTGCAGCCAGACAACAGAAGTCCTTCAACTCCAGTATTCCCCAGCTAGCCATGGAAGTTTCAGGACATCTTTCTGCTTGGACATGCATAGGATCGTGTCCTAAAACATCAAACGAAGCTAAATGTTGTTGATTAAGGTTGTCCACAGATGTTTTAAAGTGCAATCCTGTACATGCCTTTACAGAGGTAAGTCCCATTGACTTCAGTGGGACTTAATGCCAGGTAAAACTAAGAATATTTGGTTACGAGCCTCAATTATTCTTTCTTGCAAATGACTCCCCTTAAGAAATGTTGACACCCCTGTGGATCAATCACAATGAACTGCAGAGATATTCACATTCCCCCTGAAACTTCACTCATCATCAGATGCATTATTTAATAGTATGAAATCATTAGCAACCTTATTCAATAAAATGCCTCTATAAAGAATAACTTGCTGCCAGAAAGAGCAGACAGAGCTGGTGCAAGCATAAGATTGATCTGATCTTACAAGCTTAAACAAATACCCAAATATCACTCTGAGCAAGATAAACAAGGAAGAGAAAATATCATAATTTCAGAAGCAGCTGCGAAAGGCACACAACCTTGTTTCATTAAAAACAACAACAACTGCAGCAGCTGCTGCATCTCCCTACAAGCTAATTCTGGACTTTTCCAGTGTCTGGAAGCTGCAGCTGGTCCAGAAGGGAGCCCCGGGCTAGGAAGGATTGGGTTCCATTGTCAAAATAGTCTCATGGCCACTAGTCTGTCTCTGGGCACAACTCTAATTGCTAGTGCAGTGCGGCTGCCGGCACTCAGCCCCAGTCTGAGGAAGAAAGGATCAGCCTGGCAACCAACCACAAGAGAATGGACCCCCCGCCTGCCTACAGTATAGCCAGCTTTGGGCTTGGCCAGTGGCAGAAAAGCCCACGGTGGAGCTGAAGGCAGCAGCAAGCGTATCTGGGATGTTAAGGTTAACATTTCCTCCAAAACGTGGTGAGAGCATGACAAGGTGTGTCACCAGAAGGGGAAAATGAGGTCAATGGAAAGGGTGCTAGAGGGGAACGATCCTTCCCAGACATTCTTGATCTGGGTCTCTTTTGAGACAAGGCACGGTTGGGTTGGGTTGATGTGGATTGTGCTCCCCCGGCCAGAAGGCTCTGCCATCTAAGGGGCAAAGCCAGGGCCCGCACAGAGGAGTCTGTGGGGAACTGCATGGGTTTGTTTATTAAGCAGTTGTGGCATTCCGCCTTTTCTCTCTCATCTAGTGAAATAGGGTAGTGTCTGGCTGAATTAGACTTTTCTTTCATGGATTAAGCCAGAAATAAAGACTGCAAGAGTGCAGTCTTGTTGAGCGACCCGAGATGGCTCCTTTATCCCCCTCTCTGCAGTGCAAATGGCTACAGCGACCTGGCACAGCAGAACCTAACAGCTGGTTATGAACTGTAAAGCCTCACATGGCTTGGGACCAGGCTGTTTGCAACACCATGCTCTCTGGTAGGCACCTGCCCAGGTGTTCAGAACCTCAGAGGAGGCCCTTCTCTCGGGCCCACCTCCCTCAGAGTCACAGGTGGTGGGTCTTGAGAAAGGGCCTTCCGGGTGGCTGACCTTAGACTTTGGAATTCCCTGCTAAAGGAAGCTAGGGAGACCCCATCACCGTTGTCCTTCCAGGAGCAGGCAAAGACATTGCTATTCAGACAAGCTTTTTCCCTTTTCTCTTTCCTTTTGCCTCCATTCCCACCCAGTGGGGTCCCTCGCCATACACGGATTTGCTACAGAAGTAGGTGTTCATCTGTTGGGTGGCACTTTCATTTACTGACATGATTTATTGGATGCATTTTAATTGATGCGTTTTAATGTTTTAATTATCACTTGGTTATTTCATTTGCATTTTATTGTCTGCTGTCCAATTTAGTGACAAAACAAGTAGGCATGATGCCATTTGTGAGGACCAGATGCTGATCTACCTTAGTCTGATGCATTCTTAGACTGCATCTACCTGCCACCATTTCTTGCAGGCAGTTCTCTGACAAGCCGCAGGGCCGCTGCTCAGCACTTACCAGCCAAGAACCAGTGATGATTAAGGCGCGGTTTCTATCTGGCTGAAAAAAGGGCTCATTGGCTGTTTGAGAATTTGCATTAGGTCCGTTCCTGTTCTTCTGGTTTTCCATTCTTGTTTGCAGAAGAGCACTGAAGAGGTGGGGGAAGGCAGAGAAAAAAAACCAATAATCCATCACATAAAACTTAACAATCGAGTTATGAAATGACGACGGTTTCTATGAAAACTATTAACCACAAAGATTTAACAGGAAAGCCACCTGCAATAGAAGACATGCTTTGAAGAATCCAACTTCAAACTGGTCTCAGTGGCTTTTGGGCAAAGTCTGCATTTATCTAGAAGCCCAGATGGCTATGCAAGCAGCAGAGTACTTATAGCCTGAAGTGCCTGATCCTGCCTCATCTTGGAAGCTAAGCAGGGATGTACCTGGCTGAAATCTGGATGGGTGACTTGAATCCTGCACTGAGCAGGCATTTGGACCCGATGGCCTGCTAGGCTCCTTCCAACTGTATGACTCCACAAAATCTTTCTGTCCCCAGTTGTGTAATCCCTTGATTTTTATCACAAAAAGATTTCAGTCTGCCCACACAAGGATTTCCAGTTGTTGCAAGCAGGGGTCTACAGCTTCTCTTCTGCAGAGTAGTGACCAGTCCTTCCACCGGTCTTTCCCACTCTACAACAGACCTGCTGCTTTCCCTGCCTGTGGTACTACCAGATGCTTATTTGCAACAACCCAAGAAAGAAAGCAGCTGAGGGAACAGAATCGCTTCTAGGCTCAGAGGGCTGCCTTCGCACTGCCAAAAGAACACCACTTCGTATCTTCTGCTGGACTTGCAGTACATTTACCAGTCAGGGTTTCCCACCACTATTTCACAGATTGGCAGCTATCAATATTAGTGGCTTCGGTACTTTTGAAGCCTTCCTTTTAGAGCATAGGACTGCCATCAACAACATCAGGTCTTGTTTCTCAGATTCATTCTTTCATTCATACATATCCGTATGACATTTATATCCCACCTTTACTCCAAATAACTCAGAGAGGGTACACAGAAGCATCACCTCTATTTTATCTTCACAACAATGCTGCGTGGTAGATTACACCAAGAGATGTGACCGGCTCAGCATCACCCCATGAGCATCATCACCATACATGTACATCTTGTCATCTCTTTCCACAAGTCCTGCACTTTAGCTCACGGAGGGCCCACCTTTTTTCTGTTGGGGGCTACATTCTCCCATGGGTAATGTGTTAGGAGCTACATTTCAGCTACTGGTGGCACCAAAGCCAGCTCTGGAATGGTCCACCTCCTTTCCCTTTTCACCCCCTTTCTCTTTCTTCCACTCCCTTTTCTCTTTCCCTTCCTCTCCTTTCCCAGCCAGTGGGCTGCTGAAGAAAGGAATGAGAGCTTGCGCCAGTGGTCTCGACTGTTCATGTGCAAAGGACTTTTGAAATTGGGTTGAGGGCCACATGAAATTAAGGTGATTGGCACAGGATGCTCGCAACCTCTGTGCCAGCGTACCGCATTCTAGCTTGCACCGCATTCTACAAGGCAATTTTCTTATGAACATAGAAACATAGTGAATCAAAAGGGGCCTCCCAGGCCATCTAGTCTGACCCATGGCTCCAGCTGGCTCTGCTCATTCATTTCAGCCGGTTACAAAAAGGTAGTGGAAAGAATGCAAAAAAAAAAAAAAAAAAAAAAGCACAAGAAAAGCAGCAAGAGTTTTTTCACCACAAAAGCATGCTCTTTTTTTTACCTGATGTCTTCCCCATAGCAGATAGTAGTTTCTTCTGTTAGGAGGTCACAAGAAAAGCCAATATTTTCAGCCGTTTCTATAGAAGGAGAAAATGCCTTGTAAGTTTGCTTCCTCTTTTGTCAGATAAATAGAAGCATGCAACCATCATGCTTGGACAAATTTCAGTGAACAAAGAATAAGAAAACCCCTTAGGGAAAATGTTCTCCCTCCCTCCCCGCCTCTCTCTGTCTCTCTGTTCAGGTAAATATGAAGCTGCTATTTATATGCATTACCTTTTTTGTCCCCTGTCAACACCCAAATTTTAATATCTGCCTTTGCCAGCTTGGATATTGTTTCTGGAACTCCATCCTGTAATTTGTCTTCGATTGCGGTGGCACCCAAAAGCTGCAGATGATTAAAATAACAAGCCTGTTTAATGTGATAAAATGACTACAACGGTATCGCCTTACACAATCCATTGCAACTACCGGTTACTAAAACTGGCCCGTCATGAGGCCCTGTGAGAGAAAACAGCACCAGACAGGCAGGGCTGACTGACAGAACAAATAATACACCAATAATACTATTTTCATCCTGACTTTCCTTCAAGAAGTCAAGGATTAGGGTCAAGACATTAGGGTCAAGAAGTTAAGTCAAGTGTTTGCTTATTCCCTTATCTTATCCTGGCAATGAAGTAAAGGAAAAAGAAATGGCATAAGGTCGACCACTGAGCTTCATGGTTGCGTGAGGATTTGAACCCGTGTCACTTCAATCACAGTCTGATGACCAAAGCTTGGCACTCTCCAGACAGCTTATTTATTATATTTAGAGCCTGGCTTTTTTCCCCCTTTCAAGGAACTCAACTCTCCTCCAACTCTCAGTCATCCCCACACAACAACCCTGTGAGGTAGGTTGGACTGGGAGCCTGTGACAGGCCCAAGGTCCTTCAGGAGCTCCACGGCTGCGTGGGGACCAGAGCCCAGATCACCCAGTCCTGCACTCTTGCCCACTGCACCACTCCGACTCGCGGTCGGACTCGCATCTTTCCCAGCCAGCAGGCCCATTTGCCACTGACGGGAGCTGAAGTCAAACTCTTCTGAGGCGCAGCGGCCTGAGCTTGGGGAAGGCTACCCTAATACTTAAATCAGGCTTCCTTCTTCCACCCACCAGTGTGATTACTTGGACCTTTGGACCGTTAGAGCTGCAACCCTTGCTGAAAACTGGAGGAGCATCCAGGCTTCACCTCTTTCCTTCTGACCTGCAGCCCTTGCTCAGCCCTAAGTGCTGCTTAGGGATACTTTGAAAATTACAACTCTTTAAACCAAGGTATATTCTGGAGGAGATTAATCCAGTTTGCAATAGAAATGCCTGTTCATCTCAGGTTGCATGCATGCTGTTAGTTTTTATTTACAGTCACAGACCAGGAAGATTAATAAACAGACAAAGTAACAGTAGAAATCTTAAAACACAATTAAAGCAAGTACAATATTTTCATTCAAGAGGGTGACCCCATTTTTCCCGCATCTGCACTACCGTCATAAAAACATTTATGACAACATTTCCAGTAACAGAAGAGAATACATCCCTTAAACAAATAGATACCAGAGTGGAAGAACTGTTTCCACAGAGATCTGTTATGAAGGACTTAATTTCTCTCTGTGTTACCTAGAACAACTGCAATATGAGAGACCGTGGTGCCACTGTTTCTACTGATCCAGCTCAGCAGAACCATATCCATTCATTGACTGGGGTCTTGTTAAATTGTCCTTTTAATAGTGCTGATGGTGGCCCAGGAAGGAGTAAATGCTCTTCTGTTCTTTGGGATAGTTCGCATGTACAGGTAAATCCATCATTATGGCATTTACTGCAGTTCGGTTGAAATAGTGAGAAACAATGTTTATTAGCAGAAGATGCATGTAGCTGCCCATGGAAAATGCCCAGCCATACAGGGGGCGAAAGGGAAAGACAAAGGCTCATCCCCATGCAGGGGACACTACAAGGTGAAAATACAGATTCTGACAATAAAAGCTCCCCACCAACTCCCCACTGTACTTACAATTAGATTCTGTTCAATTTCTTCATATACTTTATCCAGAGCTTCCTCACGGTTCCTGGAAGCAACACTAGCTGCCATGAATTTTTTATTCCATGCTTCATACTCCTCATTGCTAATGTCCTTGTAGGAAAGGCAGAGTGTTCTAAGGGTTTCGTTTGCAAATACCTAGCAAGGAGAGGGAGAAGAACATCTTGGAGTCTCACTGGACCGCACTCTCCTTGATGAATGGTACTGATAGAAATTCTTCTCAGTGTGAATAGTGGATGCTGGACACATTTCAGAATAACCAGAGGGAATGTAGAAACATCCAAATGAAAATTAATCCAGCCACTGGACAATAGTCCCCTAAGTCCAGACTCTTTAGTATAAAACCACTGAGAAAACGACAGGAGGAAGAAACCTTTGAAGGAGCTAAATCTCATACATGCGCACTGAGAAGTAAGTTCCAGTGGCACCAGTGTGCTTACTCTCAGGAAAACGCTCACAGGATTGTAGCCGAAGTAACACAAATCTCCTGGCCCATCCCCTTCATTCCCATGGGGAGGCTACAGTGACACCGGATATGAAAAATCCAATTTTTACTGGTCCCACTCCTGACAAGAATGCTGAAAATAATAACTAGCATTCTGCATTTGCACAGAATTTGTAGCACAGATAGACTATGACTTTGCCATGCTGGCTGGGGATAATAGGCGCTATCATCCAAGACATTGTCCAGTGCATCCAGATTGGGGAAAGCTGTTCTGCAGTTACCATTTCACCTTTGCAAACAAAGCATAAGACACCCAGAAGAAAACGCAACTTACATCCAGTGCTTCTTCTGTATCCTGCTTTTTAGGATTCTCTGGATGAAGTCGTTCAAAAATCACGGTATCCGCCCCTTTACAGTACAGCCTGATGGCTCCATTTGGGTCTCTAACTACAAAAAGCCAAACGAACAGGTTAGACACAGAAAGATTCTTAATTTGCTTGTTGCTCTTGCTGTTTTAGCACTCCCCTTTCAGCTCTGTATGAACCACTCCCATGTTCTCCCTTTAAAAGGGTCTTAAAGAGCCAGTGCAGACACCGTAGCTCTACAGACTCATCCTGCTCCTGATAGAAAGAAAATGGCTAGAACTGGTTTTCTGGTGGGAACAATACAGTTGCCTGCATTTTTGGACTCTCTCTGGAGCGTGACCACGAAGAGAATCCTACACGGCAAAATGGGGATCTGTCGTTTCATGGAAGTCCAGATGACACCTAAACTGACAAGGTTACTCTATGGACATGGAGCTGGGATTGCTCTGTGGGTGTGGGAGGAGACAGAGAGGCAGTTACGATGGTGGGAAAGGTTCGGCTTGGATGCCAGGAAGGACTTCCTGACAGTTAGGGCCCCGAGGGTGTGGAATGGGCTTCCACGGGAGGTGGTTGAAGCCCCATCGGTGAGGGTGTTCAAGGAGAGGCTAGACATGCACATGGTGGGCATGCCGTGAGCGGAGCTGGCTGGAGCTGGGGGTCAGACTAGATGGCCCAGGAGACCCCTTCTGACTCTCTCTGTTTCTATGTTTCTAAAGGTGAAAGGAGGAGTCGTGTTGGAAACTGTGGGAAAAAGAACACTTTGGCTTTAGTCTTTGACTGGATGCTGGAAGAATGTGAACATGTTGCTTTTTAAGACAATAAAAAGGGTGCTTACTGGAGGCTAACAGTATCCACATGAAGGGGAGCGGGAACTTCACAGAGCCAGAGCTGCCCTGATATTCTTGAGGGTGCAAGTAAATGGAAGAGAAATGCCTCAAGAGGTGGCAGAAGGTTGGTGATTCTAACACTTTGGACTCCCCTTGTGGGCATGTCTGTGAAGATTGTCAGGATGAGTGTCTACACTTCAAAATGTGCCACTAATGCTGCCTGCTGCCATGGTCCCGATCCCTCTTTCACTCATGGACAGAACATGCAGGAGACTTATATGCAGAGTCTAAAGGGCACGAATGTTAAAACAAATGTGATGGACTAACGCACTGTCACGCTGGAATGAAAAAACTCTTTCCATGAGTATATATCTTTAATTCTTTTGTTATGTTGATGACAGCTATTTTAAAATATAAGGAAGGAAAAGCACACAACTGGGGTACTGATCCTCTTTAAACAACCAAATCTTCTACCCAAGAACTTCTAGAAAATAAGACCTATAAGCAAAAGCAGTTGACTTACCGATAACAGACATCCGTTTTCTGTCGCTGTTGAAGTCCAAAATGGCAAGAACTTCGTACGTTGTTATGACTCCCATTTCACTGATGGTAATAGTATTTTGTGTCCGTGAAAGGAAAACAAAACCAAAGTTCCTGGCAGCGGTTACCAAGGCTCCTTCGTCAGGGGAGGCCGCCTGATAACCGAGTTCTCCTAGATTGTGAAAAACAAAGCAGAAAAAACTCACACATGAACATTACACACTCCAGATCTTTATACCCCTTCGCATGTTTGTCTGCCACAGGACTGCTTCCAGGTAAGCTTGGAGGATGGTGTCCCAATTCATTCCCTTTTAGTGAGGAAGAGATACTTTGGAAAGGTTGTTTTCAGATCAGAGGAAGTAGAACAGAAGACCAAGGCCACACTCAGCAAAATGAGCAGGTGGGCCCCCAAAATGCAACAGGGCAGCATGGCCACATTTTGGAATAAGCAAAATCATGCACAGTTCCATCTGAAAGGAGCCTTTCTCCACACCTGCCATGCTGCAATAAGCCAGGAAGTCTTGGCTTATTGGTCATGGCCTGTATTAGTCAAGTCTTGGCCTATATTAGTCATAATTTCCCATTATGTGCAAGTCAGGAAACTAGGGTTACCAGATTTGAAACAGGCCAGCATCTTAAACCATGGCATGATGTTGGTTTAAGATCCTGGCTTGTTCTGAATTGGTAACCCCAGTTTTCTGTGTTAGATATGAAAGGAAACTAGTGATATGCAAGGAATTCCCTGGACTCGCCTGATCAGTCTCCAGTCTGTTTGCAGGGACTCTGAGTCCAAGTTCCAGGCAGGTACAGCCAGCTGCTGCTGGGCACTTGCCAGGGATTCAGCCCCAGGCTCTGCTCAGGCAGCATCCTCTTCTGCCCCACTGCAACAGCCTTTGTGCCTTGTGAATAGGTCAGCTTATGCAGTCAAAATATGATTGTCTAACTGGGCCAGTGTTTGTGGGTTGAAGAATTATCCTTGGGGTCACTGGAATACACACATATAGCTAAAAAGAGTTTGGGAAATATGCTTGGCACATTTATCTGCCAACAGTTTGCAATTTGTTGGTAACATCTGAAGCACGAAAGCACAGGTACGGCTGTGTAGATGTGCAGTTTTGTGACCTAAACAAGACCTTTTAATAAATGTTGCATTTCCGAGTGTCTCAGGCTTTGCTGAGGGTACATTAGGTAAGGACTTCCTACAGATAGCATGGCACTTACCTTCACTAGCATCCACCATCACCGTGTGGCAAATTGCAAGCAGGAAGAAGAACTGCTGGATTTCAGGTTCCTTCCTGGACTTAATTTGCTCAATCAGATAATGATCAAAAAAGGTGAGCTTCCCGTCTGCATACATATTCCAGCTGAAGTCAACTTGCTGTGTAAGCATAGAAGAGAAAATGGATGTTAGCTTCAGGTTGATACTTTTGAGGATTTGCAGCTGGTTCAAAGTACAAAGTAGGACACAGGAAGTTCTTGCACATGGTCTACTGAACTAGGAAAGGTCAACAGCGAAGAAGCCAGTGGAGACCCCATTTTGCCCTACAATCCTATATTTGGGCACCTGTCCTCTTCAGTCAACTGCAGCAAGCTCATCAAATCTGGCTAAGTAAATATTGTATGGATTCCTTGAATCCCAACAGGCCGCTTAGCCCTCTAGATTACAGAAATCCTCACATCCTCACTGCTACAGTCAGGCTCACTGATCCTCCATATACCAGCCAGGTGTTCTGACTGCCTATGCCTTGTGGCACCTGTCCCATGGGTTGGCCACGTGGGATATAGCATGTATTCAATCTTTAGAGCTGTTGAGGGAGAGACTGTAGAAGGGAAAGCGACTGACATCTTGAACTCCACCCTTTTCCACATAAAACATTTGCTACTCAAAATCACTTACCTCAGGACGATAATGTTCTTGTCCTGCTTTATCTCTGCTTTCTCCTGAAAAGACAAAATGAATCCCAATATGAACTGTATTTATTTACACACACGCACAGAGAGAGAGAGAGAGAGAGAGAGAGAGAGAGAGAGAACTCAACTAGCAAGCAAACCCAAGCGATAAAAGAAAACTAAAACAATAAATATCACACTAAAACATCAAACTATTTAAACCTTGAAAATATTATTGCATTTATATAACATCTAACAGAAAGAGCTCTTAAAGAGCCAGCAGTAAAGTTAATGCTCTGAGCAACAGACTAAAAATCAAATGCTAAAAGCTTGTAACTTGGCATCAGAATGTGCACAGGGAAGACATCAGACAGATCTGTATGGAAAGGGCACTGTACAGACACAGCACCCCTGCTGGCCACGGTGGGTGGTGGCTAGGGATGGGTCCAGCCTCCCTGGAATTTGGCCCATGTTTGCCCATCGGACTTCTTCCAGCACTCATCCCTCACTAAGGAGGTGAGCCGAGCACAGAAGCATTCGCAAACGCGACTGATTCACCTGTTTGTGCACTTGGGCAATGTCACATGTGCAGAAGAACGACTCCATTTGCACCGTAGGCATGTGTGATACCATTATACACATCGAGGCTCAGTTCCTGGGGAGCATTTTGTGATCAATGTGGAGCATTTGCCAGGAAATTGGACTCACAGCCACAGTCCTCTGCAGCAGAGTTGGAGAATCCAAAACCAGGGAATCTGATGGACTTCCTATCCCAAGCAGATTCTATGCACATCCCTAGTGGTGGCACCCAGAGAAGAGCCTCCAAGGGTTCTCTTTGGCAGGCGTATTTGGGAGAAGGTACCCTCTGGGTAGACCTGTCCTAAGCAGTGTTGTGTCTTCCCAGCATCTGGGATTCAAAAGAGCTAAACTTCCTGCAGAGGGAGCAAATGCGCTATGTTGCACTGAATATCAGCCCACGAAATTTGACTCATCGTTTCTTAAAGCCACCTAAATTTATATCACCACTCTATCTTCTGAGGTGGTGAATATTGTAAGTGAATTACACTAATAACCTTGAGAGGGAAGCCATGTTAGTCTATAGCAGCAAACTATCCCAGACTTCTGTGGCATCTTAAAGACTAAGAGTGCTATGGATATTTGTTGTTGTTAGTTGCCATCAAGTCATTTTTGACTTATGGCAACCATATGAATGAAAGCTCTCCAAAGGTTCTGCTCATGACAGCCCTGCTCAGGTCTTTCAAATCGGAGGCTGTCATTTCCTTTAATCCATCTCAGATTGGGTCCTCCAGGAATAACTGTACTAAGCTATAGAAGGACATACAGCTCCTGGCATGTTCCAGCCTGCAGGGCCATACTAGAAGTTGTTGGCTTTTCCTACCCAATTATCCAAACAATGCTCAATGACACATTTATTCTAGACTGTAATCCATAGATGTTTATGCTGGAATAAATGTGTTACTCTTTAAAGTAGCACTGGAGGTTTTCTTATTAAATTCTGATACTGATAGTTTTTCTTCTGTACACTTGAAGCAACGTTCTTTGGGCAATGCCAGTGAAACGAGGCTTACCGTAGGTTTGTCCATTTATGCAACACTTCTTGAATGTCATGATGTTCTGCGTCAGCGTTCCCGTCTTGTCTGAGAAGATATAATGGATCTGTCCAAGCTGTTCATTCAGTGTGGTTGTTCTGGCCTTAGCAGCTGTATCCTTCTCTGGATAATACATTTGCAAGTCCCAGTTGATGAAATAGCTTTGGCCCAAACGGATGACTTCAACACTAGGTGGGTGAAAGAGGTAACAAGGATTGCCCTCATTTTGAAATCTTCAACAGGCAAATGCAAGACATTTAACAAAACAATGGATGTCCAGTTAAGTTTGTTCAGAATGCCAGTGAATCAAGCCAGATTTTTAATTGTAGAAACTAGGAAAGCTGTTCAAAACAGTACAGCAAGGTGAAGCTGTAAGCAGAAGACTTTCACAGATTAAGTACTCGACTCATTCCTGATCACCTAAATCCTGGCTTAGGTGCTTGCCAATTGGGGCCCAAAAGGATTAACCATGGTTAAGACTGGCAAGGGATGCTGCCATGAAGGGGAGAAGCTGGAGGAGAAAAAGCACAATCCTACAGCCTGACCCTAATTCCAATCCCTTTAATCATATCTAAGGGATTGGCAGTATTGCCTATACAGAGTCTGAATAAACAGGGCTTATTTTGAATAAATATGCTTAGGATTAAGCTCTGTGAATACGAAAATGTGCCCCACCTTAGAGCATGTCAAGAAGAAGAATACAACGTGAACTTCAAAGTATTTGATTCCATCACAAGTTTTTCCCACAGTCAAGCCAGATGGTTCCTAATGAGGACAAACCAGGCCTGTTTGATAGAAGCTAGTTATGTAGAGAGACGTCATCTTAAAGTAGCGGGCATAATTCTAAGGGGGGAAATCCTTACTTATAAGAAAGCGCACCCCCTCCGCTAGAATGGCCATGGACTGGGCGAGAAATGAAACATGAAGAAAACGTGATGGGCTGCCATTTCACTAATCCATAACCACCTATAACAACTTCAGTGTTTGCTGTCAGATTACAGGGTTGTTAACTATATTGCTGACCTCACATAGAGGGAGATGGGAACCATTGTGTTAAGAACAATGATGTAGCCCCAAAAGTTAAGGAAGCCACGGTGAGAAGGGGAGTAATCTTCTCCATCGTAGAGGTACCAAGACACGTTCCCAATCTGCTGTTCCCAGTAAGTGTGTCCAATGGCCAGACCAGCAGAAACCAAGATGAGCAAAACAAAGATCTGGAACATAAACACAACAAAACTTTGTACGCTTTGCAAAAGAACAGCCGAAGTTCAACTGCTTTTATCCCTCAGCTAACTAACATGAACAAACAGAAATCATCAACCTGCTGATGCTGGAAGAGAACAAAAAAATGGGAATTATTTGTGGCTAATGCAAAGCACAGCCCTAGATAAGCCAATTAACATTGGCTCATAGGAAGGCCAATCTTACAGTTCACAGAGTAAGTGTCAAAAATGTATCTGTGCATTTCCACCACTACTGGGAATCTAAAAAGAAAAAGCTTCTGGAGATGCAACAATACTTTTAAAATTTCCAGCATCTCCACAGCATCATATGAACTACAGTATAAAGAAGTTCAAAACATGCATCCTACACTTTGTGAATGTTTCTTGTGAATGCCTGCCAGGATTCAGTGCTATCATTATTAACATTGCATTATATCCCCTCACTTCTTTCTAAAGCAATCCCAAGCATTTTATCCCCACAGCAGCAACCCTGAAGTTACCCACTGAGCCCCATGGCTCAGTGGGGGCTAGACCCCCCACTCTAGTCCCAGTCCAGCACTAACTACTATACCATGCTGCCCCTGATTGGCATAAAGCCAAAAGAACTGGCTAAGTGTTACAGGGGTGGGAAAGTGGGAGTATTCCTAGCCCCTCCCTTTTTTCCCCCCAGCAGTTCCTCCAGCTGAAGAGACCAAGTAACTGCTCCTCTGAAATGTTTTGCCTCTTTGGCAGTACAAGAAATGCTTCAGAAAAAAGTAAATGAAATTTCAGCTTATGTGTCCATGTCCTGGTCTCTCTCTGCTTATCCCTCAGCTGCTCTGGCCCCTGGAAATGCCCTTCCCCAGCAAGAAGACATTGTACAGCCTGTGTCTGGATATCTGTGACTGACCTTCTTTGCAGGGCCCTCAGGCCAATATAGCAGAGTATAAGTTTAAAAAAATAAATAATAAATAAATAATATATCCTGCCAATCGTTCAGAGCAAGGCATTGAGCCTACCAAATACTTCATATGCATAGAAGTGAAAAGTAACCAATAGCCAAGATCTGCTCCCTCTATAAATTCTAGAAGCAAAAAACGGAAACAGAAGCTGAAATGTATTACCGTATAAACCATGTAATTCATAAGGGAGTCGATTTTAGTCCTTTTGAACCGTGTTTTTCCACTGTTTTTCATTATTTTTGTGTCTGCCCCTAAAATCATATTAAAATTGCAAGATAAATGTCACTGAGCTTTAAGCAGATATTACTACTTGAAAAAGTGTTTTATTAGAAGCTAAATACAACCATGGATACAAATCTTTTAAGTAATACATGAGTTACATATGAATATTTCAAATGCCATAATTTTCCATAGCTATAAATATACTGGGAAATCTATCTAATATAAACTTCTAAAATGCACATTTTCTGTTAAACAAGCAAACCCAATAAACAAATACCTGCAAATATGACGAGTCCGTGACACACATCTGTGTTCCGTATTTTACACCCACGTAACAAGATTTTGTCAGCGTCCAAAGGATAACACCTTCCCCTCCATTTCAAAGTTCCTGTGAATTTATCGAGCCGGTTGTTGGGTTCCTCACATTCTATCAAGCCTAATATAATATGTGAAAAGAAGAGTGATGCGGAGGAAATACTAGCTTACAAAACTATATTAACCATTTTTGATGGAAAACCTATTTATCTAAAGGCTTAACAGTGCATGACATCTAACATCATAGAATCATGGAACAGGAGAGTTGGAAGGGACCAAGAAGGCCATCAAGTCCAACCCCTGCTGTTGCAGGACCCATGTTACACCTTCCCACCCAGATTGTCCAGTTTCTGTTTGAATGTCTCCAGTGTGGGAGAGCCCACCGCCTCTCTAGGCAGCTGGTTCCACTGTCGTATTGCTTTGACAGTGAGGAAGCTCTTCCTGATGTCCAGCCTGAACCTGGGTTGTCGCAACTTGAACTGATTATTCCGTGTCCTGCACTCTGGCATCAGCAAGAAGAGATCTTGGCCTTCCTCTTTGTGACAGCCTTTGATATCGTTATAGAGGGATCTCATGTCCCCCCTCAGTCTTCTCTTCTCAAGGCTGGACATGCCCAGTTCTCTCAGTCTCTCCTCATAGGGCAGTGCTTCCAAACCCTGGATTATTTTTGTTGCCCTCTGCTGGTCCCTTTCTAATTTACCTGCAGCCTTCTTAAATCTTGGTGCCCAGAACTGGACACAGTTTTCCAGGTGAGGTTTGACTAGTGAGGAGTATAGCTTCAGCAGCAAGTAGTTTCAAGAAGCTAAGTTCCCTCCCTTCTATTCCCCCGGAGCATCCTTCAGGAGACATCCCCAAAATGCTGGCCAGAGTGTCAGGGAACCCACTTGGTGTTGAGTCCAGTGGAAAAGAAAGGGAACTCATAAAATTGCATGGAGGAATTTTATACATCTCTGCCTGCAGAAGATGCCTCCATCCAATTTGTAGGGAATCCCCTCACCCCTCCATGCCACAACCCACCCCACCCATAGCATTTTTGGTGGTAGTTTCTGAGGGCTACTATGGCAAGGACCGTGCAAGGAATTTACCCAGCTAGCCAGCTGCATGTCGAGCAGTCGATCATAGGGAAGTGCAGTATTCAAAAGATGTATGAAACAATAAAACATTTCCAGCTTTCTACCATGTGAACTTTAAGAGAAACACATGCAGTGTTGTTAAGAATTAAGTACAGCTTATAGAGTTGCCATATGTGGCAGAAATGTATGTGTTCTTTTTAAATTGTGGAGCTGCATTTTGAAATAAAGTTTTCCAAAGAAAACAGACAACACAAAGTAAGAACTCACGTAACAATGCAACTATATTATTAATTAAAGCAGAAAGGAAACTCATTGATTATGATCTTTAGTATATCAGGGTAACCTTGAGCACTTGAGTAAAATAAACTAAGGAGAAGCTTCCCAACAATTGAAAGAATTAGGAGCTGCAAATTTTGTAGAGAGAAAAGAAAAGAAATATTCTGGGCCGTAATGTTATCAGATGGAATGTTATGAGATGCCTTAAGGGCTTCCACATAGTGAAATAAAAATGGTTTCTTTCCTGTTAAATTTGCTAAGTTTGTACTTAATAATCAATAGGATGGATCCATTGGTGTCCATCAGTTGCACTATTTATGTTACACTAGAGGAAAAGAATGTTTCTTGCTAATGGGATTGGTTTCCTGGGAAACCCAGCATATGCTTATACATAATCTGTAATAAAACAATGTTTGTACAAACCATCAAAAGCTGCCAGTGCACTTTCTTCTTGAAGGAATCGGTCTGTAACCTCCAGTGACATTTTGAACTTTAAGTTGGTTTCACTAAAATGGGAGAGAAATGCATTAGGCTGTAATTCTGAATTTTCAGTAGGCAAAATTGTTTAGACAATGGGGAAAGCTCTCTCTTTATATTTGCTTCTGTTTGGCCCTTACTGTTCTTTAGGATCTTTTCAAAACGCACAAAGCAAATAACAGTGACAAAATCCCTGCGATCTAAAGGAAAGAGCAATAAAATGTTTTGCCTCCACACACATACACGCATTCTTTTCAAGCATGAGCTACAGTTTTTCAGCACACTGTTTTCATTCACACAAGCACATACAATCGCCCGCGTGTGCCAAAGTCCCAGTCCAAGCTACCATAGCTGTGGCTTCTTCTGATATGTACACCAGGTGAGGCTGGGTTGTTGGGCTGGCTGACAAGCCACCCAAAACCCACGGGCTGTTTGAGGGGTGCAAGCAGTTTGTCACCCACCCAGCTCCCCTTGCCATTTGGGCAAATACTAAGAAGTCTGAGCGCATCCCCGTCACACCCCAAATATGCAGCCGTCTCCCAACAAGAAGCCCCACAAGGAAATTCACCCACATTATATGCAAACTGGACCATGTGAGTTCTTTGCTACAGACATGCAACAGATAAATATGTCTTCCTAGAAGGAATTAAGTAAGAAACAGCATTGCATGTGCCAGTCGTAACAGGGCAAGCTGCTCTTACAGATGGGATGCAGCACAGGGATGTTATTAAGAGGGAGAAGTGACCTAGAGACAGTTGGCATCAGCAAACAGCCATTTCATTGCTTTTATCGCAGGCAGCCATGATCATGGAAGTGGCTCTCTTATTCCTGAGCCAGTTCTTCTTGCTCACACCAGTTTTCTCCATACAGCCAGGTATCCATGTGAATAATCACATGAGGATGGTGGAGAGTGCTGGCTGCTAAGCCAAACCTGAGAGTAACAACACATCAATGAACAGCACGGCAAACAGTTTTGTCCTCAAGAACAGGACACTCTAAGCTGCAGCCCTGGCTGTAGCCAGCAACTGTTTCCCCCAGTGAAAACGCAAATTATTTGCTTACATAGGGGATCACACTCTATTTGCTTGGCCTTAACTTCCATGTCATTCAACTGCACCCCATGTTACTCTTAAGCGCAACATGTGAAGTCTTCAAATGACACAAGCTCTCTGTCCAGTATAATCACAGGAATTATCATCATGAACAATCCTGAGATTTTTAAGAGTAGTGCTTCAGTCCTATGATTACAAATGGAAATATCTAAGTTGTACAGAAGCCCGCACACACGCATGTCAGATTCCACAGAACCCCTTACAGTGCAAGTGTTAAGAAAGCAGCACACCCAAAAGTCTTCTGCAGCGAACTCGGCATGGTGAGGGCAGTAGAGGAAGCCATGCTTTCAGTGTACTGGAGAAGTGAAAGCAAGCAGAAAGAATCTTACCCATCCAATTCAGCTGTCTCTACATAACAAAGGCTGTTAGGTTCTGAACTGGAAAGCAGCAGAATATCAGCCTGATTAAATAAAGAATAAAGCAGATTAAATGCAAAGGAATTTTACTGGCATTCCAGTAAAAATTCTCTCTCTCTCTCTTGCGCGCGCACGCTCTCTCTCTCTCTCTCTCTCTCTCTCACACACACACACACTTCACTTACAGGAACAAAGCCATTTTTCTCCAGACGGATGACATCACCAACTTTAATATCTTTCCATTTTGTACTTTTGAACCTGAACAGCAAGAAAATTGAAATGCATATGTAAAGCTTCAGAGAAAATACATAGTGTAATAAAATAATAAGACTGTATCATGTGGTGGATGCAGGCAGCACATTATTATTGTAAAAAAAACCCAAATTCATCATAGTGAGCTTATTTCTGTGTTGGGCATAGTTGCACCACGTACTTTATGTTAACACATGGGCAGGCATGGATGAGTGCTTGGAACATTTCTTCTTTCTCCCCATCCACTCTCGGGGACTGAAAGTCCAGGTACTGACCCATAGATGCACTTGAAGAAGAGGGGTGCATATATGGTCAAGCAAAGACTTTGATCTTGGAAACCAGTCTTGGCGGGAAAGGAACCAGGATTAATGATCTGAAAAGCTGCTGTTCACACGATGAACCCCAACATCTTTCAGAGCGAAACTAGGGGTCCCCAACCTTCTGATCAACTCTTCAGGATCTATCTGCCACATCCATGGCTCTTAGGCTGTTGAATTCAGCAAATAGTTTTGTTTTGTGTCTATTGGACACTGCAACGTCTCTTTAATAAGGGACTGACAGTCTCCACTGTCACCAAGCTTTGTGCTGGTATAGACTGCTCTTTTCATCCTTTTATATTTCCCCCTGTGAGAGCCAGTTGAAACACTGGGAAAGGGGCAGCCAATGTATGGCTTTCTGCAGCAACTGCAGTGGAGGAGAGGAGACCAGCCTGCAGAATGCCAGCTCCAGGGTGACAGGATCTCAGAGAAGGGGCTCTGAAGAATCCTATGGCTTCCTAGCCAATGTACCTAATTAATTTCCATCTATGGAAGACACTATAAAGTTGGCTCACACGTTTTCTCATTGAAAAATAAACCTGAGTTCAAACTGTTAGGAACAGAAACAATCTATGTTTGAATGTCACAGCTCTCTTTCTGATGTTGTTTCTTCATTCTGTAAATTATGCATGGGCTACACGTACTCCATGCTGTGGAATCTAACTACTTAAATAGTCTAATTATTTCGGGAGTAAATAATCTAATTATTTCAGGGGTAACTCCTGCACCTGATACATCTCTGCCTGGAAAAATGACAGCCTCTCATTCCATAAACAGAGATATTGGCAATCTCTGCATATATTGATAATACTTGGATACATGTAGCTCAGGTGAAATATCAGAGTATACTACCTTCCCTCTTTGATTACATCACATGTGCGGTTATTAATTTCATTGTCCATCCGATGTCGAGCCTGAAGAGGACAAAGATCAAAAAGAATATAAGATGTGTTTTCCCTACAGATCCAACCTGGTGTTTGAGAGATTGAATAAAACAGAGTTCAGAGTTCATTATGATAACATAATGGTTGTTGAACATGGGTTGCTGTAGAAACGTTGGTTATCTTTTTCTCTATACCCAGCTGAGACAAACTACAGTAAACTACAGTTCATAACCCAACAATAAACCATGGGTTATCTTAATGGGCTGTCCATAGTTAATAAACACAGCTAGGTTCAAACAACACAATAACCCATGCTTCAACAACAAAAACAGCTCATGGATCAAACCCTGAGCATGGGTTGTGATGTTATCTAAACCCAGCTGCTTGATAGGTCAGAAGGCTTTGTATCTTCATTCATTAGAAACATGGAAACAGAGAAACAGAGCAAATCAGAAAGGGTCTCCCGGGCCATCTAGTCTGACCCCTGTCTCCAGCCCACCATAGTATGACACAAGCAACTGAGGAGTCCCCAGAGCAACAAATGATCACGCTAACAACAGAGGGGCTGCAGATCCTTTCTGGGGTGCCCTAAAGTGGAATCCTTCCTCCCTTTCGTTCTTCTAGGGCCATTTGGCTACAGGTGTTTGTTTTGCCTTCATTCCGTTACACCCAGAGGAAAATACATCATATACTTTTGCCTGGGACTGTTTCTTGTGAAAATCTTTTAACTACTCCAAGACGGTGAAAAGAGATATACAAAACACAAAATAAGAGAGATAAAAAAGAAAAGGCAGTGCTTACGATGTCGTCCACGAGATCTTTAACGGCGGTGATGCCCAGAACCAAGAGTAAAGGGATCAGAGTTGTATACCATGATAGAGTAGTTATCTGAGGAATTGACTGCAAGGAAAACAACAAACAGATTATTTATTGAAAACACTGGCCTAGTGCCTGTGCCTGCCTATCACAGAGATGCTAAGGCAACTTGCACACCTGTGCGGGCCATTATCAGGGACAGACCACATGCTTTGCATGCATAAGGTTCTGGTCCAGTTCATGACAGCATCACATGTCCATGGATATTTGGAGGGACAGCAGCTGAGCACGTGCTGGGCATGCAAAAGCCCCGGCATTGCCGGCGGAAAGGTGTGGTGGAAGGTGTTCTGCCAGGTGCTGCACACCAAGGCAAGGCTGCTGGGAACAAACGCATTGAAGCAACACACAGAAGCGCCTTTTCCCCTACAGGACAGCCCTTCCGTATGCATAGAGTGGGAGAACGTGTCTACTGTCTGTGCAGCGCCCAGTGAATACCGTTCCTGCACTCCGACGTTGCTACACCGAGCATGCAGCAGTGGCAGCTAAACATTCCTGTCCGTAAAGCCTCATGTACACAGTATATTTCTTGAAAACGCAATTTTCCCTGCACTGCCATCACTGAGAGTTTTCCATAACCTGCACATGAAGCAAGGAGCACTGGGGGAAGGGGGATTGTTTCTGAGGTAACATTGGTTGGAAGAGCTGTGTCAGCCAGTAAGAGACAAACACAATGGGAAACCAGAGCATGCTTTTTAACAGACAGGCAAGACAGGTCTACCTTTTAAGCTCAGAACCAGTTTAGGCCTCATAGCTGACCCTCCAACAAAGTGTGGAACTGCAGTTGTGCGAGAAAGGGAATTTTAAAGGGCCATTACAGTGAAGTTAGAGAACTCTGTCCCCAAATCGGGAAGGAATGAGTCTTTGTGCACAAATACAAACACACTCCCTTTCCTTACACATTAAAAAAAACATCAGGAGAACAATGTTTTCCATGTCAAGCCATTTCCTACTCACAGAGGCACCTTATTGGCTCAATCCTACAGTTTGCTGGGCATGGTAAATTGGGCAAGTTCAATTTCAAGGGCTGTTGCACCAGTACAACACCATGAGCTAAATTGCACGAGGGCCAGCAAGCCCAGTTCTAAGGCATTCATGCATGTAATCACTCTTATCATTCTCACAGGTGAACAGGGGAAATGACTCTGCGCAGCGTAATTCTAACTAGATCAGCACACGCTTCTCCCACCAAACATATATACCAAGATCAGTGGCCCACAACCCAGTCAAAGCCTCAAGATGCAAACAAGGAGCGGATTATCAACTGGCTTGCATCAGAGGTAGGCACTGCTTTCTTTGCTGGCACCCACAGAATCTGTTAACCTTTCCATTTGACACAGAGAAACAATCTCCAGAAGGAATACTATGGTCATGCTTTACCTGTAAAATAAGTAGAACCAGGAAATAAAAGTTGGCTGCCCTTTTAAACTGTTCAAATAAATTTAGCGGCAGGAAGGTTATTGGATTATACTTGTAGGTTTTAATTGCATTCCCCTGTTGAAGACAAAAATATATCACGACAAAGCATAAATATAATAATTCATTTTTACAATGCATGTAAAACATTTCATTTGGTTAATTCATTCTCCAAAGGGCCTAAGTTAGAAGAACAGTTTTCCATTGGCCCCTGCATTGGCTGAGAGACATGAAATGGACTTTGGAATTTTACTTGCTTTCAAGAAGTCTTAAAACATTTCTTCCTATTTATAAACAGGCAAAAACTAAGGCTTTAAAAATTCAGAACTTTTCACCTTCAAGGTTAAAACATTTATTAGGGATGGCTGAACGACTCCCTTCTTGCTTCATAAATCATCTGGGCTCTGCAAACATCCCTTGATTTTTTTTTTTAAACCTTGAAGGGTTTTACAAATATTAGAAGGAATGTCTGTAAAATCCAGAAAGAAGGGCCACCTTCTATCAACTTCCTAGTAGCAGACTTTTCTCTGTGTCCTCCCAGGACTGGAGGTACATTCAACAGAGACACAAGGGAGGGTGTCTGTAACCAGACACTAAACCGACCTTCCTAGGGAGAGTATCTATCCCTGGTCTGATGGGCTGATGCTTGAAAGGGAACATTCGGTTTTGTTAACATGCATGGACTGTATTCTCCTATGGCTGGCTGACAGTGGATGCTTTTACATCAGCAGCTGTTTTTATCACCTCCATCTTTTTAGCTATTTGTTGTATGTTTTTATTTATTTATTTATTTATTTACATTTATCTACCACTCCCACAGCCCACCAGGGCTCTCTGGGCTGTGTACAATCCAAAATGAATAAAAACAACCATACAATTCATACAATAAGGATACAATACAGTCTAACAGACAACTAGAGCAGTCAGTAAAATTACTTCAGCACAGCAGTAATAAAATAATCATTAAAATGTCTAAGAATATAAAATATTCATTCAACAGTTCTTAAAATGTTTGGTAAATGAAAATGTCTTTGCCTGGTGCCGGAAAGATAACAATGAGGGCTCTCTGAGGAGTATATTCTATAAATGAGGTGCGGCCACCAAGAAGGCCGTTCTCCTGTTTGCCACCCCTTCACCTCTTTGGGGGTAGGTTCCTAAGTAGGACCTCTGAAGCCTATTTTATGAGAATAAGCATTCCTTCAGGGATCCTAGTGCCACGTCTTTACAGCTTTATATGCCAAGACAAGCACTTTAAATTGGGCCCAGGCCTCAACTGGTAGCCAATGTAATTGCTAAATAATTGGTATAATATGGGTACTCAAGCTTTTTGACAGGGATGTTGATTAAATTGCACTAATGGTCAAAAATAATGTAACTAATGCAAACTTCAAATAAATATTTTTCAGTGATACCTGCTTCAACACTTATGTGTTTATATCCCATCTTCTGACCGAGCTAAAAATAAAACTTTCAGCCTAATGTACCACACAGGGTTGTCGTTCTGAGGTAAGTTGGAGAGGAGGAGAATTATGTAAGCTGCCTTATTTATTTATTTCTTATTGGATTTTTATCCCACCACAATTAGCCAAAAAGGCTCCCTAAGCTGGTTACAAAGTTTAAAAATATACAATAAAAGTATTATTTAAAAGGACACTATAACAATAAAATCCAACAATGCAAAACCAATGCCAATGTAAAGCTTCACAGAACCATAATTTATCCATAAGTTCCTTGATCGGAAAAAGGCAGGATATAAATATAAATAAAGATGAAAAATGTAAGCAGCTTTAATTGCTCAAGGAATACACTAAAATCAAATGATCCAGCAATTAAGAGCAGAGTCCCATCAATAGGACCCTTGTCCCTTAGAGGTCCCTGAACTTAGAGGCTCCCAATTTCCTACATAGTGATGCAGCAGCTTTACCTCACCAATCTCTGATTTTCCTGATATTCACTAGACAGGCTGTTCTGCCCATCTAACAAAGGTGCTTTAGAGGGCGAGAGAGTTGGCTAACATGGGCTTAGGATAACTCACATCCTGGCCTCTCCCTGCTTGCTGGAACACTCCATTTCCTAAGTCTTCCTAAGTTTTCCAGCCTTGCAGATGCAGCTGGCACGGTCCTCCTCACAGAGCTACCAGAAGGAAGGAACTGGGGTTAGATCTCCAACTTTCCTGTCTGAGGTTGGGGTATTGCATCTGACTTCTTCTGGACCATTTTTTGGTTCCTGGAAGACCATACACTGTCTTTCAATGGGTGACAGAACCAATATTTACTGGGCATAACCATTCTGTTGCACATAAAGGTGGCTACTTACTGCATATTTACTTTTCTGAAGGCACAGATACATTGTTTGCTGAAACTGGGGCTGTTCGTAGAATTCTCTGTCATTTGCTTTAACTAGCCAACTGCAGTCTGAAAGCACAACATAAAACCCAAAGTGAGAATGAATATGTTACTTAAATGCTTGAAAGATAAACTTTTCCTTCCAGACTATGTATAAAAATAGGACATTGTTTCCGGTAAGGAGTTCTGGCACAAGTTTTAAAAAGGAAAAAGAAACTAAAATGCAATAGCACAATGAACAGATGAGCAAATGGGGCTCTTCACATTTACTTAGTCAAAAGAACTAGCTAAATATATCCTAATATACCCAAAATAAAAGAACTCCAAGAAATTCTGTACAACTTCCCTGAATCTGGATGATCTCAGAAGCACCTACTTTCAGTTCATGTTCAACAAATGCAAAGTAACAGTAACAAACTACTATCAGAAAATTAGCAAAATAAATTTCCCCATCGCATTTCTGAATTGGGTTTGTGGTTGGTGGTGAACATTTAGGGTAGGGACCTCCTTTCTCCCGCTCACCTTTTCTAAGGGTCTCGCGGGTCACTTCCACTTCTTGGTTGATGCGGTTTTGCTCGGGCTCAACACTGGACTGAACATCCAGTTCATCTTCGGTCTCATCGTCACTGTAGGGCACCTCTTCATCATTGGGCCGGGAATCCTCGTCAAAGGTAGTTTCTGAGTCTCTTTCTGAATTCATCCTGCAGGCAGTTCCTAAACAAAGACATAAAAGTCATTTTTGCCTAGCATGGGAGACACAAAACAGAATTTCAGTTCCTTGGACCCAAAGCTGACCAACTAAAACCAAGTTATTTTAACGCTGCATTAAACGTCTATATGGACTTTTTTGGATTTCTAACATGCCCATGTTTCCAATGATAGTTCTACCCTTCTTGAAGAAATTTCCATCATGTCCTCCACCATGGGACATCAGGACACTAGGGCAGGTTCAAGGCATTTATTTATTTATTTATTTATTTTTCGATTTATATCCTGCCTTTTTCCTACAAAGGGCTCAAGGCAGCTTACATCATTCTCCTCCTCCATCATATCCCCACAACAACAACCCTGTGAGGTAGGTTGGGCTGAGAGGCTGCAACTGGGCCAAAGTCACCAATCTTTGACTGGTGGGCTCCATGGCTGAGTGGGGACTCGAACCCAGGTCGTCTGAATCCCAGTCCCATGCTCTTAACCACTACACCACACTGGCTCTCCAGAACACACTAAATTGCAGTTCAGCCATAAAGCAGGCTGCTTGCGAAATCTCAGGTAAAGGGGGAACAGTGAAACCCATTTTAACTGATAGGCAGGATTTAAAAAAACAATAACTGCATGCTTTTTTGCACAATGTGATCAGTGCAAAAATTGTGCAAATTTGTTTGCACAATTAACAAGAGACTGCAAACCTTGATAATTTAAGCACCTTAGAAACTCAATTAAATAGTTGTACTGAACAAATTCTGTCCCCTACTGCAGCCCACTTCCAGCAATGTTATACACAAAAGGAAACAATGTCTGGTATATGTATGAATTCAGATGAAGGCTTGCAATCCTAGGAAACTGTGCCATTTAATTGAACTTGGGCTTTCCTCTGTAACCTCCTTAACTTGAATCTAACTCCTTATTCTGTATCAAAATTGTCAGATATTATACATACCTCCAGTGCTCCTTAACACAGCTATGTTCATTATATGTGCTTTTAAAAACATAAGCTGAGCTTCCCTGAGAAGGTTCTAACTCAGGTGCCCATCCACGTGCAGCCCACCCACGTCTGAGCTGACAATCCCCATCAGCGCCAGCCAGCGTACGGCCAATAGCAAAAGATGCTTGGCATTGTAAACCAAAGCATCGCTTGTTGCCCTCTCTTGCTTTCAATGTTCCTAAAGAAACAAGCAAGTGAATAAGATGTGGAACAAAAGAGGAGAACGCGAAAGGGCTGTGGACGGTGTCCAGGTCCTGTTTGCTTGAATAATTTTTGATTGCATTTGATCTGCACATGATGGTTGAGGCAACCTGGATCGCTTTGTGCTTCAGTCATCACATGTCGGTTAGGGTGAGGTGCAAACATGGTCTCTTTGCACGAATATGGGAGACTATTTTGCCACATAAGGCTTCCTGTAAAGCAGAATTCAGACTACAGGAAGCCATGTGTGCAAATTAGGAGTAATGTGAATAAAAAGATTCCAAAACTCCAAGGAATGCGGAACAAACTATGCTGTGATTTTTTAAAGGTCTCTGCAATTTAACTTTAACTGAAACTATACAGTTTACTTATACTGTTTCAGCATTTTCCACAATAAATGTTGAATTAACTTTTAAATACTTCATTCTTTTTGGCGCCAGGCTAAAACCTTTTTATTTTCCCAATACTTTAAGACTTGATTGTTTTAATAGGGGGTTTTATTGTTGATTGGAAATTTTTTATTAGGATGCTGTGTTTTATTCTATTTTGTCTTATTGTTAAACCGTCCCGAGACCACAGTAAGGGACAGTCTAAAAAAGGGTTTAAATAAATACATTTAATAAATAAATAAGTTAGAATGAATATGTTACTTAAATGCCTGAAAGTCAAAGAAACTGTTCCTTCCAGAGTGTGTATAAAGATAGGACTTTGTTTCCTGTAAGGAGTTCTAGCACAAGTTTGAAAAAAGAAAAAAGAAAAGAAACTAAAATGTGATAGCAAAATGAACAGATGAACAAACAGGGCTCTTTACATTTACTCCTTAATAAAAATGATCAAGGACTAGCAGAACATATCCTAATAGACCCAAAATAAGAGAACTCCAAGAAATTCCGTACAACTCCCCTGAAATATTTTTAAGCAAAGCAGCACTGACACACAAAAAAGCAGTGAACCAAAACAGCCACAGAAAATAAAAGTGAGCTTGTTGTTCTCAACAAGCTGATTAAAATCAATCAGGTATGGATGTAGTTGTTTGATCCACTGAGTGAGCCGGTGAAATGTTGCGTCCTTTCTAATCAGACGGGTGACCCGCTTTTCATCAACGTCGACCCCTGACATGTTTGCACTTGCATATGTTCGCATTTGAGGCATTGGTGAATGGCTGGAGAGGAGACACCAAAGGTGCAATCCTGTATATGTTTAGACACAACACTGGCTTCCAGCTCTCAGGGTGGCCCAGTGATATACCCCATGCTCTCAGGCTGGCATTCGTGGCCCTTTCCTGCAATCTAAACACGCACAGGATGGCACCCGAAGTATGGGTGCCGAAGCCCGGGGCGGCACATCCTTGGGCAATGGCTCGGGCGGCTCCTTGTCAGCTTCCGCTTCCACTCCATGGGGACTTTGGTCATGCTTTCTTGCTGACTTTATAACCGCACCCCATCCAGGTGCTCCTTTCCCTTTGAATTCTAGCAGACTACCTATTCAACGAACGGCCTTACGGTTACTTATACAGTCTAGGGAGTGGCACTGTTAATACCTAACAGGGTGATAAAAACACTCATTAGTGACTTCCCCAGCCAACCATTCTGTGATGCTTTGTGCTGGGTGCCAAGCAGGCACACAGAAAGGAAATGACCTTGAGCATATCCTCAAGAGAAAGAGAATGAAGAGAAATCTTGCACAAAAAACGGTGAAAGACGTAAACAATATGCCGAGCTGCAGTTTGGAGAAGGAAGTACTGATTCATTCATTTTCAGCAGCTTTTAATGGGCTGCAACAGAGGTGATCTTTGTCAGCCATTTTGAAATTTTGCCCTGTTGTAGACCTCATCAGGAAGAGCATGGTCACCAAGCACCATGTTATTAGCACAACTGGTATCATTTTATAAGCAGTGGAATTGTGAGCCTTATAATGGAAGGCTGAAGGGGTGGGATGGGGGCAGAAATTCAACTAACAGAAGCGGCACCTCTGTGTTCAAGGAATTATATACAGTGATGCTTGATGTAAGTCAAGGATCCCACCCATGAGCCTGAGAGAAGGAGAAGCAGCCATTCTCTTTCTGCAGCTCTGGATCTGCTTGGGTGCTTAAGCAGTGGCAGCTGGCGTGAAGCAGAAGGACGGGCGGGGAGAAAAGGGAACATCTGGGGAAAGCGGTATGGTTCCCATCAGTATACAAAAACAAGGGCTTCCCTCACAGGCTTGCTGAGGAGATAAGGAGCATAGAGAATCTTAGTCTTGTAACAGAGAAGTATATAAATAATTCATCTAGCAATTATCCATTTAGGCAGCCTGATGAGATACCATGCAATTCCTTCATAAATGCAAATAGTTTTACAAAGGGATATCAGCACACAAGCATATTGTGTGTTGGGAGTAAGAAGGCTGGCTGTTTGGGGCACTTGTTCTCACAGACTGCTGGCTGCCTCCCAGAGGAATCTTTGGAATCAGAGCATGAAATAGATTACAACAGGATTATGGAGGATGATTCTGAGATGGAGGTGGAGGTCATTAACTCAAGGCTAGGCGCTTGGGAATGGCCAAGATGTACAGCCAGTGGGAGAGGTCTCTAAGGATGAGGAATTCTCAGACACTGCCCCTGATGTTCTCAAGCCCATAGCGAGGTGTCAGAAGAGGCAGGAGACCCAACTGCACGAGCAGGTCATGGAGAGGAGGCACGCTCATCTTCAGAAAGGCCCTCCTGAGGGGATGGGGCCCAGGCATGTTCATAAGGAGAGTTCCTGGAGGCAAACACTAGGCTGGATTCAACAACCCACTCAGTCCGTGGTCAGAGAGCCATTCTGGGTGATTTGTCCTTGGGAGCAATAAAGAAGGTTTGGGAGAACGGTCTTCTGCAGCTGGTGCCTGCTCAAAGGAGGGACCTCAGCTTGCAACATTATGCTCCCCATGTCCTTTCTCACCTTAAACTTCCTCAGGTGCATTTCTAAACTTAAGAAGGAAGTCAGGGTATATTTCAGCCATTACTTTTGACTGGACAATCCCCATCAGACTCAGACTAGGAATCCTTTTACAACTTGAACCCATAGAACTTTCCTTATTAATATTTGAGACATGCTAAAGGGATGCAGCTGGCGCAGTGGTTTAAACCGCTGTGCTGCTGGGCTGGTAGATCGAAAGGTCGCCAGTTCGAACCTGCAAAACGGGGTGAGTTCCCGTTGCTCTGTCCCAGCTCCTGCCAACCTTGCAGTTTGAAAGCATGCAAATGCAAGTGGATAAAAAGGTACCACTTCGGTGGGCAGGTAACAGCGTCCCGTGCACTTCGGTGTTTAGTCATGCCAGCCACATGACCACGGAGACTGTCTGCGGACAAACGCTGGCTCCCTCGGCTAGGAAATGGAGATGAGCACCGCCCCTAGAGTAAGGCATGACTGGACTTCACGTCAAGGGGAAACCTTTACCTTTACCTTACCTTTAAACAATCTACAGTCCACAACTGAGAACAAACCACAGAATATCTTTATGGGTTGTTCATGGTTAATAAGTCATAGCTTGTTGGAGCAGCTGAGGGGAGACAACACAGTAACCCACAACAATCCTTGGTTGAGCAACAGCCCTCACTCAACCCATATTCAACCCCTCAGTGTGATTTATCATGTTGTCTGAACCCATTTCTAAGTTCACTGCTGTTCAAAGCAGCACCACATGATTAATCAAATTTGTAGTATTTCACTGCTGACAAGAAGATATAATTTTGTTTCAAATCCTAATGGAGCAAAGCATTGCATTCTGTTTCCTTATGTATAAATTATGTCCCAGCAGATCAAACCTGCAATTAATTATGCTCCCAAAG